CCCTTCTCCATCGCCCCATCGCTCACCCCGGTCTCCGCCCACCTCCCCCACCCGACAACCCGGCGACGACGACGACGACGACGACGGGGGCTTGGGGGGGTGGACAGCCACGGGCGACGGTGGTCACCACCTTGGCCTCCCCGGGAGCAACGAGAACAGTGGACCTGCAAAGGTACATCCGCACTCGTCCATCGCCTTCGCGGGGGCGTGTGGAGAGGCTCGGCGGGCCCAAAGCTGAGACTTACCTGCAAGGTTGCGTGGAACCGGGTACAGAGAGTAACGGATCGAACTGAAGTCTCCCAAGAGTCCCCATCGGCGGGCGGCATGGCGGGCTCCTGCTGCCGCCATCGTCGACCTACATAAAGCCGAAGGCCCGTCTACAATCGCTCGTTGAACCTTCCGCCTTCTCCTCTCTTCCTCATCCATTCGCTCACAGTCAAAGCACACTCGTTGTCCACATACAAGCACACACACACACACACACCTCTCTTCACAACCTCCATAATGAAGTTCACCTCTGCCGCCCTCGTCGCCTTCGCGGCCCTGGCCAGTGCCCAGACCCTCGCCGATATCCCCACTTGCGCCAAGACATGCCTCGACGATTCCATTAAGAAGCTCACCTCGTGCACCACCACCGACGTCCCCTGCATTTGCAAGGACGTCGAGAAGATCCAGGGCGACGCCACCGGCTGCGTTCTTAAGGCGTGCGGCCCCGACGTTGCGCTGAGTATGTCTTTCGCCCTGAACATCCGTTGCCAGCAACACTGCTAACACGCTTGACTTGCAGACAAGGTCCTCCCCGCCGCGCAGGCCCTCTGCAAGAACGCCGGCAGCGGCTCGTCCGCCCCGGCTTCGTCTGCCGCCGCCACCACCTCGGCTCCGGCCTCGTCCGCCCCGGCCTCGTCCGCCGCGACCTCTTCTGCCCCTGCCTCGTCTGCTCCCACCGAGACCGGCAGCGCTTCGGCCACCGGCTCTGCTCCTGCCACCACCCTGGTGCCCACCAGCCCCAGCACGACCAACGGCACCAGCCCCAGCACCTCCACGCCTGTCACCGCCGGTGCCGCTGGCTTCGCCCCCGTTGGCGGTCTCGCCATGCTGGCTCTCGGTGCCCTTGCTCTGTAAAGTGCCTAGCCCGTCGCTGTGAGGCAGGCCGCTACACCTCCGTCGGCGTGACGAGCACGGATTCGTGCACGGAAGCCTCAGGGAGGCGACTTGCGGCGCCAAGGGGCGTGGCATCCTGGTCACCGATGAAGTTCTCGTCCCCGGCGTCGTGAGACGGCGGCAATACGCGTGTGTGTTTACAAGATGGATCGGGTCAGAAACTCGCGTCACCAGAGGACGCATTGTACTCGAAGAGAACCAACAACCAGTGAACTGGCTAATGATAATTTCATCCTGACAATTCAACACGGCTCGCTGCGCTCTGCTGCCCTGTGAGTTGTATCAGCCCTGGAGCAGCCGGTGACATGAGGGCACAAGCCTCCCGTAGCACGTCGACAAACCACGAACGGACTTGTTCGCAATCTGGTGGCACAGGTACCATCGCAAGACGCCACTGGGCTGACGGAAGTCGCTCGCGCTTCTTTGCCTTTTTCCGTCGGCGCCGACGCCGCTCGTGGTTGCTAGTTCAGCCACAACTCGGAGAAGATACCCGCTTCGCCGGCATCTACTTGCACACATTGGCTTTCTCTACATCAAGCCTCCAAACCTTGCGCCTCGGCCATTGGGCGCCTGCGGCCACCGATTCATCGGGCGCAGGAGCTTCCAGGTTTCGCGTAGCAACCGGCCGTGAGGGACTCGCATGCCTGGGGCGAGAAGCACTATTGATTAATTCAGTCCAGTTAGCCAGCCAGCCAATTGAGACGCTGACGACTCACGCCCGCGCCCGGGACGAATTTAGCTGCCAAAGGCACCACAGGAAGTGGAAGCAGCCGACCATCATGTGGCACGCTCGTTGGTCCGCAACTGACCTCCACGCTAGGCGGTTAGGTGTCGATGGTTTCGTCACCGGGGTAGGGCCGGCGGCGACCATGGGCATCGCGTGTTGTTGGAACGGGCCATCTATATCGAGTCTAGGACGGGAGCGCCGTGGCACTGGGTAGTCCTTTCTCGTACATACCGCACACCGCGAAGCTTGTGCCTAATAAGTACGGTACTTCACAGGAGGCCAAGGAACAGGCAAAGTCTGTTGCCCCAGCCAACGGGCCATGTGCGTTCAAGATGTATGACTGCATGGCCGTCCAGGAGTCAGTCCACTTCAGCAGGCTTTCGCGACCGACAATTGCTGCCCTACAGTATCAAGTTATCGCTCTTTGCACGCCTCGCGTTCAAGCCTGAGGGTTACCCCAACTCTAGGGGTGCCATACTGTGATGAGGATGACTGCGTTTCCTCCGGCTCCGCCGTCCCGTGTTGTTGGTCAGGCAGGGAAAGGGTGCGGCAACTTGCAAAGTGATCCGCAAGTACATGGCTACAAAAATGGTCACTACATGCACCACGCTCACCCATTCGGACGAGCAAGCAGACGCCCCGGCGTGAGGGTGGGCTGACGCCCTCGTTGATACGTACGTGAGCGCACGATGAGTTTCTAGTAGTACGCCGGGGGACAAGATGGGCTGGCGGTTGGCACTGATGCGGAGGGTGTGCCTCGTATGGGGAGACGGGGACTGTCCCTTGCGTTGACGAGGACATGGAGGTGGTGGGCAGCTGGACGAGAGTGGCCGCGTTGGTCGACGACCTACCGAGGAAGGACAGAGTACGAAGTGCACACACATCCATGTGGGTGTGGCTTGGTAAAGTTGGAACATTGCCATGCAGGTGCTTGCTTGCGCGGCGGCGTATAACGTTTCCTCAGCTCGTGTTGGCAGCATGACGGGCGGGCCGTGGATCGTGCGGTTGGCGAACAGTGCGTTGCAGCTGTGGGATTGTCTGCGACGCCGAGAGTGTCAGAAAGCAGACCAGCTTGGTTCCCGGCCGGAATGATTTACAGCCTGTTCCGTGCTGTGGTGGACTCTATAAGTCGATATTTTCAGGCATCGCTGCCCTTACGTCCACTGTGGCTCGCGCTGCCTCCCCCCAAAAGCACCACAGAGTGCATAAACAGTGTGAGATAGATGCAGCCAACTGGATTGACGATGTCGCGCCGCGAGTTGGTCAGAACACCCGCTCGAGATGCCGGGCGGCCCGTCCAGGTCGCATCGCTGCCCGGCAGCACGACGACGCGGCGGGAATGGCCTCGACTAGTCCCAAGCAAGCGCCGCCATGCGCACTTGGCCGCGTCAACGCCGGGACTTTGACCTTGATGCTGCCTTGGTCTGAGCCGTTAGCCTTTGCGCCTTGCAGGCCGTGGCTGCATGAGACGGCCCGCGTGTATCCCAGAGCGAGTTGCGGCTCGTGGGCCAAAGAGCACCACTGCTCCTGTACCGTGCGACATGGTCAGCCTGGCCAGCACAGCGGCGATGACGACGACGGCGGCGACGGCGACAACTGCTTGCCCCGTGCGGGCGCTGGTCGATGAGTGTCTCGGGCAAAGCGCGACAGCATAGGCGCACTTGCCGCGACGATACACGTTCGCTTCCTCCGGTGCCGCACATGTACCGAACTCTACATACAGCCATGTATTGCAGTGCAAACTCACGTACCTACGGAGTAGCACTGTACTGCACGAATACAGTACTGTTCCTGCCTGGGCGTTGCGGCTCGGCTGGCCGCGGCGCAGCGCTCATCCGGGCGCCCGGTGCCACCGGCTCGGCGTGTAACTTGTCCACCAGGCCCAGCGGGGGACGCCGTCTCGGCCCGCTGCGATAAGGTCAAACGCAAAACAAGCCGGTTGCAGCGTGACAGGCGCCACCGTCCCGGGCGATGGTGCCGCGGGCTGATCCGTGGAAGAGCGGGCCTGTCTGGAGCACAGCTCCGTGGACCGGCCCCGGACCAGGTGTGTGCGGCCTGTCGGTCGGCTGAACTCCGCCCGCCACCCGGCCGGCCGCGAACAATGAACTGATGCCGACGCGGTCCCGTGGATCCGTGCTCGCGACGATGTTAGGCTCTTTTCTTTCTCTTCTTCTTTTCCCCAGGCATGTGCCTCGAGTGACTTGTCTCCTGGCGCTCTTGGCCTTGCCTCGATTGGACAACGGCCGCGCGGCCCAACGGCGAAGCAGGTCGTCATTTCGATACCTTGGAAGGCAACGCACCTCTCCAACGCGATTACACGGGTACGATCTTGATGGGTTGCAGTGCAGGTGCTTGCAGAAGTACAGGATGCATGCTGCCGTTTGTCGCCAGAGTGCTTGACGTATTGGCTTGAGGCCGCAGAATGATGTCAGGCTTCTCGCCAGACTACTGTATTGACTGGACAGAATCAGGTCTATAAATCGTCCGGTATTCCTGTCTGTGTCGCACCAACAACATCGTATATGTTCATGTCTAACGGCGAATGCCCACGTCTGATACAACGGTGCCACTTGACTCCCGCGAACTACAACTTCAGGCCGCGTTCAATCTCGTCCACCCAGTGGCACACCCTCTTAGCCACGACCCAGCTGTTATCTGCTCGGCTCCAGAGTCAGCCCACGGTCGTTATAAAACTGAATTATCCAGGTCGAGCAGAGTACTGAGTTGTTGACTTACGCTCGGTCGTGCAGAATGCATGTGGTAAACCGCCCTCGTCCACCGCGATGCTGGTTGCACCGCCCCTCTCGCCATGCTGCCTCCTCCGCTCAATGAACTCGTCGCGCACGTGGTCGGCAACCCAGTGGTCCCCCTTACCGTAGAATAGGAAGAACTTGGGCGTCATCTCGGATGCCGCTGTCCCGTCCAGACCCTCGGTATTCTCTCTGGACACCTCCCACAGCTCCTCCCCCCATACGTCTTCACGCACGCCGTCCAGTTCCGACAAACCAAGATGCAGCGCCTGCCGGATACCGTCGCGGCTCTTGAGCCACTCGGCCGTCACGGCGGCCGCATGCGCGGAGAAGCCCATGAGCCGCTCGATGACCCAGCGCAGCGCGCCGGCTGTCCAGGGCGCGAGCGCGAGCATGGCGATTCGTGGCGCCCAGGAGGCCAGGCCGGGCACGCCGCGCAGTGTCTGCGCCCGCCGCCCGCTTGGGGAGAGGCCGATGGACACGATGGTCGGGAAGAGCAGGAAGCCGTGGCGCAGGCGGAGCTCCGGCGCCCGAGACGGGGTCTGCGCGTGGCGGTGAAACACCTCGAGGGCGATGTACGAGCCGATGGAGTGCCCGGCGAGGATGACAAAGTCGTACGGACGTCGGCGGCCTCGGGCATTGTCTGTCGGACCCGGCGGTGGAGGGCATTCGGCAGCGTCGAGATCGCGACCTCGGCTCCGCGCGGCCACATCATCATACATGGCCTCAATCTGCCCATCCAGATCCCACGGCTGCGGTCCCCCGGGCCCGGGCGCGGCAAACGGTTCATGCTCGTCGTCACTGAAGCCGAGTAGATTCCTCCCGTAGATGTCGTACGCGGTGCGCGAGCCGGCCGCCGCGTCGAGCATGCCGTGCAGGGCGCCGAGAAAGTCGGCGTAGTACCCGACGAGGCCCGGGTTGCCGCAGATGAAGTAGATGAGAGCGCGGCGGCCGGGGGAGCGGAGCCCCGAGGGATGCCATATTGAGGATATCATTGCGCGCTCGCGGTACCGTGGTTGCCAACCGGGCGCTGGCTGCGTAACGCGAAAAGAGGAATTGACGTCGATGCGCGTGATGGCCAGATGGGTGGTGTTACTGGTGTGGGGCCGCCGCGATGGCACATGTCGGCCAGCTGGCCAGCCCCAAAGAGCCACCACCGATTGAAGTGTCGTACGCCCGGTCGACTCCTTACGTGGGAGCAGGACATTTCTACACGGGCAGGATCAAACTCAACAATCAGCCATACAGAAGCATGCTTGCGGCTTCATCCGATCTCAATCGAGTCCATCACCGCTGTTGCGGTCATGAAACGTTACTGTCATCCTGCAAGACTGCTTTCTTCCGTTCGTTCACTTCAACGCGTCGTAAAAAACACGCCGAGCAGAACACATGATGTGCCTCGGTTCCAAGGCGTAGGACTTTGTAGGAGCATATCCCGATTTATTTTTGCAAGTCGCGATCCAAAACCACGCCACCTCCTTGCCACGGGTGAGGCACTGCCATCTAGGTGTGCCTGCAAGCTCTCTCCATAATCCGGCCACATGGACCACGTAGAGCTTAGGAAGCATAATAGGGATATCGGTAAGTCTGGCCCTCCCGTAGCCCATATAAGCGATGTCGATGCCAGTCGTACTCCACTAAGTCTCCCATTAGTAAAGACCGGTGCTCAAGTGCGGCTCCCTACTCACGGCCTGAGTCGAGGTGGACGTCCTCAAAGCACATATGAATCCAATATCCATCCCTTTGAACTGGTGGCTGCTGAGAGTGTTCTGCTTCCGCGGCGCTCGTCCTCCTCGGCGTCTCCCTCCAGCATTTCAGCCCTTCGATCTCGGCCCTCTGGAGCTGCGTCTTGGCCGGGCCCTGCTTCTCCAGGAGGTGCAGGTCAACCACCTCGTACCACTCCCACTTGGAGCATGAAACCACCACCTCTGCGCTCGGAGGGGCGATTCTCTCCAGGACGCTGTCAATCTCCGGGAATAGTCGCTCGTGTAGCGCGCGTGAAAGTTCGTCCTGGCTCTCGTACGGCCACTGCAGGCCCGTCGCCTCGTCAATTTCTCCATACACCAGCCTGTAGAAGCTGATTCGGAGATGCCGCAGCGAAGGGAAGAGCGGAGCCTCGAAGGGCGGAGACCCTTTGCGCCCGGTGAAACCTAAGCGTAACGGGAGCTGCTTTGGCTTCCACACGAGCTCCAGGGACGTCATGTCTGCGAGTCGTTGCCGCGGGATCAAGTCCTGGATGCAGCGGAGAAGAACAGGTGAGCTTATGTGGATGGTATTCGTCTTGTAGAGTACCTCGACTCCTTCAGCGTACCTGCGATGCCAAATATCAGCCTCCAGCACATGCGCGACGATCCCCGATTTCTGGTACAACTTACGCCCGTCGACAGGCCAGCAGCCATCCCAACACGCCGATCTGGCACTTGCCGGGCCACTTGTCTGGCCATTTGTTGCACTCACCGGCGCCGTCCAGGCAGCGGTCAATGTCAGGCTCACGGAAGTGGTTCCATGGATTGTTGCACCGCCTGCCGAGCGAGAGGTGCCTCGGCCCTTCGGGCGGGAACCGGTGGCAGACGCAGCCGAACCAGCGCCATCGGCTGCTCTCGCTCGCGAGCAGCTGAGCGTCGACAGGTGTCAAATAGTCGAGGATGCGCGCGTGCACATCCCAGCCCTCATACGGCTTCTCAAGGACCAGGTTGAGACGCTTCCGAAATCTGAGGTCCATATGCAGCGTTCGGTCGCCAAAGGCGAGCAGCAGTATGTGACGGCGCACCTCGATGGGCACGCGGTCGAACAGGAGACACGGCTTCAAGCTCATACGGTGCTTGCCGGCGCGCTCGTCCTCCGTGGACGGCGCGAAGAGGGACACGCTATGATCTGGCGCGACGAGGAAGAGCTTGCTCAAGGCTTGCCGCTCGTAATTGCGCTCGCGGCGCTCCCGATGGCGCGGCGACCGCGGGTTGATGAAAGACCATGCGAGCCTACTGAAGTCCCACACCTCGAGCAAGATGAAGAAGGAGAACATGGCAATGGTCAGGCCGACGCTCAAGGCGAGGTCGGGCAGGGAACGGACGAGGCCCTGACGACGGCATCGAGCCCACAGGGGGGGCCAGCCCTGGAACAAATCGCTCAGCTCCTCGCGCAAGGAGGCCATGATGTCGGGAAAATGCGCGACTACAGAGCATGTCGGTGGATGGCTACGGCCAGGCCGCAGCTGAGACGAGGTTTATGAGGGCTGGAGGAACGACATGGGTGTGGGTTAGTTGCAGGACGCACCACTGCTACAAAGTACAAGCCAGGCAGCGACCGACGGTCCACGGCGGCACAGCTCTATCCCCCCTCCAGCCACGAGCGATGTAAATGCCATTGTCCTGTCGTTCTCTACACGTATACGTGTCGAGCAACATGATTGACCCTGCCGTCAATTGTGACCGCGCATCCGCCGCTGTGGCCACCGTTCACCTGATCCGTCAGCCCTGCGAAACTGCACTGACGTGATCGCAATGCGCAACCATTCCTGGCCAGTGATGAGCTGCTGACGAGTGTAGACGTGAGTTGCGTGGACATCATCGGAAATTTCTTCAATGACTTGGATAATAGGGATGCTGTTACACGATGCTAGCCATGGTTCTACTCGTTACATCACTGTTCGTCAACGCCAGAACGGCGCGTACAGTCCAATCGACACGCTCCTCCACAGGTTCTCGTTGGGGCATTCAGGCTACACGCTCATTTGAAGGTCTTCGGACCGACGCGTGACAGGCGCACTGCTGTACGCCTTCGTCGCTAAAATGAACCCGCAACGCTCACGCCGACACCTGGTAGGTCTTCTTGACCAGCACAAGACCCATGGTCCTCTTGGTTACAGTGGCCCAGTTCGGCATGTACTGCTTCAGTTCGTGCAGCGCAGGGATGTTGGTCACCCGGTTGGCGTCGTCCCAGGCACACTTGACAGTCACCTCTAACGGCTTCTCGCGCAGCTTGAGTTCCCCGCCCTCGTTTCTGGACATGCCGTCTTCATCGACGGGCCTTTGGGCCGGCACGTCCACGGAGTGACCGCTGCTGCCCAGCTGCAATGTCACATTCCACGTGCCTTGCCACGTCCGCCGCCAAAGCTGCAGACTCTTGAGTCCGTCTTTAGGCATCTGACCGAAGCGTTCGTCTCTGGGCCCGCCGCCCTCAACTGAAAAGCCAAAGATGGGCTCGGACAGGTCCACATAACACAGCCGCGTGTTCAGGGCCTCGATGTGGAGGCTAGCGGACAACCCGTCCGCGGATTTGGTGACAGACGCGGACACGAGTTTGTCCAACTCCTTGCCGTCTGCGGGATTCGGCGGGAGTGACGACGCATCGTACTTACACTCCATGAGGTTCTCGGCAACTGACCTTTGGCAGTTGACTTCTTTCCCCGAGGCCGCTGGCAAAGACGCAATGACAGGGCGGACAAACTCTTCCAATCCAATAAGCGATACCGTGTTGGATCCGTTGTCCAGATCCACGGTCTGCTGGAATCGAAGCTTGAAGCGATTGTTCGTCGAGAATGGGAACGCAACCATGTTGTAGATGAGAGTACCGGTGAAGACCAAGAGTAGGAAAAGGGGGATTTGGTGGGTGACACGATGTATAAACGGCGAGAGGGGAATCACCAGCAGGATACTCAGGATGCCAATCCCCATGAGAGGGGTCAGCAGACTACTCCCGTCAGGTCCCGTCATTTGCATTGCCGTCGTCTGGACGAGACCGAGATTTCCGAGGATGATGACATGTACCGGGGCGAGAATAAGTAGCTGCAGGAACCACGTCCATGCTGGGAGACGGCCTGACCATGACTGCTCAGATTCGTAAGGCGGATGGCTGGGCACGGACGGTGCGACTGGTTCCGCCGTTACGGGCCTACGGTAGGTGCTGGCGAATGTCGTCGTCGTCGTGTTAGAGCCATAACCTTGTTCCCCAGCCCTTAGAGGTGTCGTCTCCGTTGCGTTGGCACCGTCGTCTCCATCTTCTGGCTGCTGATCGCGAATCGTCTCATCCGCGCTATGGGTGGCACTTTGCGCGGTATGGTCTCGTTCAGCATCTTGCAGTTGTTGAGCAAATTCTTGCTTTCCAGGCAGCGCTAGTTGCTCCAACAGAGATATCAGAAGGCATGAGAATACTGCTGTATGAAGGAAGGCCGCGAAGTAGAGGGCGCCGATGCCCATGCGATCCTCCGCTACAGCCGCAATGACCTGAATGGCCCAGGTCAAGACGAATAGCCAGATGAGAACGAAGCCACGGTGGAGCGCGCTGGGCCGCACGAAGCTGGACCCTCGCATGATCAACCAAAACGCAAAGTAGAACAGCGACATTGTCATTGCCCAGCTGGAGCAGGTTAGCAAAGCACTTCCGCCTAAGGTTGTCGGGGGTACCTTACACCGCATAACCGCTGCTGGCGATTATCAGTGGGTTGAACTTGGCGACCAAATATACTGAGCCGACTGTCAGGCCAGTGGCGAAGACTAAGGCGAGAGGAAAGCGGAAGAAGCCCCTCCAGCCGCCGAGCGAGACCGTGCCATCGCCAGTCTCGGAGTCCGTCTTGAGATCCCTCGCAAAGAAGTAGTACTTGTCGTTTCGTATCAGGATGTAGGTCACGACCAGGAGCACCAGAGGTGTGGCGACAAGAAGCGTCAGAGACCACGCAAACAGCCCTCTAAGCGGGAATGCGGCCCAGGCGTCGCCGAAAAAGTCAAACCACACGCCAGCAGTAGGCCTGCCGTTCTGGGCAAGATCCTTTCTTCCATCAGAGCGAGGGCCGTTGAATTCGGTGCTTGTCGTCTCAGACAGAACCTTTGTGGATGCCAGGGCCGCCGAGAGCATGTGCCAAACGCTACGTACGGACGTGTGTCGAGCGTCGTCTTCCTCTGTGTGGTAGCGTGCCCGTGGCTCGTAGAATGCAATATCGAGGCCGCGCTGGCCGAAAATGCCGGCAAACACCTGGTAATCAGTCCCGCTCTTGATAACGCCTCGCTCAAAAGCGTTTGCGGCGACGACAGAGCCAAATGGATGCGGGCTTTGGCCGTAGGCCCTTGCCACTTGAAGATCGGTAGTGCGAAATAGCATGGCGCGTCCACCCGCGCCAGCTCCTTCAAGGTTGACAAAGGTGTGGCAGAAACTGAGCAACGGGCTGTAGCCAAAGGCGTTGGCGCCAAGGAGCCCGTCCTCCTCGGCGTTGTTGAAGAGCAGCACGATGCCATTCTTCGGCTGGCGACCCTCGGCGCTAAAGTAACTCAAGAGCTGCAGCAACGTCACACAGGACATGCCATCGTCGGTAGCTCCGTAGCCCGTGGAGACCCTGGGAAGCAATCAGCGGGTATATCACATGCGCTGCACGCGACGTACGAGTCGAAATGGCAGTTGACAAGAACACCGCCAGAGTGGCGCGATGCCTTGATGCCCTCCTCAGTGAGCCACCAATCGCCCTCGGGGTCCTCCTTGCCATGGATGTAGACGTATACATTATTCCCTTCGAAGTACTGGCCGACCACCGAGAATCTGCCCCCATATGTATACGTCACGTTGGAAACGCGGTCGTCGAAGATGGTAGCACCGGGCGGTTTGCCTGCGCGCTCCGTCGCCTTGCCAACGTCCCTTTCTGCGGCAGATTCAAGACTGCTATTCGTAAGCTGGTGTACTCTCCAGCGTCCCGCGGATGCAAGTGCACGAACCCATATCTCCATGTGACCCCGCCCGATGTATCCACCGCGTAGTCCAGCCCATTGCGCTCCAGGACGCTTTTCGAGCGGGCGATGATGAAGTCGCGAACGTGGTCGTTCTCGTGGCTATTGTACGGATGATATGTTTTCGTGATGGTCTGCAAGTCAGACCAAGCTTCGGTGAGGTTTAGACCTCGTTCAAGTGTTGTGTCACAGGGCGCAGGAGGGACCGTCTCGTGGACATAGAGAAGAGGAATGATCACGGCGAGGTAGACGACAGTGGTCCAGAACGTAACCGGACCAGGCCGAAACGCGAACGGATTTCGAACTGCCATGGTGGGGGAGTGAGTGGCCAACAAAGGATATGCAGCGACGCTGACCGGCAATTCGTGGCACCGTACGCACGCGCAAGAGGCGGCGCAAACTTGGCGGCGACGATCTAACTGTGCGGCGGCAGGTTCAGCAATTCATGCTGCGTGACACTCCTCGAAAGGACTGCAGAGCAGCTTGTTAGACCTGGGGGGCGTGAGGGTTTTGCTTGACACCTGCGTAGGGGCGCGCCAAAGACTTGGGAGGATGGTGGAGAGAAGCTCGCGAGGGAGCTGTGATCAAGGTGGAGAAGCTGGGGAGGAGGTCAGTGACGGAATGCGGGTCGGCTGTGGGACCTGCTCGCTGATGAGACTGGCTCCCAGCTGACATGTTCCGCCGTTCATGCAGCTTGTCGGCAGCCACGCGCGCGAGCGGCTAAAGAAAAACGTTCCACAGGCCATAGCGAACCATCGCGTTGCCCCTCAGTTCATATGAGGCAGGTGGCTGCGCAACACGCAGTGCAGAAGTTATTAAGTAGCCCCCATGTCCGCTTTTGATGTCGCCCACGGACTTAGCACGGCACGACATACCTATCTGATACAGCGCCGCCTACATGTCACGACTGACACCATGATGAGGTCGGCTTCCCGCTCGTACTAGTACAATTTCCTACCGTCTGCAGCTATCTACGGACTGTGTCAAAGCAAAGCAACATTTCCACAAACTCCGAACCTCGCGGGCGGTACAGGCTGCTGCCGGTAAGTGCAGTACTAGAAATTTCCTGCTCCCGCGCTCGGTTCACGAACAATTTGTCAGTAATAAACCAGACCCTGCGCGATTAGTCCATGCTCCGCATCCGGGGTCGCAATACGTAGATGGGCTGAACGTCCTCCGTCGGCCAGACCGAGAAACGAGCCGTGTACGTTCGCCCATCGGTCGTGGTCTCAAGATAATCGAGAAAGACGCCACCGCCCTCTCTCTCCTTCTGTCCCGCAGACAGACCATATGAGCGGCCGAGATCCAAACTGCCCTGCACATTTACGGTGAGTAAAATGCCACAACCACTTCCATTCACCGTGTCAGCGGTTAGTTGTAGGAGACCGTGGTACCTCAGGTTCACACTAAGCGCCAGGGGGAGGAGGGGGCGGCTGGTTGCTGGGTGGAGGCGGAGGAGGCGCCTCGCCAGATGGAGGTGGAGGCGGGGGCACGCCGCCTGGGGGAGGAGGCGGTGCGTTCGAATACTGGTTGATGAGGTTGTTGACACTTCCGAGGCTGGGGGGTGCTGCTGGGAGGCCGGGAGGCGGGCCTGGGGGAGCGCCCATGCCAGGAGCACCAGGTCCTGCACCGTTCATACCAGGGGCGCTACCATAGGCACCACCATATCCGCCATAGCCCGAGTAGCCGCCAGGCGCGCCTGGGGGCGGGGGAGGAGGCTGGTGCCAAGGCGCAGCGCCTCCTGGTGCACTTGCTCCTGGAGCAGAGCCGTAGCCCTGGCCATAGTAGCTGTCCGACTGAGCCTCGTGACCGCGGTTTCTGTCCCGGGCCCAAGGTGCGGCACCGCCGCCGCCAGAACCACTCGAAGGACCGTCGCGCGAATCTTGGTTGCGGGGACGCCAAGGGGCAGCACCGCCACCGCCCTGCGAGCGCTGCCAAGGTTTGACATCTCCGTTCTCGTGGCCACCACCGGGTCCAGCCTCGATCTGGGCTGGAGCGGCGCTGGGGCCGCCACCGAGCTCTTGCATAAGTTGCTTCAGCAAAGTTAGCCATTGCCACGGTTTAACGCCGCGATGATGAAAAGACGAAATTGCGGACTTACCTCCATCTCCCGGTCGACAGCGTCGCCGCCACCAATCCTTCCAGCGGGACGGCCATTGCCCACATCGTTGCGCCAACCGCTGCCGCGCTGACGATCGGGACAGTCCCTAGCAAAATGCCCCGCGTTGCCGCACACTCGGCAGATGACGCTAGCAGTGAAGTTCTGCCTCTCGGGGCAGTCATACTTCCTATGACCAATCTTACCGCAGTTCTGGCAGGCCTGGTTTTCGTCGTCTCGAAGGGTGCCGTTGAGCGCAGCAAGTTCACGGAGCTGGTTTCGCTTGAGGTCGTTCTGACCCTCTGGAACTGACGCGGCCTTAAGACTGTTAGCATATGGTCATTCCACGGACCACGAAGACGTACCGTTTCGATAACGTTGTGAATCAGCTGCTTGGCCTTGTTGATCTTGTCCTCAGTATCCGCCATGATGAGGCAGTGGAGGTCTTCCTCCTGGTTGCTGGAGTGGGCGGCATCGGATCGTCCCTTGCCTTCTTTGACCGAGCCCTTGCCGCGGATGGCGATCTTGGCGCCGGATTCTGCCTCCATCTTCTTCAGGGTGTTGCCGCGCGGACCGATGAGTAAGCCGACTTGAATCTGAGTGTTAGTATCTGAAGTATTCTGTTACGGGGCATGGCGGCGGTTGAGCAGCGTTCAGCAGCCTGAGCAAGTGGCGCGACCACAGACGAGGTCGGACGGACCGGCCCTGATCATGCGACTGCCCACCCGATCAAACGACGGTGTGAGAAACAAGAGGGGGCGGGAGGGGTTAGAGTAACGGTGGTTATGGCAGACGCAACGAAAAGGAATAAGGAACAAAAGAAATCGACGGGGTTAGCAATCATACTGAAGTTAATCTCCGGGTAGTCATTAACTGGCACGTAGACCTTCTCCTGCGTCTTGGTCGGTCGGCGATAATCCTGAGGCGGGTGGTAGTTGGGAATGGTCTTCATGGCGCGCTCGACAAGTTTGTGGCGTTCGTCCTCGAGTCTCTTGCGGTATCGGTATTCGCGGGTGTTAACTCGGCGGCCGTGGTTATCGTACTGCGGAGGAGGAGACGGCGATCTGGAGAACTTGTCAGGGGACGAGTAGCAGAGGAGGCGACGGGGGATGGAACTATACCGATCACCGTCTGCCGGGACGACGTCGTCGATGCGAAGCTTCTGGCTGATCTCTTCGATACGCAAGTGGAGCGTGTACGCCTCCAGCTGCTCGCTCGTCATGTTCGCCTTGATGGCTGTAGGCAGCCCCATGAGACCAGCAGCCTTGTTCTCGGAAGCATCGCCCCAACGATTACGCTTCTTGCGACGGCGCGGTCCATCATCGAGGCGAGGCTCAGGATCGCGGCCGCGCTTCAGGTCGCGGTCAGGGCCATCCAGCTCGGGCTCTCCGCCGAAGCGGCGCGTCTTGCCCAACGGGATGTTGTTGGAGCCGGTGATGCCCTGGTTTCTCCACGACATCGTGGCGGAAATTTTCGCTCGTGCGAAACTGACGCACTCCGTATGTCGATAGGCAGGCTCTTCGAGATGGGAAGCGACGGGCGCGTCGCTGTTGTGATGTCGCGAATGCAAAGTGTGCACCTGTTGAACAGGCGTGTGTGGCGTTCGGGCCTTGGTCAAGTTTCTGAGGTGTGCCGCAGATGGAACAAGAATCATCCGAGAAGATGTGGGGCGGGCGGTGGCCTTTCACGTATTAGTCATCTGCCCTTCTCCGCCTTGCCGCCAGCTGCCGACATCTGGCGACAGCTGGGCGCCATTTTATATGTGCCAAATGCTTCCACAAGGTTCTCTGTCTCGTGTAACCGGACTTTTTTGTTGCACGGCTGCAGGAGCTGTGCGGCCCGCCGAATGAAATCGAGGCGGCTCAGCAAGGGAGCCATCCACTCACGTTGTCCTGTTTCTCTGGCAGGCCGAGGGCCCCTACTACAAGCGATATCTGAACCCTCTCATGCTCCAATCAGTGACGTCTTGGTAGTCCTCGGGCCGAAGTTGGGCTTCAGTCACCGCCTGTGCAACACCTTTTCCGTCGACAGCCATTGGCACCGTCCCGTCCGCAAGGATGCCGGCTACCCCGGCGCTGCCCTCGAATCCCTCATCCCTTGCTCTCTTCGCGTTAAGCCTTTGGAGGTAGGATCTCAGCACAAATGTTAGGATGACCACGAGCGAGTAGCAGACCATGATGGCGCCGAAAGCCGTCGCGTATGTGGGGTCTTCTTCCTTGCGAAACAGCAGAGGCCCGGCAATGTTACCAGCGCAGTAGGCAACGAAAAGCATGGCCGTGATGGTCATCTTCTTGGTAACGCCACGATAGTTGGACGAAACCATAGCCATAACTAGCGGCAAGGATGCCGGTCCGGTTGATAGGAGAAAGTAGGCAAAAAGCTGGACGCCGTGCGGAACCCGGTCGCGGCAGAAGATGACGGCGGCACCAATCACGCAGGGGATAACAGCAACGATGACGAGTAAGCAGTTGAGGGTGCGGAAGCGCCCTGCCATATATCCAGTGCCGTATATTGCCGTGGCACTGATGAGGGAGTACGGGAGATTGATCAGTGTCGACTGAAGGTTAGTAAAGCCGAAAGACTGTATGACAATGTTGGAGAAGTTCTGTGTACTGCCGTTGGGGATCTGGGTGAGCAAGGTTATTGGGAATATGAGCCACGTCTTGGGGTCGATGAGGCACTCGATGACTTGATTCAGCTGCCAGCGAGCGTTCTCGGAAGTGCCCATGCCCGCTACAACGACACGCCTGGCCGCCAGCCGTCTCTCCCTTGGAGTGAGGAACCGCGCCTTGGAGATGGTGTCTGGAAGCAGAATGAACATGGGCACGGCCCAAAGCAGTGTCGTGATTCCAAGGATGATGTACATCCAACGCCAGGGTCTGATGTCACCGCCGACGTGGCCAACGGCAAACGCGAGAAGGCTGGACACGATGCCGCCGATTGCATTGCCCGCGAACCAGATCCCTACGCGACTGGGAATCTCGTCACGCGTGTACCAAGTTGATGTGAGGTACATGAAGGCTGGGCTGATGGTGGCTTCGGCGACGCCCAGCAGGAAGCGAAGAACCACGAGGCCGCCAAAGCTGCTGCAAGCGGCGGTGAGACCGACCACTGTGCCCCAAAGGAGCGTATTGGCTGCTAGATACTTGGCAGTGGGGAGGCGCGCGATGAGGACGCTGGTGGGATACGTCCACATGAGGTAGCCAAAGTAGAAGGAGCTGCCGACCCAGCTGTACTGCTGACCTTGAAGGTGCTGTGCGATCCTGGTGATGAGCCTGTGGCCATGGACCTGAAATGCGGTACAGCATAAAAACGGTGCTTACATTGTCTTCACGAAGGCCAAAGACGGCGGCGCTGGACAGAACCACCTTGTCCATGAAGTTGAGCATGTACGTGACGAAGAGCAGCGGGATGATCGTTCGGTCAATTTTCTTGAGGACGAGGCGCGCCGCGTCGGCATCTGAGCCAGAGCAGGTGTCGGCGCTGGTCGTTTCGGATGAAGATCCCATGCCGGTGTGAGCAAGAAGCGGCTCGGCGGCAGGGTCAGTCGCGGCGTCCTCGTCGCTGCCGTCGTCGGCCAAGACGAGCCCGAGAGAGGGAACCTTCATGGGCAGCGATCCAATGACCCGCCCACGAATGCTCAAGTCAAGGTGCTGCCGTTATCCAAGATATCGTTCGCAGACGCATGGCTTGCGGCACTGCTTCGCTACGCCTGCCAGGATAGAGCGCAGCAGTGTGTTGAATTGCCGTGTGGAATTGTCACTCAAAGATTCGGGGTCGTGAAAGCGCGAGGCGGGATAGCACTCGCTGGCCCCGTCCCAGGCACCCGGTCAGACTCGAGCGCCACCTGACGAGATGTGGGGCAGATGCCAGACAGGAAACAACAGTTCAGCGCCTTGTCTAGCTGTTGCTACAGAGGGGCAACTCGTGCTGCATATTATTACGGACGTACGGCCATGCGCAACATGATTGTGTCCCTAGCTCATCGTGCGGCTTGCCTCGCAGCCTCGCGCTCAACGTTGAGTCCCAGAGCCGGTTCCTGCTGCTCTTTGCGTAAGTGGTGACCTCGGATGAGAAGACCCGTGAGCATGGCCACGGCAGACACTACAGTGTACTGCAGCCCGTTAGCATTTTTAAGAGAGAGGCATGTTCACTACCGGACGGCAGCTCACCATGATCCACATCGACCTCATTGACTCATAGTACGCCGTCCTTGCAGCGAGTCGCTGCATCGGCGGTAGCGCCCTGACCAACTCAACATTTGCGGACGCGCTCGCCCCATCGAACCGCGCCGCAAGTTCATCGCCCAGTTTTCCCACTAGTATCGCCCTCTTAGCGTTCATCTCGTTCTGGAAAACGACGCCGCCGATTACGACGGATATGGCTGTCGAGATGGTCCTCGTGAATCCCATGGTGGTCGTGGCGGCGGCCACGTCACGGGATGGCACAACTGCTTGGACGGCGAGCAGCGGGCCCTCAAAGTTCATGCCCGCACCAACGCCGCCAACGATCTGAAAGGTCACGAGCCGAACCCAATTCTTGTCCAAACCTACATCGATGAGCAGGCCGACGCCGAGCGTCATGGCAACCGTGCCGCAGTATACGGCGGGCATGTACTTCCCAGTCTTTTGGATGAACACGCCCGTCAAGGCCGCCGAGAGACTAGACGACAGTATAAACGGCAGCAGGTACACGCCGGATGTTAGTGGGCCGGCCAGAAGGACCGACTGGAAGTACATGGGCAAGTAGTATGCCACGCCGAGGAATACAAACGAATGGAAGAAGCAAAGCCCGTAAGCCGCTGCCGAAGACGCCGTGCGGAAGAGATGGACGGGCATGACGGGATACACGGCGAGCTTCCACTCGTTGAGCACAAAGAGACCGCCCGTGAGGAAGCCGAATACGATCAGGCACACCACAGTGGCCGAGTGCCACGGTTCGTACACGCCGCCGAGATACAGGCCGAGCAGGAGCATCAGTGAGCCTCCCACAACCAGGAGACTGCCCGTCCAGTCGATAGCCGCAAGGCCCGCTCGCAGTGGAGTTCTCGGAGAAGACAGCTTGAGAGTAAATAAGAGGAGGAGAAACACCGCACCGGTTATCGGTACTGCGATGGAAAGTCAGTCTGGGCCATGAGAGCTTATCTGATGCAGAACTTGCGATTGATCCAGAAACACCATCTCCAGCTGCCAGGCTCCAGTCAGCGGATGTCCCATCACAATGAAATCGCACCAACTCACGTTAGTCTGCTCGTGAACACTCCTCCCATCACCGGCCCCACGCCACTAGCAATGGCCCAGACAACAGAAGTGAGGCCGTAGTACAAGCCACGGTCCCTGGGCGGGAACATGTCCGCGATGCAAACATTGACCATGGTCGTGAGGCCCGAAGCGCCAAGACCCTGGACAGCCCTGCCCGCGACAAAGGGCCCGAGGCCAGAATCGACCACGGCGCATACAAGGCTGCCTGCGAAGAACACGGCACAGGCAGCGAGGATTACCGGCCGGCGGCCCCAGATGTCTGACAAGCCGCCCCAGGTGGGCGTGCTTGCGGTGTGGGCAAGGATGAAGCCGGTGCCGACCCAGGTGTAGCCCGAGGTGGAGGCGAAGTGGCCGGCTATGGATGGCAGAGCGGTGGTGATAATTGTGACGTCCAGGGCGGACACGAAGACGCACGCGCAAAGGCAGGCCATGATCGTCGCAGTCTGGGCGCTGGAGAGCTTGCGAGACTGAGGCGGGTCGGCAGACACACCCCCAGGACCGCGGCTCATGGACCGAAGAGATACATGCTCAACGATGCCATTGCGGACATCGACGGTAGATGTTTGGCTGATTGTGCGCGACATGGCGGTAGGATGGGATGCGGTCCAGGGTGGCGGGCGGACGTGTTCGGGCTGAATGATCAACGGGACAATGTCGCGACCATCATCAAATGCTGCAGGAACTCGGGGAGCTCTGCGCGCTTTATATATGTCTGACCGTGTCCGCCGGCCTCGACTACAGGGGCCGCATCCTCGTTATGCTCCTTCTATGTCAAGGACGAGGCGGTTCCGAGTCGGGTTGAGCTCCCGTCTCGGGTCCCCGGCCTTCGGGGCGGGAAAGTGGGCTTTGCGCGGCCGGGCCCCACCCCAGACTCCCCACAGTGGATTTGCAGGAGCTGAACGGGGTGAGGCCATGCCCCAGATTCCGCGTTCCCACCTTCTCCCTCTTTTCCCGCCGCCTTGGTTCCTTGGCCTGTTTGATGCGAGCAGGTATGTACCATACATACCTAATAATAGAGAGAGCCGCTTCGCCACAAGACACTGCGCCGTGGAAGGCACAGGCAGGAAGTCGTCCCCGCAATGCAGCCCGATGCGCCATCGTAGAGACACGAGGCATCTCCATCGTCTAGTATGGAGTGAGTACATATCTGGTAGATAAAGTATTCATGTCCGTGGGGACACTCCCGCCATCATCTGTCTGCGCCCCTCCTCACACGACATCGCCCACACGAGGCTTCCTTTTCTGTTACTCGCTGCACGACCTCGTTTGCACCCCAGCCATCGGCAGCGAGCACAAAGAAGCGCCCGACCAGGTGCAGGACACGCCCCGGTCCGCTGCGAGCACAGCCCACAGAGCGCTGCCATTCGCCATCTTGGGCCGCCACAGGCACCATCGGGGCTCAGCAGGCACCGCTCAGCAGCGAATCGCGACCCGCAGCTGGGTTCCTGCAGCAAAGCCACGGCGTGCCGGGGCGCGGGGCCGACACGATCAGGTCGCCAACAGCGGCGGGCGGGTTGGATGTGTTGCAACACTCCAGGAATGTCATGTGCGCACTTGCCCGCGCAGCCGTTTTTATCTCGTCGCATGTCCCCAGCTGGCTCGGTCCTTGAAGTTCCTCACGATCATACCCAGTCACACATGGACTCGATGACGCACCATGGACTTTCTCTTTGGGCGCAGGACCGAAAAGAGTCGGCTCACGCTCAAGCGGCCATCGTTGAAAGACCCCCCTAACATCTACTACACTTCTGCTCAGCCGCCCGCTCTACCCAATCGCCCCGCAACATCCGCGGGCAACATCGCCGCCTTTCACCCTCACCCTCACATACCCGGCAACGGCCCGTATGCGAACCCTATTGCCGCGTATACCCAGCAACAACTCCCTTCTGGAGGCCCGGGCCCATGGTTAGGCAACGGGTACGATCCGTCGGCATGGGCGGTAGCAGCCGTAACACCAGTTCCATCCCAGCAGCAACGGCCCGTTGGTGCAAACCGGGACTACTACAACCACGACACGACTGCATATCCTGGGCCCTACCAAGCGAATCATGGCAGTGTGCAGAATCTGTCTGCTCACCCTCACCCTGGCGGCTGGGCGTCGTCCATGGTCCATCTCCCTGTCCAGCACCAGCTCGCCGCTCAGTGGGGCGATATGGGCAACCGCTTCGGTGACTTGATGACGCTCATCGACTGCGAGCGATATGCCGGCGACGAGACGGACTTGTTCCTCTTGCAGCAACCGCAGCCTCCACGTAGTTCTGATGCGGCGACGTCTGACCGGCCCGGGTCAGGTCGTGCCTCCTCCGACGATCATGTGCGAGGGTTCAATGGCCGTGGTGGGAGAGCGAGAAAGGGCCCGTCCGACAGTGATAGTAGCCGTCGTCTCAACGCGTCCGACGTTACAGCCGCTGTCATATCAGGCACCTACTTCTCCAAGGTCGATCTCTACGCCAACTCACGTCTCCCCCTAGACCTCCCGCCATTTGTCGTGTAAGTGCCACCCTCAACATCCTCATCTACGCAGACGACACCCTCTGAAAGCTGACCTTTGCGACTACCACGCAGATACATGCCAACCTGGCCGCTCCTCTGCCTCGCCGCGCGCCACTCCCAGCGCGTCTACTCCAAACCCCGCGGGCCGGAGCGGCTCACCCACGTCTCCGCCGACTGGCTCTCCGGGACCAAGGCCATGACGGTCAGCTCTGTCCCCGCGGACCACGCCGGCGCCATCGTCCTCGCCATCCGTGGCTCCGCTTCCTTCGCCGACTGGGCCGTCAACCTGCGCGTCGAGCCTGCGCTGCCCACAGGCTTCCTCGACGACGATTGCGGCAACGCCTGCCACGCCGGCTTCCTCTCGGCCGCGCGCAGCATGGTCCGCCCCGTGGCGCGCCGACTGCGTCGTCTCCTCGAGGAGGACCCCCGCCGCGCTTCCTACAGCCTCGTTCTCACGGGACACTCGGCCGGCGGGGCCGTCGCCGCGCTCCTGTACATGCACATGCTGGCCAGCTCCGCCGGCGCGCGAAGCGAGCTCACCTCCCTGGCCGGCGCGTTTAAGCGCGTCCATTGCATCACGTTTGGCGCCCCGCCGGTCGCCCTACTGCCGCTGCGCAAGCCCGACCGCGCCGACCTACGCAAGAGCCTGTTCCTGGGCTTCATCAACGAGGGGGATCCCGTCGCGCGCGCTGACAAGGAGTACGTCAAGAGTCTCCTCGAGCTGCTCGCTCGACCTCCACCAAGCCTTGCGGCGTCGAAGCGAGACCAGCGGGGCTCTAGGGATAAGCGAGGCAGCAGGGTCAAGGTCGGATCGTCAGCTCCCGTGTGGTCCGTGCCTCCTGTGACTCTCTGCAATGCAGGGCGCCTCGTCGTGCTCCGCAGCGGCGACCCGCGCAGCCCGCCAACAGATCGCAAGACGGTCAAGGAGCGACTCGCTGAGGGCGTCGCAGCCGCGACGTGCACGCCTGAGCATCTTGGCCGCGTCATCTGGGGAGATCCGGTTTGCCACCTCATGAGCCTGTATGCAGCGCGGATCGAAGTCCTGGCCGTCGGTGCCGTGACGGCCAAGCGACGATGATGGGTAGTGGCCCCTAATGTGGGCTTATTTTGGGGTGGTATGATGTTTGTCGGGGGTCCGCGGCAGTTGGCAATGCACGATGAGATGACTACTTCGTAGCCAGATACCCTTCGCGCTATAACCGTCATTCGCAAGCTCTTGGCTGTATACAATACTGCGTATGAAGTAGTACTAACTATAATGTCTCATCCTGAGCCAGACGGTGTCACCAACAAGGCACGCCAGGGTATCCGACGTCAATGAATGACGAGAGGATATCAAGCGGAATGCTTTGATTGCAAGTCTATACAAGGCTATATATATCCAGCAGAGGTCGCTACACACTTCTCTTTCAAAGATTCCAAGCGCAAAGGCATTGCCGTAGAATCTGTACCCCTAGAACAGCACAAACAATGAGAGTCTGTTTGAGACGAGTCCATACCGCCAATGTGGCCCAAGATAAACTCCAGATTTCGCCCGCTGATCCTGAAAATGACTTGCAAATATGTTCAGCTACCACGCCACATGGCGCAATAGCGGTGGTAAAAGTAACCCAGCAGAGCAACAAAGAGACCCGTGGGCCTATACAAATACAGAGCGCTTCACTTCCCCTTCGAGCCAGTTACCAAGGAGATGGTGGCGCTGAGACGCAGCCAGACGCCGCGGAGTGGCGCGGCCTACCTCATGGGCCCGAAGCCGAGCTCGCCGTTCATCGAGCCCATCGTCATCAACGTGCCGCTGGCGTCCGAATCTGTTCTTTGCAGATTATGGTACTCGCCGACGGCTTGTAGTTGTGGCTGGACGTGGAAGCTGTTTTGCCGCAGGCGAAAATTGATCGAGTGCGACTGTGACATCGACGGCGAGCTGGTGCTTTGATTCCGTATGCCCTGCGTCATCCTGTTGACGTGTGACATGGATTCGTGGCCATGATTCAAGTGTTGGTGGTGCTGTCCCTGTGGCGCATTCAACGAAGCGGACTGCGACGGATTGCCCAGCGGGCTCATGACCATCTCTGACATGGGCGTGCAAGCAAAGCCGTTCATGTTATGTGGATACTCCATGCTGGGCGACATGATGCCGGGTGAGCTGACAAAGGACCCGTTCATGTCCGATGATCCCTGTTGCGCCATGGGTGGCGAGCCACTTGAGGCGTTGGAATTGGATGCCGATTCCGGCGTGTTGCCGTTCATCTTCTCATACTCTTCGACCGAGAACTTGCGGTCAAAGTCGGCACCGCCCATCGACATGTGCATCTGGCTCGGCGGCTGGGCCATGCCAGCGTTGCCGAAACCGTCAAAGATGTCAATGTTGGCGAGATTCGAGTTCTCGGGAGCATTTTGCAGCATTGGGTTGGTAATTCGGGGGAGAACCTCGCTCATCTTGTTCATCAGCAGAGGGAGGAAGCGATGGTCGCCGTTGCGGGACATGGCGATCATGGAGATGATCTGGTTCAGATGCTCTCGGGGCCCAACAGAAAAGGGGTCTCGCGAGGGCGCTTGCATAGAAAGATACTCCGTCATGGCTGAAGTCATCTCAACCAGTTTCTCGATCTGCACCTCGAGTTAGCTAGTGTCTGAAATGTACCAGACAAGCTCTGAACTTACCAAGCCGGGTCCGAGGAGATCGATCTGCACGGGGAACTGCGACGCCATGCTCACCAGGAGTTCCCTGGACATGTGCATAGGATACTGGAACGACATGGAGTCGTCACCGCCGCCGTTGACGACCCCGCTGCTGAGTTGCCATACGGTGTTCTTCAACCACTGCTGGTTGGTCTGGACATCGTTGAAACTTGGGTCCTGGCAAATGTACGATTGCACCAGGTCGTTCAACTGTTTCTGAAGGCCCCTCAGATACTGAGCAGACAAGTGACCCTTGGTCTTGTTCCACACGCCGATGAATGAGTCGTCAAATGGTCTGTACAAGTTCACAAGGAGAATAAAGCTGTTGAGCTGGTGCGCCTGCGGGTCGCTAGGGTCATCACCCAACGTTGGCAGATTGATGGAAGCTTGCAGCGAAATGGGGCGTTGTCGCTGAATGGCGTAGGCGCTATACTTTCTGTCAGCGAGCCGTACTTGACACCCCAGGCTACGTAGTACTACTTACCGCTCGATGACAAAGAAGAGCCAGTAGAGGCGGCGTCGGCGAGCAGCCTCGGCGGCGTCAAACTGCATGTAGTACTCCTCCTTGTTCATGCCAATCATGTGAATCATGGTCGTGGCCTCCCGCAGGTAGTACCAGGCTCGGTCGTGAAGCTCCTGGCCGTAATAGCAGCCGAAGATGAAAAAGTTGGTGGCGAGAGCGTTGAGTGTGATGGAATCGAGGTATTCGTAGCCCTTGCGGACGCGCAGGACCTCTTCGAGAAGGAGCTGGCTGGAGATGATGTTGGCACCAGGGACCATGTCGAGGTTGTACGGATCGCCGGGCGGCATTGACATGCCAGGCTGTAGCATGATGAAGGCGCACAGCGAAGTCATGAGGCAGTAGGCGTCGCGGTTCTGCTCCATGTACAGGATTTGTTGCTCAATCTGGCGGCGGTCGAGGATGGGCGCCTGCGGATACATGTTGTCGAAGAAGAAGTGAGCGCATTCCTTGACGAGCTCTCCCGTCAAGAGGCCCGGAGTCGGGCCCATGGACGGATTCGTGGGAGGGCACGGGATGCCGCTCATTCGATTCTGCACCTTGGCGGAGAGGCTCGTCTGGCGTTGCGTTTCCCTCAATTCGCTGATGACCTTTGCCCGCGAGCCCTTTGGCCCCTTCTTTTGAGGGATGGCATTGTAGGTGCAAGACAGTTGTGCCGACGAGCAGTTTCTGCAAGGGTTGATGCCATCGCACTTTACCTTACGGCGGTGGCAGGCGTCGCAGGCCCGCTTCACTGCCTGGGTCATGATGATGGACGCCGTGATGTCTGATGATCGACAATCGGTCGATGGCGAGGACGTGGCGATGGGCTAGGAAAGAGGTCAAGTGACCCAAGGCGTGCCGTCGTCGGTCGTTGTCTCAGCGCAGAGCAGACGATGGCAGGAGCAGCGGCGTGAAGGGATATCGATAGCAGTGCACCGACTGGGCGTATGGACAGTCCAGACTCTGGGGAGATTGCGGGGGAAATGGGCGCCGTGGCTCACTCTCGCGTAGCCGAATGTAGTGTTGCAGAGTGAGGGCGGCGACAGCGGGTGTTGTGCGCGGCTTGCAGGCCTGCAGGCGTTATTCGGCCCTTTCCAAGCAGGCCTGGACGCGGGGAACAAGCGGATTCGTCGGCCGAGCCCGGGGTCTGGCAGGTCGACGAAGGCACCGTTGGAGGTCGACAGTGAGGCGGCAGCGCTGCAGGATCCACGACGAATCGCTGCCAGGTGCCGTCGACAGAGGTTGTTGTTTTGCGCAGGCGATGAATGAATGCAGAGTCGCACGTTTCGACAGTGGGCACGGGGAGGGATGGGGGATGGGGGAGAGGAAGAGAAGAATGGGAAAGAGTGGACTCCCTGTGGGTTTTCGTCAGACTGGGGGGAACAGACAACTGGGGGAGTCAGGGGAGTGGGATGCTTCCAAGAGCACAATGGAACGATGGATGGAACAGGCAAGGCGGAGCGCAGGGCGGGAAGGCGAGTACCTTATTAGGGGCCAGGCGAGCGCGGCGCCGGACTGGCCAGCTCGCACGGAGCAGCGAGCCAGATGTGGGAACGTCAGCGCCGACGGTGCGAGCAGAAATTGGCGGGGGGCACCGCTTGGGGTGGGCGCTCCGCGACGCTGAGTGGCCCGCCCGGGGCTGTGGGAGGGGAGCCAGTGATTGGGCCGCCTGGCCTGCCTGGCTAATACCAACCTTGAAGGCCGGGTGGTGGTGGGTGGCAGAGACAGGCGCCTTCGGGTGGTCGCACTGTAGCAGGGTGGGGGCCGTTGATGCGTGGCCCGAGTGCTAGTGCAGAGAGCCCGAGCCGGTTTGAGGGCACTGTATTTGACGAGTGTCATGCATGAGTGTGGACAGTGCGCTGGCCGTTACTGGGCCTTGGACTCTAACAGGCGATACGTCCGGCGAGCCCGGGCTGCCCTCAGCCCAGGTCGCCCTCGCCTGCCCAGGCAACCTGTTACGAGACGCCCAGGCTCAGGTGGCTCGTACAGCATGCAGTGAGGGCTCCGTACCGCAAAGGTATTCTGCGAGTTTGACTCGCAATCACCCAGCGGTTGCTGGATCGTTTGCCTTGCCACTGGGGTACCTTTCCAGTACATGGCCCTCACCCTCACCCTGGTGGGCTGGCGTCCTGTCTGTCTCACCAGACCCGCCGCGGCCGCCGATTCTCCAAGAGTCTTGTCCTTCATCCCGCCTGTGCGCCCGTGTGCGCGCCGTGGCTCTTGCGCGCGCCCGCGCACGATATCTTCTTCTCCTCGCCACGAAGCATCGGTGAGATCCCGGGCTCGATACGCGCCTCTCCCAGGCTGCGATGTACGTAGACGGTCGCGTCGGGGGCCAACAGCCCGCGAAGCAGCGGTCGCCGGCGGTGGTAAGGCCGGTCGTCGACCTCGTACCAGGGCCATGTGCGACAGGTCAACCATCATGTCCAGCACCAACATGCCGCCACAAACGATGGTCCGTTGGCTGGCTAATTGGCCCACCGCTTCCAAATCTGTGCTCGCGAAATGGCGTCAGGGACCGTTACCGCGCGGCGGTATCTGGTCAACGGCGCCTGCACACACGTACAGAGAACGAAGCCCTTGTTGGAATGCGTCCCGAGCTGACAGATGCTATGCGGCCGTCGATAGTAGACGCCCATCGCATTTGCAACAGGCGTGAATGCCACGCGGTAAGCCGCATGTTCTATAAAACCAAGACACTGGCAGTCTGGCGTCGGGTCTGGTGTCGAAGCCCGCGGTCCGCCTGGCTCTCCGCCATTCGTCCCCATCTGCTCTTCACGGCTCGCCTCGGGGCCAACAATCACCCGGCTCACTGGCCACGTAGTGAGCAGTTGATCTGAATCGATCGTTGCCGAAAGATCCAGCAGCTGTCAGTTTTGCTGGTCACCATCGTTTTCGCTGTCCCCTTCAGACCTGACCGGACTTTGGACCTCGCGCAGGCCGACAACACGTGGGACGCATCGCCACGGATCCCGGGGCAGGGAGAGGTCAAGCGCAATGGGTCATCATCACTACGTACCTGCCTCTGTTCGCCTGGCCCCCAAAGGCCCATGGAAGCTCTGCGGCAGTGCGCTGTTTTGCCGCCTGGGCAGAAGTCTAACACGGGCATCAGTCGGCAGCACGGGAAGCTCAGTTCGGTCCCGTAGGCTCCAAGTACCGATGCATCAGATTCGCGGCTCACCTCCTGATTGCGTTTCCTTGGCCCTGGCTGTGTTGCAGCTGCCTGGTCCTTGCGCTCTGTGGCCCGTCGACGACCAAAATGCAACCAGGTCCCGGCGGCCTTGTGCTCTCCAGGATACAACGTCGCATGACCTGCAAGGCTCCTGGATCAGGGCCTGGCCGAGTCCTCCCTTGCACAGACTTTGTACGATGTGCAGGCTTCCATTTCCTGCATGGAATGACCGACTCGCAACAGAGGGCGACGTGAGGGCCGCACAGAAAAAAGTTACAACTTACTCGTAAGGTCCGCAACGGCTTCCCCTGCGCCGTGCTTCTGACAAAGGAACCTCGACTTGTGTTAACGAAGATCTCGACGCCTGACGCACCGTGATCGGGTAGAGACGACGCGTTACTTGGGCCGGAGAGCGGGCAATGGCCGCTATGTCTTCATGCAGACCTCGCCGCAATGCGACTCTGGTGAGCTCACGTGTTTGCCGTGCGAGCTTGACCAAATGAATCCATCTCACGCGACGCCGTGCGGAGGAAATGAGGAGCCGCGATCGTGGGTGTCCTCCCCCTCTTCCTCCACAAAGAGGCTGGCCTTGGCCTGCGCCTTCGGTCCGAAAAGGCCACGCCCAACGCCGCCCACTCCTGCAAGGCTGCGCAAAACTGGCCACTCAGAATAATGTGGCGCTCAACCTCGAGCGCCACCGAAGAAACAGCTTCATCCCATTGGATTTGGCCGTCTCGCATTGTCGAGGAGCCGGGCACCCAGGGTCGGCCACACCTGAAATCGCCTCCGGCGTTCCGCGGGGGTGCTCCTGCGGGCTCGGGAGGCATCCCCAAAGTGCAAGACGCAGTTATCCCGCCGTCATTCATCGGCATATTGAGGCAGCCATCGCTTCAACTTCATGCCCGTTAAAACAATTGCCTGGTGCCAGGGACTCCTCGGCGACCTGGTGTCCACTTTCCAGCGTGGAAGCTTGACGCTTCTAAGTTCAGAAGATGAAACAAGGAATGGGGCCGATCCGACTCCCAGCGATGTGACGGGCCGCAACGGCGAACGGCGCCGACGTTCATGGCGCGTGGCACAGAACATTCCTCACAAACTCAAATACCCAATTCTCCGGAAGGCCATTAACCGTCTCTCTGTTTTGTCTCGTCAATGCATGCCCGAGCATCCGAGACGACCCAGAATGGAACAATTCGGGCTTTCCACGACTTGAAACGTGGCCACGCATCAAAAACTAACCAGCGTCCTGCTCAGTTCCCAAAGTCGGTCCTCGCCTTTTGTGTCATGAGCATAAGCCGCTGCCCCAGAACCCATCGCCGACGACAGCTCCTTGGCTGGCGGCGCAATTGCACATTCCGACAGATACTCTCCGCCCTTGCCCTCCCAGGCTTTGCCAACGGCTGCCCAGACCGATGTCGCGGCCCCTTGCTCGGGGGTCAACATCATTGAGGCCACTTCCGGCTCCTTCTTCCAAGCAGCCAGCGTCTCGGACGGCGTGAAGGCCTGCAAGCCTGTCCAAATACCACCAGGGTGCAAAGACAGAGCGTGAATACCGCGCGGCCCGTACACGCGGTCGAGGTAGTTTGCCATCCAGATGTTCGCCGTCTTTGACTGGCCGTATGCCTGAAACGGCTCGTATGCGCCAGGAGTCTCCCAGTTGTAGTCGTCGAAGCGGACTTGGCCGTACCGATGTGCAGAAGATGAGACACAGACCACACGCGAGTTGAACTGAGGCGTGCTGCTGGACTCCAGCGTTGGGAGAAGCAACGTAGTCAACAAATAGTGCGCTAAATGATTGACACCGAACTGCCGTTCGAAGCCATCCGCAGTCTTGGAGTAAGGCGTTGCCATGATGCCTGAAGCTCGTCAATCCAGTTCCCGCACGGTGTGTAGTCAGTCGTGCGTACCTGCGTTGTTCACGAGGACATTGAGGACGCTACTTTTCTGCAGGAAATGTTTTGCCGCATTCCTCACAGATTCAAGGGAGTCGAGGTTCAACTCAATGATCTCCAACCGCCCCCTTCCCTGGCTCGTCGTCAATATATCCTCCCGGGTAGCCTGCCCCTTTCGGAGATCCCGAGCCGTGAGGTACACGTCCGCACCCGTGGCGTGCAGCGCTCGTACTGTCTCAACACCGATACCTGACGTGCCTCCAGTTATAAGAATGACCCTTCCAGCCCATTTCCCGATGGCGTCATTGTCTGTGACGACCTGCAAAGCAGTCGGACGTCGGTCCCCGGGACCCGAGGGCTCCGCATAGAGGTGTGCATAAGGCTGCAAAGGAGTCGACATAATGGCTGCGAACCGTTTCTGGGAGGACCGGTGTAAGAATTTAGACAGAAACTAGGACACAACGATTCGAGAACGACCCTGCCAGTTATAAGGTGCGTCTCCTGCCATGTGGTCTCTCCTGCATGAGGTTTTGTGACCAGATCATTGTTATATATTCATGTATATAAATACGTCATGGCTGCCGTCTTCGTCTGACTGACTTATGAATTAGAAATCAAGAGTCCTTATCTCCATGATCGCCGACCTGGTCACGATATAACGAAAGTTTGAGTTGGGCGGATTTAACGCATCTGGAGCGGACATGTCCGCTCCCGTCCGCTCGGGTCCGCCGCCGGCATGTGGGGCTCAGTGACGGAGCCGCATCTCGTCCGCTGCAAGCCTGCAACTTCGATTTCGACGTCCGCTCTTCCGCATGGTTTTGTCCATTCTGCGGCGGCTAATGTCTACCTATCAGGTAGGATATCTCATTAGACTAAGCGAGAACGGCCAATACCCTCCATGCCGCCCCTTCTGGCAAGCCAGGCGTGCCGAGCCTGCCGGTGAGGTCACCGCCTTGGGGACTTCGGATGAACGGGATACATGGTACTGACTGTCAACTGTTCAGCCGCTTAAAGAGAAAGTGCACAAGAGATCTACCGTCATGTTCCCTGGTGAGTGGTTACCTTCTCAAGATGGATTCAACGTCTCTTATCGAATACGGATGACAGTGCGTAAGACTTCGCAAGACGTGCGAGTATTACCCAGGAGACATAGGTGCCGACGCGGCAGGTAATCCGAACGGACTTATAGAGAGGCTGCGGTATCTTGAGCAGCTCCTGCATGTCAATGGACACAGTCAAGGCCCCGGCGCGCTATCGGACGGGCGGTTAAGATCCCAGCCGGTTCTGAACGACAAGTTCCCAACTATTTACTTCCTGGACCCGGAGCAATTTTCACCCCTTGGCCCGACTTCTTTATCTTCGCCAGACCAACCTTTCATGCGCAATGGCTGGCAGCTAGTGGAGACCGACTGGCAATCAGTGTGCGCAACGTACCTGGAGACCATTCAACAGTGGCTGCCAATGCTGAGCAGGAAACGATTGCACAACGACCTAGCAAGTCTTGCAGTCGACCGGAAGCCCGCCGAGACGCTTCTTATACTGTGTATGAAGCTTTGCACGCAAGGAATACAAAGCTCTGACGGCAGCGAACAACACGACGTCGATGAATTGTACAATACAGCGAAGCAGTGTTGCTTCTACGCGGAGTCCGGCGGCTTCGTGTCTCTACGGCTGGTCCAGTCGCTCATCCTCCTGGCCGTCTACGAGCTAGGCCATGCGATATATCCGGCAGCATATCTCACCATTGGGCGTGCGTCGCGACTAGCAGGCATGATGGGCCAACACAGTCGAACTAGCGCGCGGCAGCTCTTCATCGACCCCGACACCTGGACATTGCGCGAGGAACAGCGGCGTACGTCGTGGGCGATTTTCATCATCGATCGGTAGGTTGCTCGCCTACTTCTCTACTGTGCCGATCTCTGAACCGCCATAGTGTTATATCAGCTGGTACGGATGGACTGGCAGTGTCGGCGCGCGCACCCGATTCTCATGATCTCCTCCCCTGCACTGACGTTGAATGGAATCAGGGTAGTATCGGCTCCAACGAGCCACTTCTCGCTGGGTCTTTCCACACAGGCACGTCTCTTGGACCTTTCGCACAGACCTGCCAGGCTGCGTACATGTTGGATAAAGTCATGACGCACCTCGACCGATGTAGGCGCAGCGATGACCAGAATGTGACAGAGATGCTGGCGGAGGCTATGCAGCTGCACAGGGCACTCTTGGCCCTTGATGCGAGCCTTAACCTGCCCGGCATGCTCAGTACACATTCGTATCCGAGCACAGACACACGATCCCACATCCAGGACCAAGGGGGACAAAATCAGTGCGCCATAGCACTCTGCTGCTCGGCGCGAACGCTTCTGTACGACGAGTATGGATGCAATGAACCAGATGCGAGGATCATCAACAGAGAGCGCATAGCGATGGAAACGGAGGCTCAGAGAGTTGCATTTCGGGGAGTCGAGGTCATGGCGGCAATGACTATTCCACGGATGGCAAGGCTGGTTGTGCAAACTTCAGCTGCGGCGCTGGTCATGCCCAGCATCAGTCCACTTCTCGGGTATTGCTTGTATCTCGGTGCGACGGAATGCGCGTGGTTCATCAGGGAGAACCACGAACGCAACATGTATGCGGCGCTGAGACAGATCATTCAGGGGCTTCGGGTATTGAATGCCCAGTGGCGAGTCGGCGGTAAGCATCACCGATGCCTTGATCCTGTTGATTATATGCTGACAAGATTACTTCGTAAAGGTGAGTATCTTGCTTTGTTGGAGAAGAGTAGCGTTCTCAACTTGGTGGACGATGGCGAGGCCGTCGCCGACTAGTATGGACGCGTCTGGAGAAGTGAGCCAGGGCCTTCACATTGGGTCGCTGCGGATAGTATGAAACCCCAATGAAGATGCCAACTTTAAGGGCGACCGCTGCGCTCTGCGTCTCACACTATTCTTCGAGTCTCAGCACAGAGGACCGGAGTATCAACATAGAACGGTCCCTGCTTCGTGTTTATTGGAGTCTAGTTGCGAGAGGTAGCAATCCCGAAGGTTGGTTGATACTGCTATGGTGGCGGCCGGTGCACTGGCGACACAAGCAACCCGAGATGAGGAGCCCAGGGGTTCGTCGTGCATGCTTCTTCGTGATCTGTGTAGTTCGTCAAAATTTTGAAGGCCATTGGGGGTACAAAAGAAAGTAACAAGCTATCAGCACCTGTTCGACGTGTCTCCGCAACCATCAATTGATCTTGACCGATTGGAGAAGCATATAATATTGGCTAAGGTGCGCAACGGGACCCGGCCCGGAGGCGGTGACCGGAGTCAATTCAACCGAGTTCAGGCAGTTGGGGATGAGCAATGCATTTTTATGCGCAACGCCGCGCTGTAAACATTACAAGCCCCTGGTGGTACGAAGTATTAAGTACGAATAACTCCATACGATGTGTCTGGTCTTTAGGGCCATTTCTGTTTAGTCAAATAGCGTGCGTGCCAAGCCAAGTAGAAACGTACGGTCAAGATTTAAAACGCCCTGGTCCAACCGATAAGGAAGAACATGAAATCTGGCCTGTCGCACTAATGTTGCCCTTACCCTCGGAGTTGAGACTTAAAGCAAGGCTGATAGCTGTTTAAGTACGCACTGGCCTGCCACCCGAAGTTTTCTAGCATACCACCAGCTGGTGGGCACCATTGAGGTCACCCCTTGAGCGGCCATGTGCACCTTCGGTTGCCCGCCTCTCCACTGGGATATCAGGAACAGATCTGGTACAACAGACTTGAAGCTGCTAAGTGTACTGAGCAATCGTGTTAGAAGGAGTTCGACCAGCCGCGTGGGCCGCGGCATGCCTGAGATGCGGAGAAGCCGACTTGCTCAGACCGATAGGGCTGCATGGGACGGCGATTCAGTGCTGCTCCTGTACGCCTCGTCTGTTACTTCGTATAAGATGTCACACGCCAGGTACCTGGAATGCGCGGGGAATTGCGCCGGGTACAATAAGAGCTACTGTACGCTGTAATCGCTTAAAGAGGCTTGGAGAGTTCCCTCACTCGAGATCGTCACGCCTATGATCCGACCCGGCCACGTCCATACTGGTGGGTTGCGCCTCACAACTGTTGCGACTGGTTCTTCGCAACCAGAACTGTCCCATATCTTGTACCATTGATCACCTTACTTCGCATGAAGAGAGTACAGCCCAAAATAATCCATGTCAGAGTTGTGATTGAGCCGTGGTTCGACTTCGTTCATTTGGCCGCTTCAAGGGCAATGCTGCGTGCGCCTTGAAGGGACGCTCCCAGACACATGACGATGGAGAAATCGCGAAGGGCGTAAAACTCAAACTGGCGGGTTTGGTGTTTGCAGGGAACTTTATCCAAGAGTTTCTTCAAAATCAGTTCTTGACAAATGCACGGAGTACATAATACACCATTAATACAACGGCCGAGTGTACTTCGGGGATGGTCGATGCGGTCAACTTCCATCGGCGGTTTTACCCCTGAGCTAGGTCGCACATGATTGTTTGCCTGGACTGTCGCGTTGCATCCATCCACCCCCCTCACAACCCGGACCAAGTGCAATGATACTGGGTTCTGCAACATAGGACAGTCATGCGCAGCTAGACCGGTCTGTAAGCACCTTCATGCAGGGTATGCTGTAGATATGAACGCACGCCTGCCTCAGGAGGAGAACATATCACCAGAATAAATAGGTCACAATTACTAGTCCCTGCCATGTTGAAACCTCTCCTGATTAAATTGGCCGTCAGTTTGACTGTGCGTGCCCCGCCCGCGCCATGGAATGAGGGCATGGACATGGAATGAGCCCATGCCCTCAACTTGAACTGCAGAAGAATTGACGTACGTTGCATACGTTGCACAGCATTGATACAATATCCGGCCCAGTAGCATGTGCACCGCCATATTAGGTTGCTTTTTATCTCTGCAGTTTAAGCTCCACTGGCTCAACATGCTGTTTATCGACTTTGTGTGGCCACATCCGTTTTGGCGTTTATGCGTCTGTTGTGGTACTCCGCGGACAACGGGATGGCATGATTGTTGCAGAATGTGTTGCGTCGCTTGACGACGTAGTTCGCGTAATGCACCTAAAGCCTTCATCTTTTCCTTGGTGTCAAGCTAGTGCATGAATGTCTGCGGAGACCCTTGGCTGAATACTGTAGCCTCTGGACATCGAGTAATCCATGAAAATATTCGAGACACCTGTTACATGTACAATTTTGGCGCTCTGCCCTTTGAGAAAGGTAAATGCTTTTTTTCAAAGCAGGGTGTCCGTACTCATTAACATGAACTGATGGTTCATGATTGAGGGAATGATTGAGGGAAAATTACCGTAACAGCAAGCTCTGGTCCGCATAAATGATAAATTTAGAAAGCATTCCTTCCATGTTTGCCAAGTGAGGCTGTCGAATGACCGCTTGAGCGCAACGAGCATCGCGTTTGTCAACACTGCCTTGTCCAGGGCCTTCACCATGAGTGACGCCCACCTTGGGGTGTAGGTCGCTCGGCGTCTTTCAATAATCACTACCTTTCCGGTTCTGAGTCGTCAGAGTCTTCGATAATGAACGCGGCAGACCCGGCCGAATACTTTGGTACGACATACGTCGTCATGGGATACAGGGCATACACTCGTGTCTTGGCGCGAAGGCCCTTGCTGTATGCGGCTTGCCACGGGGGGAGAAATGGCTCGGGCACAGCCCACCCGAGCTGCGTGTTCCGCAGCCAAAGTCGGACCATGTGGCGACAGGTGCGATCATCATCCTGGTACGCATCACGCCTGTGGAGAAGGGCCCAGTTGTTGAGGAACAGCAAACACCCGGTTTCGAGTTTCAAGCGAAGCTCCGTTGACCGCGCTACCTCGCAAACGCGCTGGAGGGCGTGCTTCTGGTCGCTTGTCAACGCCGGAATTAAGCCATCAGGGCTGTTCTCGTGTGGACCGAATCGATTCGGATCCATGCATGCCATCAAGCGGCCGTCATGCAAGGCAAAAGCCGGGGCCAGATAGTGGCGAGTTCGTCGGCAGGATCTGCAGTTCGTTAAGTTAGATGTTTCGAGTGAAGAAAAGGCGCTTCAGAGAGCCCTTACAATTGCACTGGCCAGCTCGGGTCAAGCAGCGTTCTGGCCACGTCCGGCTCGTCTTTGAGGAGTTTGTTGAAAACGGTCCATGTCGAAGCAAGGTACGTGTCCCCACCGCTGTCTACGCTTTGGCGAACTTGCAACGCCAGGGTGTCACAGCCCATGTCGTTGTGAAATGGCTGCGTCCTCGTCAGCACGTCTTCTCTTGGGGCCGCATCAGTGTTATATTCTGACCAAGGCTTTGTTGGAGTGAATGCCGTGCCGCTTGTCAACGGGGACATCCCAACCTTTCGAGCTGGTGATGTGGGCTGGGAAGCGGGTAAGCAGGAAACTCGACGGACTGGACTTTCGGTTTCACGCACACAAAACGTTGCCTCTCTTATCTTGGATGCCCCTTTGGTCAGCCACATAGCTGGCCAGGCCCAGGTAGACTATCACGCTGTCCTCGGTGGTGCACTGGAGGTGATGCAGACCCTTGATGATGGAGAAGCCGACGCCATTATGGATGTTATGGGCAATCTTTTCCAGCTTGTGGGCAAGGTCCCCGACTGGAAAGGTTTCGGTTGAAACACAGTCTCCGTCAATGCCGAGGGCTGCCACCGTCAGCTTCTCGCGCGAACGTTCGATATCGAATCAGGGAGTACCATTGAAACAGTCTAGAGCATGTTTAATGTCACTGATATCCCGATCACTAAGATGCCAGGTATAGCCCCAGCTGCTTCTCAAGTCGTGCCGAGTCCAGGCAAGCGGTCCCGACAATGGCACTGGAAGCTCGGGGGCGTCGGGATATTTGCCACTGCCGATGTTCTCGTCCGCACTACACTGGCGGCTGATGTTGTGATCGGGCATCTTAATTGATCTCCGAGTGGCAGGACTCGCAGGAGAGAGTCTCTTTCTGCCTCTTGGCGTGGGGAATCCCGAGGTCGCCGCAGAAAAGATGCATTTCAGTTCGGAAAAAGATTACATAGAAAATATAGCTACATTTTGACGCATCCGAAGGCCGATCCGGCTCCTCCTTCTACCCGTCAAGCGTTCGATGCCATGTTGAGTGGGCCGTCGCCCTCCAGTACGGTATCCATCTTTCTGGCTGGTGCGCCCCGGCGCTACAGAGGCCTGATGCTCGGTCGCATACTAAGCTGCATATGCTTCACGGCCCATTATGAGGGCCCCCAGGGCACGCTGATCTGCGGTGCCGGATGGTTTTGACGTCGGCATGCTCAACTCAGTCTGTCATGGTGATGCTTGATACATGTGGCGATGGCGACGTTGACGAGTCGTTGCTGAGGGGGCGAAAGATCTGATGGCTACCTCGTATGACGAAGACGATGGCGTCCACCACAAACTAGTCTTGGCCGCTGACCGGGGTCAAGCCCAGACTACGACCACCGGTATGCTTCAAGCTGACGATGCCGAGTAATTGACACGGGTTATGTGCTGTTCTCATGGTCGCCTTGCGGCTTGATCGTGAGATGTCGAGTGCCAGTACCACCCAACGGTGCAAGTCATGAATGCACCTTTGCCGGGCTGGGCATGCACTTTGCTTTGAAAGGATTCAAGCATATTGTGCGGTCGCAACCACGAAGACACGGCGAATCGCGCCGGCGAGCTGCCAGTCTCCTGAGGATCGGACAGCACTCGACCAGCACCACACCAAATCTCTTGCAACGGGCCGGAAAGAGTCTGCGGGGGCCTCCAGTAGATTGAAGGTGCAACCAGCGTCGTGGTAGACATGTGTTCAGAACGGACGTGCGCGACGACATGCTTTCCGCTCGTCCCAGTCTCGTCTTGTGCTCAGTGGAGAGGGCTACCTGGGATTGGAAACGCGACACACCTACATTGCCAAAGTACAGCGGACCAAATCAATCGAAAGGATGTCGTGAGAGGCGGACTGCGCAGAAAACATGAGACACATTGGGCAGAGACAATCTGGTTCGAACTTCGAAAGGCGTGTCTTGGTGCTGCGAAAAGGGGCCGACGACGTCCCTGCCGCCCATGATCCCAGCTGGACCCTCTTTGAGCCGGTCTGCGAGTTAGTGATGCCCTTGCACTTGCTTCCACTGTGCAGCGGTATCTCTGGTCTGCGATTCCGTGACAGGGGCTGGGCAAGCTGCACGAACCTTGAAGCCGATGTGACAGCGTGCGTGCCATTCGTTATGGGCTTGGTCGTCATCGTGTCGGCAGAGACACCTGCAGGCATCACGACAAGCCGGTCGGAGTGCTCCATTCGAGAGTGAATTTTGGAGCAGAGGTATTGGCAGGCAAATCAGTGCAAGGGCCAGGTTCTTGAACTCGAGCGACTGGGCGTGGTATGGTAGCTGCACAAGAGCCAGAGGTAGAGGTTTCCTGCTCGGCGGGGTCTACTTCGTACATTGTTTGGCCATGTTCGGCATATGGGTGAACAGAAAAATTATGGAGTACCCGGTACGAATTTGGGCCGTAAGGTCCATATAGGCCCGGGCTCGCCGCGTGAGCAGGGCCTCGTGGTTGAGGCAGAGAGGATTGTATGTCTTCAACCGGTGAGAACCGGATAAGTACGAGGACCTTGTAGCCGTGAAGATGCGTGATTGGACCCGAGGGCGTTTGTGTAACGAGGACAGCGGAGGGGAGAGTGGATTAGGTGGTGGAGGTTGACGGGATTCAGCGGCCGCTGCCACGAGCCACGAGTGTAGGTTGTGGCAGCGAAGCTTGGCCAGGATCCGCGACTGCACTTGTTGGCACGCGAGCGCAGTGCTGTGCTGTGTCGGGGTATGCTTGAGCGCATGCACGCACATACATTCTGCTGGCGCATCTCCAGGGGTCGGGGAGGCGACCGTGAGCGAGACGACGGCAGCGTGATGGGAGAAGCCCGCACTCGAGCGTGGAGAGTCGTGAGAGAATCGGACAGTGCACAGCCTTCGACTTGCGCACTGTATCAGCGACACCCGGCGCTCCACGGCAACCGCCGAACCTAGGTTGTCCAATGACTTCAGGCAACCTCATTGTCCTGTCGACGCTGGGTGCTTGTAGCTCGCCGGGGAGGCGGCCGTCACTTCGCAATTCGCCCAGCCAGGGGATCCGTGCTTGGTACTTGGGGGCGGCTCTCCCATGGGTCGTACTTCGTAGGTACGAGTGCCTGTTCGGTCGAGTCCTTGCTTTACCTCGCTGACCCGTCTAGACGGTGCTTCTCAACCTCGCCCGCCCACCGAACTCACGGTCCCGATCTGGGCACCAACACGACCCCACGACTTCAGGCCTCGACGAGACCATGCGCCACGACTGTCTGCGAGCACCTAGCGAAAGGACCACCTCCGCACATGGGCAGAGATTCGGGAGCCGGGCCGGCCGGGGCTTCCCCTTCCTTTCCGCCGCCACAGCCCGCAGTTCCGCAAGTCGCCCTCCATCCCAGTCATGGAGCGGAACTTCACACACCCAAGAATAAGATGGAGGGAGCCAACGGGGCAGCGCGTGGTCCAACCAACATGGGGCCAACGGTGGCCGAGGCCCATAATTTCATTTGCGCAGAGTCAAACCATGCATCTGTGCGACCCTGAAATGGGCCCCTTCACCGTCGCCGTTGGCTGGGTCGCGTGTTGGTCGGCACTGTGCCGTCTCGGGCTGAATCTGGACATGGCGGCGGCCATCTCCTCGCGTCTCGACAACAGCCGAGGGTCTGTCTGTGCAACGAGCTGGCTGCCTGCATTAGGAGCACAAGCCGCAGCTTGGCTGGGTCCATCACTCTCGTCATCGCTGCGTGGGCCTGTCCGTCGTCACTCGACTACGTCCTCGCGGGCTCGTCGTCGAGGACCAAGGTGCAGCGCTGCGCACGCGCCCATCCTGAACCGCCGCCGCCTCTCCGCGCTCGAGTACGCGCCCTCGTCCAGCCCAGAAGCCACTCACCACGTACCCTGTGCGACGCCAACTCGTCAGATCGCTGTTCTCGGTGGTCGCCACGAGCACCGTGGGACCTTCGCCGACATCACCACGCGCCCAGTCCCAGCCGTGTCGTGTCAGCTTGATGAGGCGGCCGAGACTCGCTTGAACTCCTCCCGCGTCCCGGACCAAGGCGTTGGCACAATAGACGGGCACGCATCCTGCAAGGACACCGACAAAGCCAGCCTTTCGCCCTCGCCGTGACCCTCGCCTCTCGACGGCTGCTTGTCCCCATCTCTTCCCTTTCTCCCCCCATCTCCTCCACCTCCGAACCACCACGCCCGTCTGCCTGTTCTTGACATTACAGGCACGACAGCTCAAGCCTGTCGTACAACGTCACGGAATCATTTCTGTCCCCTTGCCTTGTCGCCCCATTCCGCAACGCACGCCCACCGATCCCGCAAGGCTCCGTCGCTGGCGTTGTTGCAGCGCCAGCGCCGGCAAGCAGCGGCGGTCGAGGCTCAGCACCGACCAGCACCATCAGAAGCAGCAAAGCCAGCCGCCGCGTCGACAACAGCACGAGGACCAAGGGTCGCGGTTGAGCAGTCATCCATCACCCGCAGAAGCCCTTGGGGCGAGCCCCCAGAGTCTCCTGCGTGCGACGCATCCACGCGACCCTCGGAACCCTGAACTAGCAATAGCCACGCCCTCATCGCGCCATGGAGACGATGGACGCTGCCCAGGGGCAGCTGCCGGTAAGTGAGCGCTTTCTCTTCCAATTGCCTTGCCTACTGCGTCATGGCCCTGTTCGTCCGTTTCGAGCCAATGTACCTCTTCGTCACGGTGTTCGCCTCGGGGGCTCAGCGCTCCCTCAAGCTCTCTCCGTCATCCTTTGTACGTGTGCGTCTGCGCATTTTCCAGCTTGTACACACCCCCTCCTTCACGCCCCCTTGCGCCTGCATCAGGTCATGGAATCATCATGTATCATGGCCCGGGAGGATCCCTCTCACATCTCCATTGTCTAGCTCGCGGGTCTCGATGGTAGAGCGAGCCATGTATAATCCGTGAGGACGTGGGAACATGCTCGCAGCTGGCCAGTGCCATTCGCCGCAGCCTCTTGCGTCCAACGACCCTCCCTCGCTCCGCTGCGCCAGGGGTCGGTCATTCAACCGGGCAAGAGTTAGATGACGCAACTCATCAGATGCTTTTCGGTTCCTTCTAACGGCCCTTGGTTCCTGCTAGACCCAACACCGACCTGTCAAGCGCAAGCGGCCGGCCGGCACCCACGCTCACCAGCCGGACGGCGGCCGTGCTACTGCTCCCCGCCTCTGCAACGGCAGCTTTTCGTCCGGTTTGATTTTTCACGATGGCACCGATGCCCAACAGCCTCGGACGCCCGTTCAGCAACTGCCACAGCAGGCCGGAATCCATTATCTCTGGCCTGGTCATCCGTATGCTGTCTGGGCTGGCACACCAGGGCCGGGGCCTGGACCAGGACCGGCTGACATCGCCCCTTGGCGGGACACCAGGTCGCCAAGCGTCAATCAGTCCGCTCGCGATGCTCTGTCCCGTCACGTGTCGCTTACAAGCCGTGGCTACGACAGCGACGGCATGCAGCACGTCCTGGAGCCGGATCGTATGACAGCCTCCACACAGTCCATGCCGGGCAGCGTGGTTGAGCCCCTTGCCATGTCGATCGCGCGCCGGCTTCCTCACCAACTGCAACAGCAGCAGGTCCCTCCTGAGGCCGTCGAGTTTGCCGGTGTGACGAGCATGTCTCCCGGAGCCGGTCGAGCCAGAGACAAGATTTACGATGCAATTCTACAGCAAAACTTTCGTCTTCTTGCCGACCAAGGCGGCCAACACGAGCATCGCAGCCAGCTCTGCAGTGAGACCGCTGCCGTTGAAGCGTTCGACCCCGCCGCCGCAATATACTGCTCAGGTCTCGCCCCCGACCAAGCCCAGGTTCTTGGCCAAGCAGTCAGCAGCAGTGGCACGCCAGCGCGCGCAGGCTCCTGTGTCACCGGACCCATTGAAGGAACGCCTACGAGTCTGCCGAACGGCATGACATCGACCCAAGTATCTAGTGCCGAGGAATCCACAATTCGTTACCAGTCTCAAGCCCTGACTGCAGCCTCCTTATCCCAACCCGGAGTTGCTCATGGCTCTCTAGCCGCGTTTTCTCTCCAGACCGAATTGCCTGGCAACATCAGTAATCAAGCATCCAGCCTTGGCAGTCAAATTGGTGACCTAGGTCAATACAAGAACTTGTCATTCGACTTGAGCATCACTTCAGAATCCATCATGGGCGGCGGTAGTGTTTATCCGCAGCCAGAGCGGCAACAACCGCTGCTAGGGAATGCGACATCCCCACCACAGACGGAACAGATCACGGCGGCCCAAGCTGCTGCAACTTGCAAAATTGCTGCCGGGCATCTGTCAGCGGTGGCTGAAACAACTTCGTGCGAGTCTAGACAATCCGATGCGGCTCTGTACGGCCAGCAACCTAGTCGCGCGTTGTACCCGGACCAGTTGAAAATGGAACCGTTGGCAGACGACGTGGACTATACGGACTATGCGCTAGTCAAGCAATGCTCGGTCGCTCCTGTCTCTCAGTCGCTAGATAATGAAGACAGGACACACAAGGCAAAGAAACAGCGTTCTGCCTTCGACGACACCCGGCGCAAGGAAACGGCGGATACACGGTGGAGGAAGGCGTGCTTACGATGCAGGGTCCAGAAAGTCAGAGTGAGTGCAGTGGTCGGTCTTGGCTTGCGAAAGGCATAATCTGAACGGTGCATAGTGCGGAAACGATCCAGACAATCCCGACGCGGATTGCTTGCCTTGCCAGATGTTCTCCAAAACCTCAAAGAAGACGATACATCGTGTGTCATGCTACCGAGGAAAGCTGACAGACACAGTGCTTTACCGTAAGGGCGGACTTAACTTGACGGACCGCTGGAACGGCACGGCGATGAAGGACGTCGGCGATCGTGTCAACCCCCAAGACGTTCGCACGATTCACTTCACTATCGGTGTATGTGACCAACCAATCGTCGTTCAGGTAGTGCGATTCAGCGCCAGACCCGGCGATGTGACGGCTCGCTATTGGATCGTACGGGAAGGAGGCCGCGGCGAGGATATTCGCAAAAAGAAGGACCTGGAGCCCTACTGTTTGGCCAACATCTGGGACACCGCAAGTTATTTTGAAAACTACATTGTCGAGAACGCAATCCCATCCATGCTCAGGACCAACATGCCGTCATCACAGCTGCTTGGAATGAGGCACCTCGCCTCACACGACGTGATCAAGCGGACTTATGTCGCAGCGGTCGAGTACTACGCCAGCCTCGAGGTATGGTATTGAACCATATCTTTCCAATGGTAGCTGACCCAAGCAAAGGACCAAGTAGAGGGCCCATCAGGGAAGTCTGACAACCCGGAAAAGAAGCTGCTCGGCAATCTCTTCATACTCTGGTTTGCCACAAGTAGGTCCTTTGAGCCAGAAAACCTGCACAGATGCCTAACAGCTTACAGGGCACACCGCTGGCAGTGCGTATATCTGCGGTGATGAGAGCCTCGGGATGAAGCCCGAGACCAAGGACGAGACGTATCCGCTCTTTGGCAAAATATCTCTCCCACGCATGATCCTGGCCCAGTTCGACAGCATCAACCACACCAAACTGCTCTCCAAGTACGGACGCAAGGTGCTCCAGGATCTCGAGGGCTTCGTGTTTCGCAACCAGGGCCGCTGGTGGTGGGCAATCTACCTCTGCGTCTTCATCCTGCTTCACGAGGCGAGCTTCATCAGCGCGGATCGGTACCGCCACGCACGGAACAACCTTGGCACGAGGTTCCGGTACTCGATCCCCAAGTTTGTCGAAGAGCTGCAAGAGGGGTGCAACAACATCCTCATGCACTGGCACTACTACAATTGCAAGCCGTGGCCCAACCCCAACGAGCCGTGGCATCGCCACAGGAGCTTCCTCGCTGAGCTGTCGTCCGTACAGTACGACCTGGTCATGGAGACCATGACGGATCCGCGCGTCCAGCGGCAGCTCGACGTGTGGAAACGCTACAAGCTGGAGAACGGACGTGGTAAGTCCGATGCTACCCTGTCCTCGGCCGCCCTGTCCTTTGTCGTCGCAGTCCACCCGGCTAATACGGTCAGTCGAACGGCCCGAGTCGCAAGTTACTGCGGCCCAGGCGCAATACGTTGGAACGCAGGCCCAGTTTGATTGGGACCACCCTTTCTACTGGATTTCGCAGATTTTCGAGGAGCGCTGGACGCCTCATCCGACGTACCAGCGGGAGTACGTGTGTTAGGTGGCCTACATGGATGAAGCATGTAGGCGTAAGCCTTGCGCGCAGACGACAGATGCGAACAAGGACGTGTAAGTAGGGTCGGCACAGCGAGTACTCTAGCGTTGCGTAAAAGCCATTCTTGAAACCTGCCAGCATTCCAGAGAAGATGCTGGCCCCTGATTTGGATCCACCGGCGCGGCAATATGTGTGTAGGCCATCCTTCTACCACCCCCCACTATCCGCGATGGCTTGCCACGTTCAACGTTCCGTTCCGCTCTCAAGCAACAGCGCCTGGCCGATATCTGACCATGAACACTTGCACTTCACGTGTTAGCGTAAAGAAAAAGCACTGGCCTTTCCAAGTGATGCCGCCCGGCCCGGTGGTCACGTCGTCCTTGCTGACCGAGTAACCGTGTTGCCGCCTCAAAAAACGCCGCTTCACCAACGGACATGCCTGGCCGTCTTTGCATCGGTTCCAACCTCAGCACCACGCCCTCCGAAGTCCGCGCTTCCCTGCCCGCAAAGTCTTCTCCGAGGCTTCACATCCGGTAAGCTGTCCCAACCATCCACGTCACCCTGAGCACGGGCCAGCCAGGGGTCGTCGATGGTGATGCTCTCGACGAGCGGGCTGCCAAGCCCACGGCTCTTCATCACGAGGGTTATGTCGCCGGCGTCGATGCGGGTGCCGCGCTCCCACCGGGACTGGTTGCATCTAAGAGATTGACGGGCGTCGCGTATAGTGAGGCTGAGACTGGTGCGATGGCGGGCCACGTCGTCAATGTCGCGTTGTAGACGTGCGAGGAGCGCGCCCAGCTTGAGCGCTGTGTGACCGTTTTGAACCGGAATTTCCGGCATGTCAAGGACCGGGTTACAGCCTGGAGCCTCCAGTTCGTCGAGGTATTGCTCCAGATTCCCTGCGAACGTCTCGGCCCAGGGAGCAAGCAGGACGTGTTGCTCTTTTGCCTTGCCGGCCGTGCGGCCATCATCGCCATCACGCTCTTCCACAGGCTGGCTACCTTGATCTGAGACCGGTGAGGTAGAGTCTGACGTCTGATCTCTACCGTCGCACTCGTTGTTGCATCCGGCCTCCCTATCGCCACACCTCTCACAGGGTCGTGGATGATTTGTGGTTTCTGCGTTATTGACGATGTCGGCCAGGTGTTGAAAAGCGTCCGATGTTTCAGGTGCCGTATTGAGGACTTCGAGCCAAGTATCTTCAATTGTCAGCCAGCCCTCCTCTTTGCATTCAGTGGACGAGTTGGCTGGCCAGCTATCCGAGTCGCCCATGGCCCCTCTCTCCCGTGTAATCGCATGGGTTGTCCACCCCAGCTCCGAGGTCTGGTGCAAGTCGTCTGGGAAACGGACCTCGAGGTCTTGGAGCTCAGACTCGGCTGGCTTCGGGAGCGGAATCACGGTGGCGAGGATCCCGATGTCATTAGGTGTGGCATAGGTAATGGCTCTCTGCCGCAACCGTTGGAGGGCATAGAGAAGTGCATCCGCCTTTTCCAGGAACAGCAATCGGCCTTTGTGGGATATCTTGGCCGTGTCGGTGATTTTGGAGCCCCATCGCATCTCGGGGCTTGGGAGCGGTGGGGTAGTATGAGGGTGTCTCGTTCGCACGGCTGCGCGTAGGCAGTGGAGGTGGCCTGGATGAGCTTTTGACGTGTCGCTGAAGCTCAATGCATAGACAAGTCCTGCTCATCGGCTGTAGAAAGGACAATGATAGGTTCTGTGTGCAAATAGCATCAGATCTCTGTAGCCTCTCTGTTCAAACTCGAACTCGCGAAGGGTGGCCGAGGGAGGGGCAGCAGTGAACGGAGTGACTGGAACCTGCAATTAGATTCTGCGCGCAGCCTCATCCGCCGACGAACATGCAGGTAGCCGCCGCAACGAGCCAGATCACCAGGGCAGTTTAAGCCCCGAAGATTCACTGCACTGCAGCTGACTCACCTCGGACTCGACTTGTGACGGTGCGCCTTTCGTCTCGCCCCCTGCGTCGTGTGGAGTGTGGGAAAGGAGAGACAGGCGCGCGGGAGCAGGCCTTGAGGCCACTGGCAGAGTCCGCTACATCGCGAGAGACAGAGGGACGGAGAGAAAGCAAGAGAGAGGGGGGTCACGCAACGCGTGGCGATGCTTTCTCGCGGCATGTGTGAGTCAGGAGGCCGAGCACCTCGTTGCCTCCTTCCATGTTGTGGCCGGAGCGTGGGAGCCCTTCTTTCCCAAAACGACCAGGACATGTGGTGAAGCGGTGAGCAGGCTGGGCTCGGACGTGTAGTCCACAAATTGATTGTTTGTATATCGTCTGACGGCGTCCGCCCGTGGAGAGCAGCCGCCTGGATTGCCATGTAAAGGTGCCAATGGTCCGCGTGTTGTAGTGCCAATTAAAACGACGAGATATACACCACGGCTGCGTCGGAGATCCCACTTTACACGGATTATTCCTACACTAGCCCGCCGTTGATCTGCTGCGCTTGTACATGGACCCTTCGTCCATCATCATGACCTCTTGTACGCCCGACGCCGAATCCAGACACGGAGACTTCTCCTGCTCCACCGCCGAGCAGCTCGACTTGGCTCTCGCCCCTAGCCGTCAGCTTCCCGTCTGAGAAACATTTCGATGACGATGCGCTCCTTTTCTTTCATGCCGCGGTCCTTTTCGTTGCCTCGAAAGGCGAGCGGGCCTATGATTTCTGCATATCGCTTTTCTCGAATACGTCGTCGCCTTGTGCCGTCGCCGTCACTTTTGCGAAAGCTAAGACGCCGGCTGAGGCTCGGCGACGAGTCGGCGGTCATGGCCGAGCTGAGTTCGGATGCGATCCGCGACACCGTCGAGGTAAGGAAGACGAACGCAATGTTGTGGTTGGGAGCAGTCGACAGAACGTCCAGTACCTGGTTCTTAACGTCAGGCCAAGCTGTTGCAGGCAGCGAGGTAAGGCTCGGGAGGCATGTTGAAAGCTTTGCCCAAAGGTGTGGTGGCACAAGCCCGTCGACGAGCGAGGCCAGGAAGAGAAGTAGCACGGCCGACAGTAGCTCCAACTTGTGCGCCGACGAAAGCTCCACAGGCATTGCTTCGAAGATGGACACATCCGTATCCAGGGCAGCCACGATCCCGGCCTTGATCGCATCTTGCTCCATCAATCCGGCGGACCACGTCGATGCGTCAAGGGGCCACCCTGGATCCTGCGGCAGCTTCATGTCCTCCAGCATAGCCTCGTCGGCAACACACCGCTCTGCCAGAGTTTGGATCGCCTCGGTCAGCTTGAAAAGCTCCTTGGGCGCCGAGCAATGGACATCCGAATCGTACGGGATGGCGCCCGTGATACCCCTATCAGACACGAACTTCCTGATGCCTCCATCCGGGACACGAATCAGCTCGTCGATAGATCTTCCGAAACAGGTAGGAAGCCATGTGCCACGAACAGGTATGAAGTGGTCCCGGCCGTCCTCGACCCGAAGCACCAGCACATCCTCGATCTTGGCCTGCCCATCATTGAGCGATCTGAGGTGGGAAATGGTTGACACGTGGGCTTCAATGTGTGCGAGGACCGTTTCTCCGGGCTCCAATGTCACTGTCCGTCCCAACTTATCGTTCATTTCTTCATCCGGTCGGATGAAGGAGGTTTTCAGCCAAGACAAGCATGCGCATTCGCCCTCCTCCGTGGTTGGCGTTTCCACGAAGGAAAAGGTCGCCGGTACACCGCTGGTGTTGGCAATCGTCACAATGGCATTTTTTCGCTCCAAGAAGGCGACGTCGCCAAAGTCGACGGCATTGTCGCTATCTTTGTTGCCTTCGACAACGACGGTGATCCCGGGTCGGCCCTCGTTTTCTGCTCGGTCAAGTTCGCGGGCCACTTCAGCGTGCACTCTTGCCTTGAGCTCTGGCACAACAGCGTCGTACTCTAGCGTGAAAACGGATATTATGGGCTTGTGGTCGGAGGATGTGATGCGCTGGTGCGACGTATAAATGTCTTGGCTGATGCGATCCACATAGCCCTCCTTTGTCATGACTTCGCCAGCTTGATCCTGGTTGTCAGCCGCCTCGTCGTACTCGTCATAGTCCAGGCCGGGGTTTCCGGCACCCTGGTCGTCGGCGTCTGTGTCTGGATCGTAGCTGAACAGAACGTCGTCATCTTCCTCCAGTCCCCGCGACTTCATCTCCTCGTCTTTTTGCTTGGCAGCCTTTTCTTCCTCCATGCGCTTGTCGTGATCCGTTTTATCCCTGCGAGTGCGATACAGGATACGATCGCACCAGCTTGGAGAGCGTCGCTTTTCACTAGAGTCAAACAGGCCAACGGTCCCGACATCGTATTTGTAGGAAGGAAGGAATGTTATGGGACCCTCTCTCCATCCGTCTTCAAAGGCCTTGCGTTGCGCAATGACCCGCCGGAGCTGATCATGTGGTAGCAGAGAGTCGAGTGTTGCTTGCAGCGACGTCGGATCCTGGCTTGGATCCTCGGGGAAATCGTCGGGGTCAGGGAGGGATGTCTCCGAGTCGAAGCTCTGCTCCGCCGAGTGGACGGACGCAGGTATCGTGGTGTCGTCGTCATCACTGTCCGAGTTCTTCATGACGATAACGCCCTCGCCCTCCAGCGGTGCGGGAGGCTTGCCGCTGGTCAAGTCGTACTCGCCTCGAGTATGCAGAGTCAGCAGCCTCCTGATGTCTTCTCCCGGCAGCCCGTCGAGGCGGAAGTTGAGGTCCCCAAACCAAAAGGCAAAGTCTTCGTCCCCGATCTTCTCGCCGTCGTCCTCGGCCACGCCGGAATGCACCACCGGGTCGAACTGGGTCTTGGAAAGGATCTGGCCCACGTCCCAGCACCGACGGTCGAGATACGATGGGCCGGCACCACTTGCCAAGTGGCAGTTGACGAACACCATCCGAGTTGTCTCTCCAAGGACAATCCTGGTGGTGACGGCGCCTTTGTTGCCGAAATACCCCAGCACTCCAGTCCCAACCTGTTTGGTGCTGACATTGGTAATCGTGGGCGCAATTTCGGGGGATGCGTATATGAGCAGGAGAAGCCCGGTCATCTGCTCGGCGGCAATTCGTTCGTATCCCGGGGGCAGGGCTGCTTCGATTGCGGCCTGCCAGCGGTCCATGGGCGAATTGTCCGTGTAGACGGTGCGGTTCACGTAGTCCCTCGTAAGGCTAAGATCCACGACCTCCTGCAGACCCAGTACGTAGAGGCCGATCTCGTTGCCGCCAATCAAGTGCACCGAGTCTGCATCTTCGTCTGCCGACTCCAACCTTCTGTGCTCGACTGCGGTGTTGCGCGAGAGGTCCATCTGTGCGAAGCTCTTGTCGAGGCCACCGCCGGCGACCAGCCAGCTCGCCAGGTCCTTATCCGTGCCGGTGCAGGCGGCAACGTTCCACGTGCCAATCTTGACTCGTATCTTGTGCGGACGGACATATTCGGCTCGTCTGGCGTGGACGGCGCGTGCGAGAGACTGGGGTGTCGATCCTAGGTCGACTGGCTCGGACTCGAGGGAGTGCTCCGAAGGCGGAGCCGACGTATTCGTCATTTCGAATTATATTGTACAAGAATGAGGGGAATTCTGTCGTCCTTTGGCTCTGATATGGTGCGTATCCCGCTCGACCCTGAACGTCTAGCTCATAGTGCGGAGGGCGCATCGAACGTGGGAGCGGGCGGCGCGGGCGAGTGTGTACTTGTCAAGATCGACGAGGGCAAGCGGCAGCAATTAATACACGAAGAATGCTGGCATGCCGCAGGAAGCTGCGGCAGATCACTCAGACACGACTCAGGCAAGCAGTGAAGCCCAGTCAGTCGTTGCGTGATGATGGGCCAGAAGAGCAACCTTGAACGAGCGGATGACCCGTGACCCCGCGGGCGCAAGCAGGAAGCGCGATCAGCGTCATTACCTCACAGGCGCAAGCCCCTTATCGATAAGCCTGCCGCCTCGCAATGCGCGGGACTGGATGCTTGCAGCTAGGCGGCGACAGCGGTGGGCCACCTCGCCCGCTTGCTGCAGTCGCCAAGGCGCATCACGGCCAACTCCCCAGCGGCAGCTTGCCCCAAACCGAGGCTCCTCCAAGAACAGTCGCCGTCCGCGATCATATTATATTGCAGCAGCAATCATCGCTCTTTTGCCTGGACTCCGAACCCCACAGCAGCTCGAGTCACTCAACCAGCGGCCACTGAACAGACAACAGACCGCCCTGCCCGTTACTCACGTCCATCGCCCTTCAGTGGGCAATCGCGCAGCCATGAGCCGAGCAACACCGCGCAAGGCGCGTCACACCCGCAATCCCTCCAACCTCATCCCCGCCGTCTCCGACTACGAGTCCGACGCCGCCGCCATGCAAGCCTCGTACGCGCCGCCGCCACCGCGGACCAACACGGAGCTCAACCTGTCCGTCCTCCAGCGCTACCTGCCCTCCATCCAGGGCATCCTCAGCATCGCCGCCAACGCCGTCATCTACACCTTCGACAGCAGCTCCGAGAGCTGGGACAAGTCGGGCATCGAGGGGACCCTCTTTGTCTGCGCGCAGAGCCCCGCGCCAGAGGACGCCAGCCACCACCCGCGCGCCTGCGTCTTCGTCCTCAACCGCCGAGGCCTCGACAACCTCGTCGTGGACCTCGCGAGGGTGAGCCATGTCGAGATTGCGGGCGAACTGGTCATCCTGCGGGTTGAGGCTGGCTGGGAGGAAGGCGACAAGGTACTTGGCATCTGGATACACAACGACAAGGACGAGACACGCGAGATCAACGGCGCCATGATCCAGGAGAGTTGGAAGGCCGTGCAGTCCGTCGGCGCGTCCGGACAGGGTCAGGAGGCAGGCCCAGCCATGCAGGCCATAGGAAGGCGCCTGTCGCTGAGCGATTTGTTTGGGAAGCAGAATGGTGCGGCCGCAGGGCACTGAATTGCCGACGACATCACTGACGATCAACGAACTACATCAGCTGGCGGCACGCCAGCGCTGTTCCGACTACGCCCGATCAAACGGACTCCAGCAAGACAACCATCACCGTTCTCACGCCACATGCGTCCCGATGGCGCGACCTGGAGAGAAGTCGCTTGCGATTGCATAAAAGCAAGAGGATATAAGACTAGCCATGTCCTAGCTGTCCACAGGCTTGCAACTATCTTCGGAGAAGCCGAGCCCGGCGAGGCTGCAAACGCCGCTCCGCAATTCCCACCCTTGATGTTCCTCGCCGCACGTGCATGGCCCGTAGCTCGTGAATGATTCTTCTTACCCATGTCATTATATTTACACCGTGCCGCTGATGCTCAACTCGCGAATCTCCTGAAGGACCTGCTCCACCCTAGCGTCGAGGTGGCCCTCGGCGTACTGGTCTCTAGTGTCGGCGTCAAGGTACTGCTGCACCTGCGCCATGCGCGAGTATGCCTCGGCGCAAAACCTCAGCTGTATCTTGACGAGGGCCTCGAAGGTCGGGTCGAGGTAGGGCACGCGCAGGTCAATCAGCTGCGGCAATTCCGAGTGCAGCTGCTCGTTGAGCTGTTCGTAGGCGGCCTTTGCCATCTCGAGCTCCTTCTCCGTGCGGGGCAGCTTGGTGGCGTCCTTGTCGGGCTTCTCGACGAGGCGCTTGACCTTTGCGCGCAGGGCGTCGTAGTCGAGCAGCTTGTGCGAGCGCTTCTTGATGCACTCGTTGACGTCGGGGAAGTAGGCGCAGAAGCGCGTGATGGGGTCGAGGACCGTCGTCCGGTAGGGGCCGTCGAGGGCCTTGATGGTCTCGGCGTCGAGGTCCTCGACGGCTTGCTTGTAACTCCGGCTCACGCCGTCCCGGGCACCCGAGTCTCCGTAGAAAGCGTCTATCGTTTCGGCTATTCTCATTTGCGATGCCGTCATTGCTGGCCACGGTTAGCCTCGTCAAGGTCGCCGCACGAATTCGGCCGGCGCACCTCTAAGAGAGTCTAGGTACCCCTTTGCCTCTTTTTGTAGTCGCAACGATGCCGCCTCCATTGTTCGGAACCGTCTGCGAAGCGTCAGCCGCGTCACCGCCGGGCCAGCCAACCGCCGTCGTACCTCTCTTCCAGTTCATAGTCTCTGTCGTTTGTCTTCTCCACATGCCCTGCGCAACTCGTGAGCGCCTCTGCCAAGAGAATGCGCGGTCTCGTACGTACCCGTCTTCATCATCACCTGCGTCGTCGCGCGGTTCACATTCTTCTTGAACCCTGCAACCTGGTCAGCCCCTCTCAACGCGGCGGGGTGATTCAATTGCGCTTACCCGCCCACGACATCTCGGCTGCTGTTCTCTCGGAGGTTCGGATAGGTATGTATCAAGGGAGAAGCCGTCGAGCTCCTTGCTTGACCGCGTAGGGTGCAGTTGTCAAGCGCAGCATAGGTCAGCGAGGTGGTGGTGACGAGGCAAGTCGACTGTCCGCAGCCAGCCAGCCACGATGTTTGCCCAATCGTCTCAGCTACGTCAGTGGTGGGTGAGGCGCAGTCAGCGATCACTGGTCGCTCCGCCACACCTGCCGAATCACGTGACTGCGCGTCGGCCTCGTCGATCGCCTGGAAAATGTGGGCAAAGATGCTGTCACGACACTTTTCGCTGGCGCGTCAACATGTTCAACCCGCGGTTCCTGGTCGTCAGCCTAGGTAACCCGCTCCCAAAATACGAGAGCCTGCATTCGGCTGGCCACTTTGCCCTCAAAGGCCTCGCCAAGGTTCTTCGGCAGCACGCCTTCACCGAGGTGACCCTGGGACGCCAAAAGTGCCTGGTGTCTCAGGGGCCAAAATATACTCTCGTTCAGTCTCCAACCTTGATGAACGTCTCTGGGCCATTTGTGGCGCGGATATGGCAGGAAATGGCCAGGCAAACAGACCCGGCCTCGCTGAGCCTTGTCATCGTGCATGACGAGTTGGAAAAGGACTTGGGCGTGGTGCGGCTTACACCCTGGGATCGCAGCCCCCGAGGCCACAATGGAATCAAGAGCGTCAAGAAGTCTCTATCCCAGGACAAGTATCCGCAGTCACCTTTTGCGCGTATAGCTGTGGGCATCGGGCGGCCCGAAGCCAGAGATGCGGCCACAGTCAGCAACTACGTCTTGGCCAAGATGTCGTCGGATCAGAGGACAACCCTGGAGGAGACGGCGCCATTTGACGTCGCCAAGCGTCTCGTCGAGTTGGAAGCCGAGTGGAGGGCCCAGGTTGAAGGTTGAGGGCGGAGCCAAGATCAGGATACACGGCATTCGGTCCAACGGGCCCTACGCAGGGCGACAGACAGGCCTGCAACAAGGCGAGACAGGCGGCTTCAGCTACGCATGCACACCAGGCTGCATCCACAGGACCATGAACGCAGCCCCACGAAACGGCACGTTCAGGGCGCAGGTACGATCACGGCAGGCGAGGCACGACACAACGCTGGATTGGTGGCTGGTCCCTGCAGCGTCGCTCCATGCAAGCCAAACGCCTACATTCGAGGCCAGGATCGGCACGGTTGACTCGGCTGAATATCTCGAAGCGTGCCGTCTCGAGTGGAGATGAAGGCAGGGATCACTGCAGCACAACAGGGCGGACCAAATCTGCCACCCGTGGCACCGCGGCCGGGCGAGGGGGTGTTGGAAGGCGTTATTCCGCAGTGGCAGACAAGCTCGGACCGGCAGGGAGGACTTCAGCAGCCTGGACTGCCCGGAACCGGACGTATGTATACAGGCTCGCGTAGCCGAGTGCGACAGGTACCCTTTCGCGCCCCTGGTGGTGCGGTTGCGATGCAACGACGTGGCACAAAGACTGTGGCTCCCGCCCTGCTCTCGACGCAAAGTACCGTGCAGGGCTGGAAACTGAAATAGAAACGAGTGGCCCCATGCAGTCCCGAGACAATCCAATAAAGACGCTGTGCTCAACCGCAAAGAAAGATGTCTGTTGCGTTACACCCCGAACGGAGTGCTGCACTAGACATCACTGAGTCTGGGGTCCCGGTCTCGCACGGCCAATCCGGGGCATTGCGGAGTCGCGGATCCGGGCGCAGCCGCAATGGCAGTGCCAGTGCCAGTGCCAGTCGCAGCGCCGGACGTCCGTAGCGCAACTTTTGCCAGCCAACTCACACGTTTTACCGACAACATGGGAGCCTACCCGGCCCCGCCACGCCACACTCCCTCGACTCACAAGAAACGACGGGGGCCAAGGGGGGCACGATAAGCCTGGCAACATCGTCCAATCCGATTACACGGCCGCCTCCAAATGATTCCCGCCTTATCTTCTGACACTTATCAGTGCACACCACCACACGCGACCACCAGCCGCGCGATACCTATCAGCAAGCCGTTGGGATGATAACGCCCACCCCGGGGATAAGCACATGCTTTGCGTCACTGCTGCTGCTCTGCTGCTGCCGCCACTCACCTCTCTGTTCCCGTCGAGGACACAGCCAGCGAGCGAGACGGTGACGCGGGTGAAATTTCGCGCGCAGCGGGGCGACGCCTCGAAATCGCTCTTGTGTCAGCTCGTCGACTCGGATACCCGGCAACTTTGTCCCAAGGACCGAGTCGGCAAGGCTCCAGAATGTGCCTTGTGGGAGGCAGAATCGTGTGAGGATACTGCAGTATGTACTTCGAACGGAGTGCGGTGTACAGTCGGAGGCACAGAAGTTCCAGGCGCATTCAAGCTTAACCCTGAGCTTCAGGCGCGGTGCGACCCTGATTGACATCATGCCCAGCCGTGGCTGCGACAAACCACATGCGTGCTTGGGTCCTCTGCCCGGGGGCCGTCTGCTTTTAAACCCGCGTCGAACGAGGCAAGCGCTTGCAACCGCCGGATGGTCCCCCCGGACCCCCGGGTTTCCCAAGGTCCAACCGTCGGGGGCCAAGGAGCAACCTTGTCCATGCCACCTAACAAGCCGCTCTTCGTTATCGGCGCAATCCCGGTTTGCTTCTCTGGAGGCAACCGGCGGTCACTATTTTTGTGGCGTCTTTATTGGGAGATAGGCGTCCCCCAACCGCGGCCGATAAGATGGCAGCCGTGAAGACACCACGCATCGCGACCATGGGCGCCTGGATCAGGGTGGCTGAGAAGGGGAGCCGTCGGTGACGGCCAGCCGAAGCGAAGGGCCTGTAACGGTCCTGTTACTCGTCGCTCACGCCCTCGCCAAGGGCCGTCATTCGAGATGGCTTAAATTAGTCCCCCGGCTGACCAAGTCTCCTGGTATCAAACGACGAGATAGGCAATAACAGCCAGACGTTCGCTCACACGAGGCTCGCCGGGTTCGGGGCGCCCCCCTGCATTTTGGAATCCCACGCATCTAAGCATACAGGATATATCTGCCGCGTCTGACCACCCTCGCTCGCGTGGTCTGTCTCCCTGGCCCCTTGCTCCTTTATCTTCTTCTCGCCTTATACCTCCTCGGCTGCCGACCCCTTGGACGCTGGATCGTGAGGACCTCTTTCGCGCCCGGCAGACAAAAGATCGAGTGAGACATCATGACGGCCACTTACAATGGCACTGCGGGGACCGCGGACGAGGGCTACTCGTCCGGGGTTCATGACCTCAATATTTTCTACGACGTGAGTCTTTCTCGCCCAGCTCAAGACTTCGCCCCTACCTGCTTGTATGACTGACGCTTTCTGGCAGACGGGCCACCTCGCCTTCCTCACCATCTCGGCCGTGCTCGTGCTGCTCATGATTCCCGGCGTGGGCTTCTTCTACAGCGGACTCGCGCGGCGCAAGTCGGCCCTGCAGCTGGTTCTGCTGTCGATGCTCTCCGTCGCCGTCATCGGCTTTCAGTGGTTCTTCTGGGGCTACTCGCTCACCTTTTCGCGCACCGGCAACGCCTTCCTCGGCGACCTGACGCAGTTTGGCCTGATGAAGACCATCGGCGAGCCCAACGGCTCGGCCTTTTTGCCCGACATTCTCTTTTGTCTGTACCAGGGCATGTTTGCCTCGATTACGTGAGTGTGCCCCTTGCCTCGGCTACCTGCGTCGTGGGCATCGACCTACCTCACAAAGAGGCTTCCTCGCTGACGAGATTCAACTCAGTCCCGCCCTGGCCATCGGCGCCGTGGCAGACCGCGGCCGCGTGCTGCCCGCCATCGTCTTCATGTTCGTCTGGTCGACCGTCGTGTACGACCCCATCGCGTACTGGACCTGGAACGCCAACGGCTGGCTCTTCAAGCTCCCCGCGTACGACTTCGCCGGCGGCGGCCCCGTGCACATCGCCTCGGGCTCGTGCGCCCTGGCCTACAGCCTCATGCTCGGCAAGCGCGCCGGCTACTCGCGCAACGCCGGCCTGCCGTACCGCCCGCACAGCGTCACCAACGTGGTCCTCGGCACCGTCTTCCTCTGGGTCGGCTGGTTCGGCTTCAACGGCGGCTCCGCCCTCGCCATGAACATCCGCGCCGTCATGGCCTGCTACGTCACCAACCTGGCCGCCTCGTGCGGCGGCATCACCTGGGTTCTGCTCGACTACCGCCTCGAGCGCAAGTGGAGCACCATCGGCTTCTGCTCCGGCGCCATCGCCGGCCTCGTCGCCATCACCCCCGCCGCCGGCTTCGTCACCCCTTGGGGCTCCGTCATCATCGGCATCGTCGGCGCCATCTGCTGCAACTTTGCCACCAAGCTCAAGTTCCTCATCGGCGTCGACGACGCTCTCGATATCTTTGCCGTCCACGGCATCGGCGGCATGGTCGGCAACATCCTGACGGGCATCTTTGGCACGTAAGTTGACCTTCCTCTTCTCTTGACTCTTGCTTTCAATGCTGACTCACACCTCTCTAGCTCCGCCATCGCTGGCCTCGACGGCAACGAGTACGCCCCGATCGGCTGGATCCAGCACAACTGGATCCAGCTCGGCTACCAGCTCGCAGGCATCTGCGCTGCCTTCAGCTGGTCCTTTGTCCTGACTTGCATCATCCTCTTCCTCATGAACCTCGTCCCCGGACTGTCGCTCCGCGTCTCCGCCGACGACGAGGACGTCGGCATCGACGACTGCCAGCTCGGCGAGTTCGCCTACGACTATGTCGAGCTGCGGCGCCATGTCGCCGACACCACCGGCCACGTCTCGGACCGCATCGCGTCTTCGAGCAGCAGCACCGCAGGCGAAAAGGTTGTGCCCGCGGTTGTCTAACCCAGTAAATGTATATACCCTTACGTGTCGTGCGGTTGAGTGGGGTCTCGTCAGAGTGCGGGATGGCGACTGGGGGCGTCTTCCTTCGTGATACCATTTAGCTACGCTTCAGCCCAAGATGGCAGGCAATGTTGATAGCATAATCTCACATTAAACATGGTCAATCTGCGTCCGTCCTCACCGTTCGCCGTCGCCATAGTCGTACTCTGTCTCTGCTTCTCTCCTTGCACGCTCCAAGTTCTCAAGTCATGTAAGCCGTAGACGTGAGACAGTTACTCCATTCAATACTCTGAAGCAAGTTTCAGCCCCTTTCCGCGCGCAGCGTTGATATTCTATCCTTTCCTTTCCGTCGCCCTTGTGCCGCCCTCGTGTGCTCGCCACGCGGCAATGTGTTAAACTGGTCGTAACGCTCACTCGCAGTGCGCCCGCAATCTGCCCGGCCAAAGGCTACCATTGCCCTCGGTGCTTCCCATGCGATATATCCGAGTCACTCCATAATTGTCGTCGCTATGCTGCCTGCCGGCAGGTTTCTCGCAATGAAAACATTTACTCCACCAATGCTTGCGGTCGACAGCAGTCGACGCTAGGAAAATGCTGCAGCCGCAAAAATAGCTGTCAATTGTACGGGCCTGCCAGCAGTCGTCAGCGCTATTCTGAAAGTCTACATTGCGCAGGGCTCGTTGAGACTCACGTGTGATCGCCCGAGCACGACGTGCTAATCGAACGAAAATTGTGTGTCACAATATGTTGCCCACGCCCCATACGTAGAGAGAATCTATTCTCCAAGCGGGTCCTGGTGGTAGGGCCACTGGACAGGCGCTGTGCTCGCTGTTGCGGGTGCACCATTGGCAGTGCTTGCCCCTTGAGTCGACGGGCCCGGATCAGAGCTCAGAGGAGCCATGCTGGCCTGAACGTGGCCATGCGCGCTGAGAGGTGGCGCGCCGCTGGCTGCTTCGTTGTTTATGAAGCTGGAGAAGGCCAGCGGGCCCAATGGGGCCGGTGGATGGTATGCAGAGGGATGGTACGCATAAGGATGGGCAGCCACAGGAGCACCGGATCCAGCGTCGGCGAATGGGTGCTGGCTCAGACTCGGGGCCGGGGGTGGAATGGGTATCGTCGGTGCTGCCTGGGGCAGAAGGGGGTTGTGCTGCGACCCAAGCTGGTTATGGTGTTGGTTCTGGACCTGCGCGTCCACGGCCATTTCGCTCCCATCCATGCCTTCGAAGTCGTTCTCCTCGTCGGCCATCTCATCGTCAAAACCTTCGCCCTCGGCGGTGGGCAAGTTGTTGGCCATGGCGTTGGACCGGCGAGCGGCCGCGCCTCGGGCTCGGCTGCCACCTGCGCGGTAAGGCAGGCTGTCTCGGAGCTCTTGGAACCTCGGGGACGTGTTAAGGAATTCTCGAAACTGTGAAACCATGCTTCCGGAGAAGACGCAGAAAACATCTCGCTGATGCTGTGTGAACTCTGCAGCACGTCAGTAACTCCCCCAAGGCCACCAGTCCGAGAGCAGACTCACCAGGAGGCGCAACGCGGCAGAACGCCTGGAAGTCGTCGCGCTGGAACGCAGCGACGCCCGTCAGGCTCAAGTGCGTCAGCCGAGGGCACGAGTTGAGGAGTCGCATAACGCTCTATACCCAGTCAGCATCTCGACGTTGCTTCGTGCGTGAGGGCTCCTTACCCTGAGTGTCAGATTCACGCAGTAGCTCAAGTGCACTCGCTCAAGACTCGATGCGTAGTACTCTCCGCCGACAAACACTCCACTAGCATCTCGTCGCACGCGAGGCCGGTATGCAGCCTCGGCGAGCGCAAAGACGCTATCATCGGTTATTGAGCTGCACTTTACCAGACCAATTCTCTTCAACTTGGGAAGCAACGCCAGGCGCTTCACGGAGTCGTCGGTGAGGTTGGTGCAGCAGCCCAGGTCGATATACCGGATTCGATTACATGCGCTGACAAGCTTCTTGACGCCCTCATCCGTGATCTGTCCGCAGTGGCCGAGATGCACGTAGTGCAGGTTCTTACCGAGTTTCGAGATGGCATTGACGGCTGCATCTGTAATATTGCGACACTTGGCGAGGACGAGGTTGCGCAAACGAGGCGCAGCATCGATAATCTTGGCGACAGCCGCGTCGGTGAGCCGCGTGCAAGACGTCAAGTCGAGTATCCGCAAATGCTCGTATGTCTGGCCCTCCGGCAGGCTCAAGAAGGCGTTATCGTCGATGAGGTCGCAACTGGCAAGGCGGAGCTCGCGCAGACAGTTGCCTTTGGACAGCAAAGCTGTGATGGGGCCGTTTCCAATCTGGAAACACTGGTACAAGTCGATCTCGAGGATATTCGGGCAGTGTTCGGCAAAGGCGAGGATTGCGTTGTCGCGGAGTTGGCCGCACTCGTTGAGTTTCAGCTACAGAGATTACGATTAGCAAACGAATGGCGCGCAGGACAGGAGCATCAGCTTACCCGCTTGATGTACTTGCAGCTTTGCGCAAGCGTGATCATGCTCTCATTAGAAATAGCCTCGCATCCAGAGATGTTGAGCCCCTGCAGTCGCTTGCAGTGCTCAGCGATGGCGTTGATGGATTGCTCGGTGATGTTTTTGTCGTTGGAGATGTCGAGAGCGAGCAGGGAGGCACTGTTCTCGACGAGAGAAATCAGGCCAGAGTCGGTGAGGCCACGACAGTTAGTCAGGGTCAGGCGTTCGACCCTGGTGCAGACGGCGAGCGGCTGGACGCTGCCATCGTTGACCTTATCGGCAAGGGAAGCGAGGTTCAGGCGCTTGATGAAGTCGCGGTACGAGAAGAAGGGGTGCTCGAGGCCCAGCGTCTGGCAAATGCTGCTGTGGTTGCGCCAGTTTGTACATGCAGGCCGGTGCCACAAGAGGTCGACTGCGTTCCTAGCCCAGCGTTTTGAGACAAGCATGCAGTGGTACAGATCGGACGAGGCGCTTAGCTTGGCGAAGACGCTGATGAGGATCTCGTTGGGCAGCCGGCTGACCGGGGGCCAACAGGCATCGTCGACCTGCATGTCCTGGAAGTTGGGCACGCCGAGCGACGACTGGGAGTCGTTGGCGCCCAGGAAGAAGTCGGACTCCTCGTTGTCGGCCGGGGCGGGCGAGGTGGTCGACGAGGACGAGCGGGAGTCGTCCTGATCGTCTGTCGGGCGGGCCGATCTAGTAGCCATGATTGCAAGTGCCGGCAGCTGGCGGCGTGAGGTTGGCAGCCGCGATCAGCAGGGCCTTTGTTTGGGTCGTTTTCGTCTCGGTCGGGCAGGCCGTGGCCGAGAGTCACGACGATGTCGAGATGTCGCCCGAGCAAACGGACGCGGTCGGGTCGAAGCTGTCGCAGCGATGGAAGGAGTGGCTATGTCGTAGTCGGGCGTCGACAGCTAGGAGCTCGAGAAGATGGCCTCACGGCTACGGTCGAAATGAAAAAAAGGCGGCTGAGCCTTGACCAGGGTCAAGCACAGGGCGGCGTGCACGACGAGGACGCAGTTGAGGGATGACGTCGAGCTGCCGGGTCAGGTGCAGGCAGGTCTCGGCTTGTGGCCGCGACGGATCTGGAAGTTGCGGCCGATGCCAGGGTAGCTGAGCGGCGGGTAGCGGGCGGAAGGGTTGAGGGCGTGGTGGATGACAGGAGTTGCCGTGACGCGGGCGGTGATGGAGGTGATGACGGGAGCCGGCGGGAGGGCGGTGGATGACGGGAGGTGCAAGTCAGCAGGGGGTGGTGGGGGGGAAATGTCCTTGGATGCCAGCCGAGACGGGGCGGAGAGTGACCTGAAGGCGGCCTGGTGAGGTGGGTGCCCAGGTGCCCTACGCGTGGGGTGCTCGCACGGGATCTGCCCCGGAGCCGCCTTATTTCAGTGGCGTCTGGTCCCCGCCGCTGCCTTGCCAGCTCTGTGGCGGCCCAGTGCTGTTTGTTTGATGCCGAACGCAGAACGCGGGAGCAAAAAGGCGCCATCCCAGATGCTGCGTTCCTTACGGTATCTACAAGTCCAGGACGGCGAGTCAAGCACCGAGGCGCGTTCCAGGCGTCAATACCTATCTGGTGGCGCCCGCCCTGGGAGTGCATTGCGGGCATTGGGCCGCGCGCCGCTGCCAGCGCCCTGGGACCGGCGCCCAGCGTTCTGCACATGCGGGTGCAGGTGGTCTGGATGTCGTTGGCGCCTTACAGCCGCCTGACAGGCGTCGCAGCTAGCACCCATGGATCTAGGTTCTCAGAGCTCAAACGCGGAGCACGCCTCCAAGAAGTACTTTGTACCTCGCCTTGGCTGGATGGAACGTGTGCAGGCGTGGAGGATCTACCCGCGGCGTTGATTGCTCATCATCCGGGTCAGGGTCCAGCGACTCCAACATCCAGATCCAGCCAGATGACAGGACCACGTGACCAGGCCACCTCAAACCATGGTGACACAGTGACATTGAGGCTACTCATGCACAATCTCACACAAGAATGTGCCTCACAGAGAACAGCCGTGCGAGTACTGCGAGCTTTCACGCGCATCAGACACCACGAAAAGCACGCATTCTGCGCTGCTGTGCACGTCACATGTATCTCGTAACCATCGTCGCATTCATCGGGCAGCTCTTGCCCACGGCGGCGCCCGTTTCCCAAAATCATCACTGCCTCTCCAACAGTACCACCTTGCTGCCAAAGTCGCCCCCCTCGAACCGGTACGAGATGCCCTTGTTCATCAGCGTCGCACCCGAGATGGTCTGGTTGCCGTCCACCTTGTACTTGGCCTTGGGGTCGAGGCCCTGCAGCCGCACCGGCGGCCACGAGTTGTTGATGTTGGCGCGCAGCTGGAAGTAGAAGAGCGCCGCCTGCTTGCCGCCCGGGGACACAAAGAGCGCCGCCGGCCAGTTGGAGTCTTCGGGCAGCTGCAGCCGCCAGATGTCGCCCTGCACCACGATGGGGTTGACCTTTTCCGCCAGCGCGATCAGCCCGGGCACCTTGGCCTTGTCCTCGTCCTCCAGGTCTTCCGGGTTGAGCTCGAGCCCAAAGGACCCGCCCATCATGGCCACGTGCGCGCGAAACTCTATGGGCGTCTGCCGCCCCGTCTGGCCGTTGGGGACGATGGACACGTGCGCGCCCATGGCCGACGGCGGGTACGCGAGCGACGTGCCGAACTGAATGTACACGCGCTCCATGGCGTCCGTGTCGTCCGACGTCCACACCTGCGGGAAGTACTGCAGGATGCCCGGGTCGAAGCGCCCGCCGCCAGACGCACAGCCCTCCCACAGCACGTTGGGGAACTTCTTGGTCAGCGTGTCGAAGACGTGGTAGACGCCGAGCATGTACTCGTGGTCCGTGTTGGGGCTCGGGGTCTCGTGGATGCCGCGGTTGTTGTCCCACTTGACGTAGCTGATGCGCGAGCTGTTGAGGATGTTGGACACGGAGTCGATGATGAACTGCTGCACCTCGGGCAAGGCGACGTTGAGGACGAGCTGGTTCCGCGTTTCGGTCCGCGGGTAGCTGCCCGCGTGCAGAGCCCAGTCAGGATGCTCCTCGTAGAGGCTTGAGTTGGGGTTGACCATTTCCGGCTCGAACCACAGGCCAAACTCGAGCTTGGACGAGTCATCACCGCTGCTGCCGTTTACTGCGAGGGCGGTAATGTTGTCGACGAGGGGCGTGAGGCCGTCGGGGAACCGCTCCGGATTCACCTCCCAGTCGCCCAGCCCGGCGTGGTCGTTGACGCGCGGGTGCTTGACGCCGAACCAGCCGTCGTCGAGGACGAAGAGCTTTGCGCCGAGAGTGGCTGACTGCTGGGCGAGCTTGTAGATGGTGCTCGCGTTGTAGTTAAAGCCGAGGCCCTCCCAGCTGTTGAGCAAGACGGGCCGAGTGCGCGTAGCAAACTTGCTCTTCATGAGGTGCTTGCGGTACAGGCTGTGCAGCTTGCGCGACATGCCGCCCACGCCCGTGTCGGAGAAGACGGCGACTGCCTCGGGTGACTGGAAGGACTGGCCCGGCCCTAGGGGCCATGCCAGTTGCGCCGGGTTGAGGCCGATCATGGCGCGCGTCAGGCCCTGCGAGCCCTTCTCAACCTCGGCTGCAAAAGAGCCAGTGTAGACTAGGGAGAAGCCCCATGCCTCGCCGTGCGATTCGGTCGCGCTGGGCGTGATGATGGAGAGGAAGGGGTTATGAAGGTGGGATGAGTAACCCGTTGTGCTCCCAAAGCTATTTCCTTTTGCATCAGCATACTGTTCGACGCCAGGCCTTGCTCTCACAACTCACCCTTGCGTGCCAAAGCCCACACTGCGTCGCACGCGCCTACCCTCGCGCGCCCAGTCACCCTTGAGCTCGAGCATGTCGTAGTCGCCATACGGCAGATCGACGCTCAAGCTGGCGAGCTTCTGAACAGTAATGTTGCCCTTGCCCATGTTGGTGATGTTGACGCTGCGGACTATAGCATCGTACTTGGGGAAGATGGAGTAGGACAGGTCCGCGGCGACGGAGCTGTAGTTGTCGTAGAGGTGCACCACGAGGGTCGACACGTCGCGGTCGGCGCCAAACGTCGCGGGAAGGCCCCTGAGGGGTGGCTTGCCCGTGACAACGTCGTGCGATTTGTAGCGGAAATCGCTGACGGTGTAGCCGGCGGACTGGCGGATCTGGATGGCGGGCGAGCGAAAGTCGCCGCGACCCAGGTCGGGCAGCTCGCGGCGCACGCGGCCGATGAGGTCAACCCAGCCCTGGACTGGGCCGACCTCGGCCTCGATGGCGTCGTCGTCGTCGTCGATTGGCGCGCCGAAGTGATCAGAGATGAGGTCGCCGGTGGTGTTGTCGACGTGGAAGCGGTACGAGACGCCATCGCCGTTGAGGGTGAAGGACGTGCCATCGACGACGATGGCTGCGAGGGGTGTTGGTCAGTCAAGCATGTCCCAAGAGTATACTATGCGCAGCGCATCTGCTGAGGTCGCGGCGCGACTGCTGCCGTGAACTCCGACAACGCGTACGAGACTTACGTTGCTTCGTGGTGGTGCCGTCGGCGGCAGATGCCACCCAGCCTAGGCCCAAGGCGCAGGCTGCAACGGCAGCGATCCGGCGAGACTGAAAGCCCAACATGGCTGTCGGCAGAAGCTCTTCCTTGGTACAGCTGGTCGAGGAAAACAACACGGATGGGGAGGGGTGAGCTTCGCGTCAAGACGGGATCGCCAGTGCAGGACGCAGCAGCAATTTATACAGACGGCTCGGCGGGCACTTGGCATCTTAGACTGAGACCTCGTAGGGGGAGGGGGCGCGCCATGCAATGAACTGCCGTCGGTTATTGACCGCGACTCCGCATCGTCATCGTCGTCGCGCATCACCTAGTGTTGATTGCCGGACGATGGTGGCGTATGAGGCCGGCAGCGGTGCGTGGGCCGCGCCGGTGTAAGCGAAAAAGGGCGTCCATGGCTCGCTAATTACTTGGTACCACGTACTCTGCTGGCCGGCCGGCTCGGCAATGTCGATCATCGGGCAGTGGGCAGGTTGAATCCACCAGTCAAGCGAGGGCTGCTGCTGCGACGGGCATGGTCGTGAATGTCGTCGGTCCGGGTTCCCGTCCGAACTCGAAGTCTTTCGTCGGCGGTGGTGGCGGTTCCATCGAGACAGGTTCCTGGGCTTCCAACTTAGGTTCTGGGGCTTTCGTGGAGCATCCACTGGAGACCCCCGCTGCTGCCCGCCAACCCGCCCAGGCCCGCCCCTCCCGCGCCGGGGGCTGGACGCGGCGCCGCCCATTGGGCCGGCTAGTGAAGAGCTCCGTGGATTGGGAAAGTGCGGGGTGGGTGGTGTGCCGACGAGGCACGAGATCAGAGGCGATCGCTCAAAAGACAAAAGGCGCCGAAGCAGCCACCATTTTACCCGCCCCGCAGGGCGTGATGATTGCTGGCGGGAAAGTCGCACCAAAGGTCTCTCTCTCTCTCTCGAATCAGCGAGCTCTCAAGCGCGCGGGCGCCCCTGCTGCACAATAAAACTCAGCCTTGAGACACGGGCAAGTTGGCGGGTGTTACTCCGTTGTGGAGCGCGACTCGGCAACCCGCGTTGGATCAACACACTGTATGGTCGCATCCGGGGATATATTCGGGAGCCGGGCCCTGATCTGCACCCGTTGATCGGCTCAAGAGCATGGCGGATGGGGCTGCCTGCACTATTCGGCCCTTTCTGTTAAATTTGTGCATGTCCGTCTGAATGACTGTTGCGAAGCTACCGTGGGACCTTTGTAAAGGTGAGATGAGTTTTCACCGTCTTGCGCTTACCGACGCCGCAAACAGGTGAGAGAAGCCCTCGCTTTGCAATGCTCATGCGAGACTACGTGTTTTCATCAAGGAAAGCGCGTGACATTGGCTCCATTGACATACACATACGAAACAGCAGGTTCAAGAGGTGAGGGGCCTTGGACAAACGTTGATTACATTCACGCGCTCGCCACTTGTAGGGTAGCCCGCTCAAGCCTTCGCAGAAACTGGCCTCCAGCATTCCACACCTGCAGGGCTCCCCCCTCCACTCGCTCAGGCACCAGGAGTCGGGAACCCGCCACGAGCGGCCGCTGGCGTCTGGGTTCACCCACGACGGCGGTTCGCCGGCTGGTTGGTGTTGGGTCTGCCCGCCGTGAGTGCCGCAACGTTATTTCGGGCGCTGCCGTACAATTACAACGCACTCACTCAGACCCGCCCGCCTGGATGGCAGCATCTCGAAGCAACGTGGTTCATGCACCGGGACCAATTGGCCGGCCCAGCGCAGCGAACCTTGGGAGGCGGGAGCCACAGGGGATCGTCCGACATGCCTCCAGCTCGACGCACTATGCGAGGGAGACGCCCGACGCCCGCCTTGAGCACCAGGAGCCATTACGCCTACGAGACTCACGATCGAAATCCGAACGGCCTGCCAGATATTGCGCCGAGGAGACAGCGTAATATTTGCTCGACGAAAGGTGACGTTGATGAGGGGTTTCGCCTCGTGGTGGGATTGGGGAATTGGGAATTTGGGACGGGGCCCAGCAGAGAAGACCTTTACCAGACCTTCCCCGTTCGGCCATCCCCGCAACTGGGGCCCAGCTGTGGACGGGGTCGGGCGTGAAGCGAATCCTTCGCGCTTGGGAGGACGTCATGATCCTTGGCTGCAGCTTTTCGGAAGCGTGGCACGTGCCCACCATCGCGAATCCACGCGGCCGGAACTTGAGAGTCGACTTCAATTGCGATGGAACTGCCTGTACGTTTTCAAGGGCGCCGCCGCACAGGCATCAAAGACATCGGCTGTTATGACGACGAACGTCGTCGACCATGTTTACACAACACTCAACGGCGAACAGAGTCCCGTCTGTCAGCCAAGCCTGGTCTCACCAACAACAAGCCACCCCGGGGGGACCGCTGCCTTTGCCGTGCCGCTAGAGAAATTTTGTTGGCCGATCGCCCACGTGCGGGCCAACTGCATCTCCAGCACGACGCCAGGAATGGATTGCTTCGGCTAAGGAATTGTGACTTGCAGAGAGAGCCTTGTTTTCCGCTAATTTAAAAAAGGTCCCACGCCCGACCCCGCGGGCGCCGCCCATGGCCGTGCGCATGTGCATGCATGAATTCGAGTGAGAGCTCGACTGACTGACTGGCGTTTGTCGACCATCTCTCCCGAATTTAAGCTGGCGGCGTCCTGGCGAGTGTCAAGTAAAAGCCTCTCCCCTCCCGCCGCACGGATCGCGAGAACGGCGCAGTGAACTGTCTTGGACTCGATCGACAGCCACTCACACCACCGACGACAACATCATGAGGTCCCTCGCGCTCAAGACGGCCGTCGCGGCCATGGCCGTCCTCGTCGCCGCCGCGCCGCAGCAAAAGTGCACCGCCGGCCCTGCGCTCAAACACTGGCCGCCCGCCGCGGCCAGGGCCCTCAACGCCATGATCGCGCGCAACGCCCACAACGGCAGCTACGCCGTCTTCGACATGGACAACACGAGCTACCAGTTCGACCTCGAGGAGTCGCTGCTGCCGTACCTCGAGAACAAGGGCGTCCTGACCCGCGACACCATGGACCCCTCGCTCAAGCTCGTGCCCTTCAAGGACACGCCCTCGCACAACGAGAGCCTCTACAGCTACTACAACCGCCTGTGCGACATCGAGGACGCCGTCTGCTACCCCTTCGCTGCCCAGATCTTTAGCGGCATCCCCTTGCGCGACCTTAAGCGCCACGTCGACGACCTCATGGCCCTTAACGGCACCATTCCCACCACCATGTACGACGGCGACAAGGTCGTCGAGACCGAGGTCAGCCCGCCCAAGGTCTTCCGCGGCCAGGTCGAGCTGTACAACAAACTCATGAACAACGGCATCGACGTCTACGTCATCAGCGCCGCCTCCGAGGAGCTCGTCCGCATGGTCGCCTCCGACCCCAAGTACGGCTACAACGTGCCCCCGGAAAAGGTCATCGGCGTCAGCCTGCTCATGAAGAACCTCACCTCGGGCGCCGTCACCGCCGCCCGCAAGCAAATCGCCGACGGCGACTACAGCGAAAAGGCCAACCTCGACCTCGTCATGACGCCCTTCCTCTGGACTCCTGCCACCTGGAAGACGGGCAAGTGGGCAGCCATCCTCTCCTACATCGATGAGTGGAAGCGCCCTGTCCTCGCCGGTGGTGACACTCCGGACAGCGACGGGCCCATGATCTTCCATGGCGTTGACGTCGAGCGCGGTGGCATCCACCTTTGGGTCAACCGCAAGGAAAAGTACTGGAAGCAGATTAACGAGATGCGCACCGACTTTGCCGCTGCTCAGAGGCGCGAGGGCCTCCCCGTCACCGCGGACAAGAACTGGGTCGACGTCACGCCCAAGGACATTTTGTAAAATAGTGCCCAGCCCGTACAAACCCTTCGCATAAATTCAAGTACATATGTCTGTCCTGGACTCTAGCAATTGCCGTTGGCCAGAATTCATGCGTGCTTCTGTCTGGCTTCTAATCGCATCGGGCAGCCGTTTAATCTTTCCTCCAACGGTTTGTTGGGCGAGGGCTCGTCCACCTCCATTCGCAGGACAATATCTTACGGACAATTTAGAGCCCCAGCTGGCCACTCAGATCGGAAATAATGTGCTTCTTCGACATGGTCACTTCGCACCCAGCCGCGGCAGCTTGATCGGAGAAATGAGCAGCGCAGCGGCGGCCGCCATGACCGCACACCCAACAAACGTCACCCTCAAAGCCGATTCGTAGCTGTGAATCGCCTGCTCCCGATAAGGAGACTCCAACAAGGCCACAGCCTCGACCGACGCCCGGACCTGACTGATCACTCTGCTCTTGCCGCCCCCCTGCACGAACACGTCCAGATAATGGAGCAGCGCATTCTGCACAACAACGCTGCTGCCCGCGATCCCTACCACCATGCCCAGGCTTCTCCAAAGAAGAAGCGTCGTCGTAGCGACAGCCAGCTCGCTCTGCTCCGACGTGGCGAGCATCGCGATGAACGTGCCCGGAAACAGGAATCCCTGACCGACGGCGAAGGGCACAAGCGCGACGATAGAAAGCGTCGACGGGACATCGCGGTGCAAGAAGCAGAGACACAACGTGCCGCAGACGTAGCAAGTGACGCCTGACACAAGTGGCCACTTCAGTCGGCGACTCCAGGCAATGCTGGGCCCCGTCACGGCGGATACCACAGACGCGACCATCGACGGCACCATCAGCCGCAGACCGGACGACGATGCGCTTGTCAGGAGCACTGCCTGATAAAATAGTGGCCTGACGTACGTCAACAATGGTTCAACCGAGAAATGAAGCAAGCACGCGAATCCACTTACATGTTGAAGAGGATTGAGTGCGTCAACATTGCGGCAATAAAGTTGGCGAACAAGAGGTTGGAGCGAGGCGGCTTGAACAGCAAGTTGAGCGGCACAACGGGGTTTGCGCATCGCGACTCAACCCACAGAAACGTCGGAATACATACGGCAAACGCTGCGAGTAGTGCGACTACTGCCGGGTGGCTCCCTATCAAAGACCAAAGTCAGTCCTTATGCCCGCGACCTGGACTTGTTGCAGGCAGGCTCTCTTACACGGGAGGGTGTTCCCGCCCAAGCTCTGCCCATCGTTAGCCAGTGACATGTACCATGCTTCACGAGCAACTTACCAAGCCGAGGATGAGCGCCGTCGTGGCGGTAGCCAGCAGCACTGAACCTCTGCCATCGAACTCCTTGATCGCGTTCCACGCCCCTTTGCTCGGCCCCCGGAGACCCATGCCGTCGGGGATGACCACGCTCGAGATGCCGATGCAGAGCAGCAGGAACGGCACTTGCACCCCAAACTCCCATCGCCAGCCTAGCGTCTCAGCCATGACGCCGCCCAACGCTGCGCCGAGGGCACAACCGCCTCCATAGACGATGTTTGTATACGGCTGGTACAGCCCACGCTTCCTGGCATTGGTTCCAAGGTCAGCTGGAGTCGCCCGCGTGATGGCATGTTCAAGGGCAAGATTCATGGCGGCACCCACTCGATTGGTATTATGTCCGTGGTAACGATGCTGCCCAGCGTCATCAAACTCCCGGCACCGATGCCGCACAGCGCCCTCGCCAAGATGAGGCTCACAATCGACCCCGCGACAGCGCACCATGCCGTCGCAGCAGTGAAAAGCGCCAGACACACGATGAACGGCGGTTTGCGTCCCACGGCGTCGGAGAGTCGGCCAACGAACGGCTGACATGCGGTCGATGTTAGCAAGAAAGAAGTCGACAGCCATGATGCGAGGTGGGCAGCTCCAAAGTAGGACGTGATGGCAGGATGCGATGAAGCCGTTATGGTCGTGTCGAAGCAGCCAATGAACTGGATGACGAGGACCAGCAAGAAAATGGCCCAGAACCGCCTGGGAGACGTGCCATTGAGATACTTGGTTTCCTCCCTGGCTGTTCCTGAGGGTGGAATTAGGGCGCTCGTCTCGGTCGCCAGTCTCTCGTCGCGTCCATGTTGGCATCGCATGGTCGCGTCGTCGAGTCGAGCCTTCGTCAAAGATTTGCAAGCTCAAAGGCAACGGGGTCCACGACCTGTCTTGGCTGCGATACAATCTTATAACCCCATCCAGCTCTTGATGTAGAAGGCCCGTCCCGCGCGGATCAGCCGGTCTGTAAGACATGACAAGCAAAAAGTGCTCTAGAGGCGAGACTTCGTCCGCAGCAAGTGGACCGTCGGCCAATGGCTGTATACCAAACATGCCGCTAATTACGGCAGACAGGCGTACGGGACGAGGAGCTGTTGCACATCAGGCACAAGGGGCGGTCCATTTCGGGATGAGAGGTCTGACCCGCTCTGAAAACACCTGCCTGTTTGCTTTTTGGTGATTGCCGCTTTGAAGGACGTTGACTCGTTGGCGGTACCCTTCGAGTCAGGGCCATGCATGTCTGTGGATAGAAAACATGGGCGCTGAGATGTCTGGCTCAAGCCAGCCGCAATAGTTGAGCTGGTAAGCCTCGCATGCCTAGCCACGTACGGTCCGGCATTCCTGAGTATCGATGAATTGCGCCGTGTTTCTGGTACTGTACGTAACGAGATCACAGTACAGAGTTGTTCGTTCAGTACAATCCAACATGCAAGATTCGTCTTCTGACTGACGAAAACAGAACGTCCATTGCGCGTCTCTGCTGTTGTACGGAGGACAACGCCCTGCAGCGGTGTGGTGCTACAACCAGTCGCCCCTTCTTTCCATGACCTAAATTGGGCATGTCAACGTTCAAATGGCGTAACATAACGGACATACCGGACTCAATTCTTACATGTCGTACGCTGAACATGATATCGTGGTCCGCAGAGTCGTTGCAGCCGTGCCAACGTGCATAACCATGGTCAGACCGAAATGGCGGCCCCAACGCAGGTAAAGCAGCCCAGCACGACGTGTCGAGAATTGGTGCTACATGTTGGGTGGACTATCCGTGTTGGCGCGAGCACTTCGTGCGAGCTCCGGCCCAAGAGGCTGCATTGATTGACGAACTGATGTTACCTTGTGAGGAGCCTCCTGCTCACCTGGCAGCACGAACTGCACACAGAAGCCACGAGGTGGTACAGACTATCGTCTCCAAGTGCACTGTAACGCTCTACTGCAAAAAGGATTCTATGTCGCCACGCTATATAATTAAGTATAATATCTTTGGCAAAGGTCAGGGTCTCTCCGATGAGGGTCTGAAAGCACCAGACGCAATCTTGCTCAGGATGACGAGGCCTGCAGCGCCATGTCCCAACCCTCTATGCACTTGGCCTCGTCCTCGGTCAAGCGAATGCCAAAATAATCCAAGAGAGCTTGGCGTCTACCCTCCTCCGAGTCCACCTTGTGCACGATCTGCGTCTTCCCGCCCATGTTGACCTTGACCACGTCGTTCACCAGCATGACCTTGCCGACGACCTGCACCTCGTCGCCGCCGGTACTTTGATCGACTCTCGCCCGCCACGCCTCTGCCTCGGTAAATCTGACGGGCTCGCCCTGCCGTAGGAAGCGCACGACGAGGACGGTCCAGCGGTGCAACGTCTTGACGCTGGTCCACCAGTTCTGCACCTCGAAATCCTCCTGGAAGAACTCGAGCTCGGCGAAGCTGTAGAACGAGTTCCACTCCCGGTCCGCGCCGTTGCGGTACTGATAGATCCAGAGCTTGGGCCCTCGGAGGCGCTGCTTCGGGATGTTATCGTGCACGAGGCGCACCTGCTGGGGGCCGAGGTTCTGCACCGCGGCGCCGGCCCCGTCCATGGGCAGGGGCGAGGTCGGGCCGTCGCCGCCAAAGGCCACGTCGGCGCTGAACTTGGCGCCGCTGGGCAGGTGGATGATGTTGTTTATGTGTGTCCTGTGACGCTGCCGTCAGCATCTGGTCGAGGCTTGTAGTGTATACCCAAGTCTTATGAGACAAGCATGGGTGGCGTCATGTAGGCAGTGTCGCTCACCAGCCTTGGTATTCACCCTGGGGCACGCCGTCGGTCCTCGTGCGGTTGCGCACCCCCGTCATGTAGACGTGGAACCCCAGGCCCCGCAGCATGTGGTGGAAGAAGATGCTCAGCTCCATGCAGTAGCCGCCTCGGCCATTGTGCGGCGGCTCCATCATCTTGGAGTATAGCGATCTAGGCTTGATGTCGACCTTGTGCGTCGGCGAGTAGTGAACCGAGAGATTCTCATAAGGGAAAGTGGTAATCTGGCCGCGGAACAGGGCGCGGAGGCTTTCCTCAGTCTTGGGGAAAGTGGACGGCGAGGTGATGTATTGCGCGTATTGCGTTGGCAGCGAGATGCGCTGAAGCCATGCCGCAACTTCGACGTCCGAGTAGGCGGACTCCTGGGGCTCAGGGTCGCGAAACTCGTCCATGGCCATGCTTAAGGATCTGACGCGGCCGATGAGCGGCTGCCAGGGACGAACACTTGGTACGGTCAAACTGCGAGGCTTGAGAAATTGAAGAGAAGAAATCGCAATCGTGTCCTTGATGCGGTGTTGGACAATCGGGCGTTGCGTGACTCAGCCCGCGTGTGTGTGTCTGTGTGTAACATGGCGCCCGGGCGGAAGCACACGGCCCCACCAGCGCCGCCGGCTGCCCGTTGATCGGCTCTACATGTATTGTCGCTGGCCCAATAGCCAGACCTGAAGGATTGCATGGGCGTTCAATTTTGATGCGGGCACAAATTCGCTCAACTTGGGTATTATCGCCAGCTTGGATCGTACGCTCCAGCCAAGACAGGTGCTATGGTGAACCATTTCCCCGACACGGCGGGCCGGCTCCGATTGTCAGCGATGGTCAATGCGACGCTTTCCTCCGCAATGCGGCGCATAATGGCTTCTGTAAGACTGCCTTGACTTGCGCAGAGAAGAAAACGGCATGAGCGCCTGGCGCTACCAAAAAGTTGACTAGGTAACTGTTGAACTCATCCAGAACCCCTAGCACGCCATCTCGGGTCTACCCGGAAAAGCTTGGGCGAGGCGTGCTATAGGATTGTAAATCGCGGGTCCCAACACCACACCTCTGAGAAGCCAGGCCACTACCACGGCCGTCCCGGACACCAGCAGCGCCTTTACGGCCAGCTCGCGCAACACGCGCCTGTCCCGGGCCCGACAGCCCTCCCAAAAGGCATCCCGATCATTGCTCTGCGGAAAGTCACCCGCGGGGACGGGCTCGCCAAGAAACTCGCAAAGCGGCCCCCACCCCTGTTGGACCCGGTACTCGAGGAGGCGTTCGGCCGGCACGCGGCCCCGCACGTAGTCCTGGTGCTCCGCAAACGCCGTCTTTCCGTAGCCCGGGAAGTCGCCGCGGTAGAGCGCCCGCTGCAAGGCCCGCAAGAGGGTCGCGTATGTCCGGGAGCCGGAGTGGATCAGCGCGAGGGCTCCGAGGATGGGATCAACGGCGCGCTGATATACGGTGCCGAGACATGACCTGGCGAGAGTGTCCACGTTTAGTATCATGGGGTGCCCGGGTCTCATAGTCTTTGAGGGCGGGCGGTGACGTACGCGTGCCAGGAGTCGACGTCTCGGGTGGGTAGAATCACTTTGCTCGTGGGATAGCTCTCGATGAACTCGGCAGCGAAAGCGGCTGCCGGCACGTTGCGAACGCCCTAGGTGCCCATTTAGCGTTCACTAACACGTTGTACGTTGTTATGTCACCCGCGCTCCAGCCATATTGTCCAGGCTGTCAGCATGGTTTTATGTTACTCACGTCGTAGCCGTCAAAAAAGGCGGCGGCTTCTGTACCGTCGAAGCCAGGCTGACCGCTCAGCTTCCTCTCGATAGCCCGCACCCAAAACGCGGCGTGCTCCGGGCTGCCGTTGGCGACTGTGTCGAGATCATACAGATTCCCGTAGCCCAGAGTCGCCAGGGCCCGCGACAGCGCTAAGAAAGCGTCAGATCAAACAGCGAAAACCTTCCCGCGGGGCCAGGTTATGCTGTGAGTGCTCACATGTCCCGCCTGTTCTACTCAAGCCCAGCACGAGGAGCGGAGGACGCCCGACCTTGGAATGCGGGGTGGCGCGAGTCGATGCCATGCTACGCGCTGGGCACAAGTTGACTTGCTCTCCTCGGCTATTGTGTCATGTATATCGAGTACCTATTCTCAAGTAGCGTTCAACGAGTCAACCCTCTTATGCCCCCGAGATCCCTCGTCGTTGTTTTCTCACGCTAGTAGACCGGGTCGATCGCGGCCACTTCCGCGCATGGCCAGCGCGGGAACGGCAAGGATGAAGCGGCACGGGATGAACCCCCCCGCCGTCTGCATATGCAGCCAAGCGCGGGATCGACGGGCACCAATGCTAGGCATTTTGCTTTTGTAGTGTTGCATCGGTAGCGGACGACGAAGGGGTGGTTCTCGGGCCGTCGGCGTCACAGACGTACACACTCACGTACAGACGTACTCACATGCACGAGCTCCTCCGTAGCGTTGCAACATATGCTGCAAGTTCAAGCTACCGTGCCGATACTATCTTTTGCAGCCCACGTCTCCCGCACCCGATGCTCCGGCCGCAAGAAGTACGAAAGAAAATACCGCTTCCCCGCTCCGTCCGCTGGCTGCGTTACTCGATGCAATGGAGACCGAAGCCTGCCTAACGAAAGCCGGGCGAGAGAGCTCGCCCCATGGACCAAGGCGCAGCCCTCGGGCGGAGGAGGCACGAAGACCCATTCCCGCCGTCCCTGCTCATCATTGTCGTTGTTGTCCCCCGTGAGACACACCTGCATGCTCCAAGAGTCATAGAAGAGCATCGTCAGAGTGCCGCTGTCGCGATGCTTGTTTTCGAGGACGTTGGCTGCAAGGGGGACCGACGGCTCCGAGATAAGCTTGAGGCCCGTCTCGCTCGGCTCCGAGTCGCGGTGCACATTCTCTAGCAGAGGCGTGTCGAGCGCGTCCACCAGACGGGCCAAGACTACACGAGCAGCCTCGTGGCAGTGGCCGTGGAAGCTCTCAATGAGATCCGCTTGCTTGATCATTGATATCGGAAGCGGCAAAGATTTATGGCGCAGTTCGTCTCTGGACATCTACGTTTCGTGACTCCGTGTTAGTTGCAGTCCAGTCCTCTTCTTGCAGCGTTGCCGTAACAATGGAGTAATCTCAATCACCTCATAACTCTCATCAGTCTCACAGGATTTGTACCTAACGCAAGCGGCCCGTTAGCATCACGTGAACAAGCGGCGAATTCGCGCGACGAACCCTCTGTCGCTCCATGAAGGCTGGCCTTGACGGAAGTCCTCGGCCTTGATCTCGGCGGGCTGTTCAAAGTAGTTCTCCGAAAGCGCATACATGAGACGTGCCTGATCAGCGATGGCTTTTGTCGCTGGAGCGTTGCGAAGGTCAAGGTAGAAGTATCCAGGACTCTCCAACGCCTCGACCAGCCTGGTGGTCTCCGCGTCGTCCCTTTCTATCAGACGGGCGAGATCAACCGCGGTGACGGTTGAGACGTCGGGAAGCTGAACAGGAGCCATCTTGTCTGATTCGGACACGACTTTGTGGAATACTGTCTGAGGATAAACGGAGATCAGAGTTTTTGGTGGCTTTGTCGTTGCAATTTCACCACATTGAACAAGCGCAGGCCCGGTCACAACGTTGCTCAACTCCGAGCCGCTCAATGGCACGGAACTTGGAGCCTTGAATGAGCCTTCCTCGTCTTCGGATCTCCTCCGCTAGGCGAGAAGCCAGTCCTACCACACTGCCTCCTGTGAGAAGTGATATGTCACGGTCGCTTCGACGTTCTCTCTGCTCCCCCGCGTCGGCAGGACTTGCCCAATGACGGCAGACAGAAACTGCACGTTGTAGCTGCAGGACGGCTGCCGCTGGGAAAATATGCTCGATCTGGAACTCGGTCTGATGCACCCGTCTACGCCACTACGCGGGACCTATAGTTGCTTTTGGGTTTCAATGCAGAGCCGGCGGAGGTAGGGGGGCCTTGCATGCGCAGGTTCATGCATTGACAAAGGTCATGGGCGTTCAACACGCCACGGTCTCTTGAGACTCACTGCAGAAACGTAGTTTTCATCTAGTAATCGGGTAGGCTGACGCCGTTCTGCCCCTCTGGCCAGTCCTCGGGATACCCTGCTTGGTCCGCTTGCCTCCACTCGTTGTCTGCTGCGTACATGTCCCGGATGGGTTGCAGCACTTGGTTGAGCGCGCGCGCCACCGCGTCCTTGAGCGCATCCGCATCTATGAGGCCGGCGACGTAGTTTTTCTGCAGCGCCTCGTACGTGCAGTAGTTGCGATGTGAGCGACACTCGCAGCTCGCGCCACGTATGCTGACACTGAATAACGTTCCCTCCGATGCCCCCTTGGCCGCGAACATGCCCACTCTCGAGGAAGCATGGCCGTTGACGCCGTTTGCCTTGTCGCTTTCTGTGAAGAGCATCCGAATTTCGCTGATGGGCATAAGAATATGCTCAATGATGGGCAACACTCCGTTGCCTTGCACTGTGCCGGGTGGGCAAGCGGCCCCGGCCAGTTTCTCAACCACAGCATCTGCATCGTCGAGGAACATGATCTTGGTGTGAGCCGGGTGCGATGAAGACATCTTGCCTCCCGTCAAGCTCGGTAGAAGCTCGTTCAGCAAGTGCGCACGCTTTTCGTACCCCAGGTCAGGCAAGAACTGTTCCCCCAGGTTGAAGATGCCGCGCTGGTAGAAGACACAAGTCAGCTCCAGTCTCACACACAGTCCGAGGCTATCACTCACCTGGTCCGTCCCGCCAAACTCGACATCCACGCCCAGATACTCCTCGCCGAGCTCCTGGAGCAGTGGCGTGAGCAGCGGACTGAGCATCGTAGATGCGCCAACCTCTGCACCAGTATCACGTGCGTCCTGCTGGGAGCACAGAGCGCAAAGCTTCCAAAAGTCGACCATGTACTGCTGTGTCACTTGGTACGATGACATTTCGACCATCGAGACGTACGACATCGGGACGCCGACCGCCTTCAGCGCCGCCGTGATGAGCGCCTTGTAATACTTTGTGCGGTGGCGGACCTGCTCCCATGGGAACTTGTAGTTCACCAAGAAGGCGTATGTATCAATGAACTCAACAACGATCTAGCCGCGAATCGGGTCAGCCAGTGTCCCGAGGCCACTTACATATGTGTTGAAAAGCCCATTGCACACACCTCTCCACCGGCGCGGATGAAGTCTGCAAACTTGATCAGTGGGATAAAGTAGCCAATATGCGCTTTCTACCCGGTCAGCAAGTAGACTGAAAGACGATTAGTATGACGGTCGCACGCTTGCCCGTGGGTGCGGTGACTGCTCAGTTAGCAAGAGTCCCGCAAATTGATCATTTGATGGCCATTGAACATGAAGCCATGCTGTGAAACCACTAACCCCATTGGTATTTGATGCCTTTGCCCTGGGCGAGCAGTGACTGGAGTTTCTGGCCAGACCAGCCGTTCTGGATCTCGAGTCGCCGAGTAATCAGTGAGTACTTTTGCTCAGCACCTAGGGCGGTAGCCATGGTGTATGTGTTGAAGTTGATGAGAGTTTTTCAATGGTCCTTAGGTGCTGCAGTTTCGGGACTTGAAGTCATTCAACACTTTCCCTTCGCAACTGTCAATAACGCGCCCCCTCATGGCTGGACTTTAATGTTTCCTCTCGCTGCGGCTGCGCATCAAGCCTCGTGCTTCCACCCCGGCCCAGCCGTCTTCCGTTGACACCCCCGCCAGACTTTGCTCTCCCCCACAGAGCTACAACCATGCTACGCCTATCTCGATGGAAGTCAACAAGAAGCGTGATGTATACATGACGTGGCGGGCGGCGGCCCGTAGGCGACTGCAGCATGGGTGGGATCTTCCACATGCCAAGAGGAGCAAGGGAAATCCGACACGGCGACGGTCCGAACCTCCCACACCACGCAGCAGCCGTCGATCAAAGCATGCGCAGGTTCTTAATGTGACCACACCACGTCTTCGGCTAGATATTGATAGGCTGGCACCGATGGCATGTCGCCTGCCCCTGGACTTCATTGTTGGCTCCTTTTCAGGTACCTTCAGCTCCCTGCTGAGCGCCAGAGCTTCTGAAGAGTAGTCACGGGAATGTTTCCGCGATGTGATCTCTCGGGTTACCGAGCAAACGCGATATCGCCGGTCATTGGTACCCGAGCCGTCCATCAAATGGGCGGTATGCCCGATGCGCAGCATCCACCTGACGACGTGGATAGGATCACCACCAGCTCTTCCAAATGAGATTGGCGTAGTCTTATTGAGCCGCACTGTACGCCTGGGGCTAGAAGTGAGAGTCCATAGCGATGCTCGTATAAGGGCGAGCAATTCTGGGAGGCTATTCCCCTTGCCTATGACGCCAACAGTTGCCGACACTATCTGCATACGGACACGCCTCGACGGTATCCTCCAACACCCGATGGCCATGATATCGTGCATAATATGGATGCTCCTACCCCTAGCCCTGTTAGCAGCAATGAGTCTGTACGCAACCTCCCCGAATTTTGCCGTCTGGAAGACGTCGCGAAAGACTCGGCGTCATCGACCAATTCCGGCCACCAGGCTGGTCGAGCATTTTGCTGCAAATGATTGCACAGACTACAAGCTGCTTTACTATAAGCTTCATAACTTGGAACTCCATCCGGACATCCTTCCGGACGCCAAGTCACTCCTACTCTCGTTCCTTTCAGAGGCGCTCCAGTGCGAGAGACATATCACCAAACGCACAATTTTGGAGCTGAATATCTTCACGGACGTGGCGCTCAATGACTTCGTCCAGCAGGAGCTAGATGCTGTGACGAGCGAGTGGCACCACTACCTCGCCCGCCGCAAGGCAGGCAACCCTCGCGAACTGCTACCCACCGCCGACGAAGCGCGGGCGTGGTTGCTCAAGATCACCCCGCTCAAGTTTGTGGACGGAGCATGGCTGGGGCACGTTCACAGAATGGCGACCTCATTTGCGACCCGAAAGATTACCAAAGCAGCCTGGCAAGTCCTCTCTGAGGAGCTCGGCGATGGGGATCTCCAGAAGTGTCACACATATGTCTACGCGAGGCTCCTAGAAAAGATTGGCATCTCGGTGCCTGCGCCAGACTCTTCCGAGTTCATGCAGCACGACGGCATGAATGATGTCACCGTATGGCGATCTGCACTTGCCCAATTGCTCATTTCCCTCTCTCCGCAGGAGTTCCTCCCGGAGATTCTGGGGTTCAGTCTGCACTTTGAAATGTTGACTCTAGAAACGCTCGTTGCCGCTCGGGAACTCCGCGAACTCGACATTGATCCTTATTATTTCACGCTACACATCACGATTGACAATGCCGACACAGGCCATACCGCAATGGCAAGCCGAATCGTTACGGATTACTTGAAGCTGGTTGCCGAAATGCGAGGAAATGCTGCGGTCGATCAGGAGTGGAAGCGCATACAGGCTGGCTATATCCTGTCCAAGAATATCGGCCGGGAGGAGCTCAAAGATATCCTTGGTACGAAAGTTCTCGAGATATTCCGGGCCAAGTCGGTTGCCTGCAACAGGATCCATGATCACTGTCCCATGAGCATCAAAGGTCGGCCACTGGGCATGTGGCTAGACCCCGCGTCGTTCAGCCGGCGAGATTGGCAGATGGACTTTTTGCGGTGCCTAGCGGACGCTAAGCCTTGGGTTCTCAAGGGGGATAGCTCTCGCAGTCGGCTGATGCAGCAGCTTGCCTGGGGCGGACGTATGTTTGGGGCTTTCACGGATCGCGAGGTGGGCATCGTCCGAGACTGGATCGACTCACTCGCTCCACTAGGGTCGAAGACATACACAAGCTTCACGGGTAGAATAGACCTGGGGCGGTCTATACAGCTTGGGCAGAGCCACAGGCGTTGCCTAGCGAATCCAGATGTCCTCGGACGAGACGCACCCGACGCTGACGCGGACGCGGACGCCCTGAGACCCCGAGCTGCGGATCTACGCAAACTGGACATCCAGAAGCTGTTGCCAATTTGGTTTGCCCACGCGTCCTTGCTTGAGGCTTTCGTGTCGGTACCATGGCCTGTCGCCAATCCCACGGGCTGCGCCGTCGTCAGATTGTTGCGCGCCCAATACGGCTTTCTTCCAGAGCCCACGGGCGTATATGGGGTCGACGAGATGTCTCGCACAAATCACGTCGATCTGGTGAGCATCGGGTGCAAACTGATATCTGCGGTAGATCCAGGGCGCGCTTCTCCAGAGAATATGGACGATGTGTTGGAGCAGTGGCCCTCGTCGTTCGCGGAGGGCATGCTGGCGGCTGCGACGAAGCCGCGCGAACTCCAATGGCGGTTACTCGGCATGACGCACGCCTTCGTCCAGCTCCACGAGCTTCTCGCGTCTTCCGATGCTCTGCTCTTTGAGCCGACGCGAGCGGCGCTGGACGCCATGAGGAGGAGAGAGCAGGAGAGCTTGGCCGCGCTCATGGCCGGACTGAGGCCTGGGAGTTTAGCATACCGCGACTTTGCAAACGGGTGTGCCTTGGCAGCTCGTGAGATTGAGTCGTGCTGCAAATAGCAAGAAGTCCCAATGGCCCAAAGAATACAGTCTTGCTGTGCACCGAGACCATGGTTGTGACGGAACCTTTTGGTTGTGGGTTCGTTGAAAGCTGCCAGTTGAGTGGATGCAGCAGCACGTTGACGGAGTTGATGCCTGGCTTGCCCAGTTGCCCGGTGCCCACCATGGCTCGATTCGGCTCGAATGACGCACCTGCAAGGCATTTCCCGCTCCGCCGTCCTCCTCCAACCACCACCAACGGACAGCAACTGCCTCGGGTTGCGCTGGTCTGTGCAACTCAATCGAAGAAACCATCTCCGAGGCGTCGCGTCGTCACCACCGTGACCATGATTCGCCCCTCGGCCCTCGCCCGGCCGGCCCGCGCCTCAGCCCGGATCCTGTCTGGCCGCACCGCCGCCGCTTCCGCCGCACGCCGCACGCTCTTTACGCAGCGCCAGTCCACCCGCGCGACCCAAGACTTTGACCTCAACAAGCTGAATGCGAAGCGCCGCGACTACGAGCAGAACCGCACGGCGTTCCTCGCGGCGGGCGCCATCGCCGGCATCGTCTCCTTCATCTACACCGCGTGGAAGCTCAAGAAGGCCCTTGAGGCTGAGCGGGAAAAGGAAAGCAGCTTGTCCGTCAAGTGCGACGCTCCGCCGTCGGTGCCGACCGAGACGTTCAAGACCGAGGCCGGCGAGCGGCGCAAGGTCGTGGTGCACGATGAAGAAGGCCGCGAAATCGTTCCCACCGGCAACTCGACCGTCCCGGTCTTCCCGCGCCTCATCGACGTTGACGTTCCGGCGTCACAGCACGACGGTCCCGTCGCCGCCTCCCTCACCGACAAAAATGGCGTCGAGTTCACCCTCGTGGGGCTCGGCATGCGGACGGTGACCTTCCTCGGCCTGCAGGTCTACCTCGTGGGCTTCTACGTGGCGACGCAGGACGTGGCCCGGCTGCAGCACTACCTGGTCAAGAAGATCAACCCCGTCGCCACGACGCTGATCCCCTCGGAGAAGCAAGACCTGCGCAAGGCGCTGCTCGATGCCACTGAGGGCGAGGAGACGTGGGACGCGATCCTGCGCGAGGCCGGGTGCCGCAGCGTGTTCCGCATCACCCCGGTCCGCGACACCGACTTCCACCACCTACGCGACGGCTTCGTGCGGGCCATCCAGGCGCGGTCGCTGCGCAGCACGGCATACAACGACGAGGCCTTTGGCGCCGCCATGAAGGAGTTCAAGGGCATGTTCAACCGCGGGTCGGTGCCCAAGAAGAAGGAGCTGCTTCTGTACCGCGGCGCCGACGGCGCCCTGTCCATCCTGTACGGCGACGGCACGACCAAGAACAAGGACGGCAAGAGGGACCGCATGGGCAGCGTGGCCGACGAGCGTCTCTCGCGGTTGCTGTGGCTCAATTACCTGGCAGGGAACAAGGTCGCGTCCGAGGGGGCACGGCAAAACATTATCGACGGGGTCATGGAGTTTGTCGAGCGACCGGTGGGCACTGTCGCGACGCAAGTCGTGTAGAGTCTGCGCTCCTGTATGAGTAGCCAGCACATGTCATGTATACTATATGTTATCCACGCCCATCACGTCACGTACGGGTAGATGGAGAGATAACTCCAGGGTGGTACAATAAAACACAGCTCTATTGATTGGCGAGTATCATCGCACCAAAGACTGTGTCTCCAACACCGCGCGCATCTATAAGCGTATAATGTGCTGCCCCTTCCTACATGGACACTATCCCACCGCCGTGTATCTCCTCACAGGCTCCTGTCGCCGCCTCAGCTCGTACCGCCCGCTGCGTGAAGGGAGTCGCTTACGCCTTGAGGGCGCCCGAGTCGAGGAGCTTGCGCTTAAGCTCGCCGGACTTGGCCAGGGCCTGAACGTCCGAGTTGCCTCCGATGTGCTTGTGGTCGATGAAGACGTTGGGGACGGTGCGCTGGCCGGTGATTTGCTCGAGGGCGTCCTGCAGGTCGCTGCCATCGGCTGCGGGAACTGTTAGCATGCAGTCGCGTACTGGTTTGGGATGCGCTGCCCAGGCAAGCAATCAAGGTGTGGGCACGACGCACATTCGTTGTCAAGCTCGATGGCTGTGAAGTCGGCGTCGAGGCTCGAGAGGGTCTGCTTGGTGTTGCGGCAGTACGGGCAGTAGCTCTTCGAGAACACGACTGGTGGACAACGGTTAGCCGCGCCGTTGCGTCTTCCGCTGAGGGTCTAGAAGGGAGGACGGAGCACACGTACTGACGGCGTTCTCGTTGATGAGCTTCTGCGCCTTGTCGGATGCGGTAGCCATGGCTGCTTGTCGCTGTGGTGACGGTGTCGTGGAGAAGAAGTGTCTGAAGACTCGGAACATGAGGGGTCGAGTCGAGAGTTGAGGCGGCGGCGATGCGCGAAAGAGGGGGCAGATGCGCGATGATATATACGATGCAGGACGGCCGGTGCGACGTGGAGAGGAAGGCTGCGGGGCGCGATAATTGGATAGGCTATCAGGATTTGTCACAGAGATGGGCGGGATGTCAATGATGCAATCCCATTTTTCGATGTCACGACCGCGCCAACGGACCCAGCGCGCGCGCAGGCAGTCCCCGCGGCGGGCGGTGGAGGGCCCCGTGTGGCGACGGTTCCAGAAGGCCGGCCCCTGGAACGATCCCAGGGAGCCGCATCTGGCGCCGGCTGTTTGGCGCCGCAGTGGCTGCTGGCTTCCAGTGCTCCGTGCTCGGGGTATTGCGGCTCGACAGACAGAACCTGGAACATTCAAGGCATGGCGGCCGACGCCACCTCGGCTCGATTCCAGACAGCCGGCGCAGCCGGTTCTGGGCCAGCGACTTGACATTATTAATGGAGGCTTTGTCACGATATATCATTAGGATGATGCCGCGGCTTCAGGGGCATGCACACTATGCCGCTCCCATACAGATCTTAATGCCGCTGTCGTTGGCGTCGGCAGATGGTCCCTGTCCTGTCATCAGCGGCCCGATGGGCATCTTCCGGGTCCCTCAACCGGGCCGCTGGTGCATTCCGTGGTATGACGTCGGCACACCCTGGACGACCCCGTAAGACTGGCAACACGACCGAGGTCGACGACGGCTGACAGTTTGCAATGTGCGAGATGGTCCGAGGCATTCGCGTCTTCAGCAGGGAACGGCGTTTATACGCTGAGGTAGGGGTCGGCATGGAATCTATAATGGTTTCAGCTTCGAGCGACTGAGGCGTGCTTTTCCGTGGAGGATAGCCCCAGTCTCTGTCGTATCATAGCTAATGCAGTGAACGCCATGTCCTGCGTTGCGCGACGGGTGTTTGTGACTGCCATATGGGGAAGGGTTTGTCGTGGTGAGTGGCGCTGTGATGGGAATCGGTGCATACTCTCCGACTCATGGATGGCCACGAGACAACACGACAAGGCTTTTAGAGAGCCAAATACAATGGAAGCTGCACAAAGATACACAACATGATCGCACAACCTATATAGGTGCTCGTTGTAGCTCGATGATGGCTGCTGCGTTCAACCAAAGCATCCTCCCGGGTAGCCTGACCTTGGGCGGACTTTTGATCCGCTCAACGTGCTGTACGACGGTACGTCATTCAGGCTGGGCCACGCCAATCATTCGTAGGATCAAACCGCAAAACGCCCTGCATGACATTCTAAGAGGGTCAAAAACAATCTCTCCGGTCGTGATCTCAAGATGGAGGAATATGGCACGCAGGGTGAGATCTGAGATAGGCAAGGCGCCAGGAAACGGCTTGCATCACCTGATCAGCTGAGCTCTCGCGTCGCTGAAGGGGACCCCTGTAGCCGCCCCAGCCCCGCGATCCGCATAATTTTTGGCCAGGTTTCTCCTTGCTTCAGCGCTTCGCTTCCATCATCAGCCACCAAGTCGCGGTCAATCACAGGCTTCACCGCGCGCGCATTCATCATCGTGCTTATCTGTTTAGCGTTTGCGGTGGATTCGCCCTCTGCCTCTGCTCCCCCGCCCGGTCCGGTCTTTCTGCACCAGCTACGCGCCTCGGAGCCAGCGGTAACCTTGATTCACCCGGCGCACATCATCGATCTCGACCTCTCTCGCATCCTCGCCGACGACTTCACGAGCGCGCACCCGAAGCCTCCGAGGCCCGCACCGAAACAGCCACTTAACCTGCGCTAATCGTCCCTGCTCGCCGTGTCGCCTGGCCGCATTCGCAGCGACCTGCAGCTCGCCCAACGACATCAGTCCGCCACTCCAGCGTCACACAGCTACCCCACGCTCAGCAACCATCCCACACGCCGCAACTCTACCTGTTGGCCCCCGCATCCTGGGACGGAATAGAAAATCGGTGACGTACGAGGTGTCCTTTCCGGGTCACCTTACCAACGAGAGGCAAGGTGGATTCCAGGCAGGTCGCCGCGGCATCCTCTGGAGCCTTGCAAAACATCACGTCCTACCTCAACGGGACCCTCGTCAACCTCTCGTCCGCCTTCCAGGAGTCGAGCGAGTACCTCTCCGAGACCCTCGGCGTACCGCCAGGGCTCCTCTACAGCAGCCTCGCGGCGCTCGTCGCCGTTCCCATCACCATGTCGAGATATGGCTGGTCGCTCAAGCGCGAGCAGAGCTCCCCCTACGGCTCTCTCTCGGGCGGCGTCCCCGCTGTGACGGACGATGACTTTTCCTACATCACATCGCAGGACCTGGATGACGGCCCCTTGGGCACGTCGGATGGCCGTTACCATCCCAGGTCACAGTCCGCCGCCCCACCGGCGCCCGACGACGACGTCCTCCTCATCAAGAACAAGGGAGTCACGTACCCAGCTCACTTCCCGGCATATGCCATCGGCGACGGCAAGCTGCGCGTCAGGGATGTGCGCGAGCGCATCGGGTTGATGATGGAATTGTCGGAGCGCGCCACTCGGCGGGTGAAGCTCCTGTACAAGGGCCGTCAGCTCAAGGAGCCCGCGGCGCCGGTCCGCGACTACGGCGTCAAGAACAAGAGCGAGCTTATGGCAGTTCTCTCGGACGCCAGCAACGAGAGCAGCGCGTCCGACGAGGAGATGGTGATTGTCGACGACGCCGCGCGCGAGGACAAGTCGAAGCGCCGCAAGAAGCGAAAGGGCAAGAAGAGGGCTAACAGAGACGACGGCGAGTCTGCCAGCACCGGCTCCGCCAGGTCTCCGCCCCCGCCCGCTGCCGGCAGCGGGGCGTTGAAGCGCATCGAGGAGCTGTCCACCGAGCTCACCACCAAGTGGCTGCCGCTGTGCGTGCAGTTTACCGCATCCCCGCCCTCTGACCCCAAGGTCAGGGAGGACGAGCACAGGAAGCTCTCCGAGACGCTCTTCCAAAATGTCCTGCTCAAGCTTGACGGGGTGGAGACGGAGGGCATCGCTGAGGTGCGGACTAAGCGGAAAGAGCTGGTGCAACGAGTCCAGGAGGTGTTGAGGGGCTTGGATGCTGCCAAGGGCTAATTCAAGAGGTCGCGGGGCTTTTATCCTTTTGCTGAGACTCGGAGGGCATTGGACACTATGGCGAGACACAGGTCGTATGGGCTTGACCCTGGCGTTGCGGCTTGCATCAGAGACAGCTGAGACAACTGCCGAGTACTGGCAGCCATAGAAACCTGTACAGCACTTTAGAACAGATTACCAAGGTCGCATCGACGACCTTGCATTGACAGGTAGACTCCGGAAGTGCACAACAGCTGGGCTGACCTGCTCACGGGATGAGCGAAAAACGACTTGCTGTTTAACAAAGGCGCCTGACCGTGCACCGTCCACTGGACGCCGAGAGGTGGGCAACGACACGCTGAGTCCATAATTCCTGGCGTCACGACGCCGGGGTCACGTGCTGTGTTGGCTGCGGAGAATCTCCGGCTCTGCTTGGTAGGTCTCGCAGCCCTAAAGCACATTGCGGCTGTGAGCCCTCCTCGCTTCACCCCAAACGCCACCTTTCCCTGTTGGGCTAGCGCACATTGGCCCAAAGGCACAACGAGCCCTCAAAGCGGAACTTGGATTTTCTCGCCGTCAATCACTGTCGCGACCATCATCAACACCTCGCCCAGGGACGACTAACCCCAGCAGCACAGCAGCAGATTCTCGCCGGTCCGGTCGGAGGATTTGTGTGTCATCGTCGTCGTCTGAGCTGTCGCCTTTCCTTCGTTTCCCTTTCGCCTCCACGAAACCGATACGATGTCGTCGTTCGAGCCGGTTGTGAGTAGCCACCACATCAATGTTTGCGACAACCCGGGTTGCGATGGCGGATGCAGGGCACGGGAAGCGGGAGCAGTGGGCACGGCCAAAGGCAGACGAACATGGCGAGCGAATTGATGCCTGCTGCTGCTGCTGCTCGCGACCTCATGCGCCGTCAAACCCGGACCAGCAACACAGTGTCAGGGCTCGAGCTAACATGAGTCCCAGGTTGTCGTCGACGGCAAGGGCCACCTTCTGGGCCGCCTCGCCAGCATCGTTGCCAAGCAGCTCCTCAACGGCCAGAAGGTCGTTGTCGTCCGCTGCGAGGCCCTCAACATCTCTGGCGAGTTCTTCCGCGCTAAGCGTACGTCTCCCCCCGTCCACCTCCAGATCCGACTGGACGCGGCTGGCTCCCACCAGCCGAAGCGACAGATGGACCGAAAGTCACGAAACGGAAACTGACAGCCGAACAGTCAAGTACCACGCCTACCTCCGCAAGATGACCCGATACAACCCCACCCGCGGTGGTGAGTCCGATCCCGATCGCCTTGGTCGCCGCCGAGCCCTCCTGCTGACAGCCGACAGGTCCCTTCCACTTCCGCGCTCCCTCCCGAATCTTCTACAAGGCCGTCCGTGGCATGATCCCCCACAAGACCGCCCGTGGTGCCGCCGCTCTTGAGCGCCTCAAGGTCTTCGAGGGTGTCCCCCCGCCCTACGACAAGCAGAAGAAGATGGTCGTCCCCCAGGCTCTCCGCGTCCTCCGCCTGCAGCCCGGCCGCAAGTACTGCACCGTCGGCCGTCTCAGCCACGAGGTCGGCTGGAAGTACCAGGATGTCGTTGCCCGGTTGGAGGAGCGAAGAAAGGCGAAGGGCGCCGCCTACTACGAGCGCAAGCGGGTCGCCGCCCGACAACTGTCCGACGCTAAGAAGAACGCCTCTGTCAAGCCCGAGACTGCGAAGGCCCTTGCTGCCTACGGCTACTAAACTGGCCGATACCCTGGCCCTAGCCGGTCTCGGTAGCTTCGCATTGTCTTGTCATTTCTCGTGCGGTTCATTAGATTGGCGCGGCGGTTCACAACGGATAACACTTGATTTGCTGAGTGATGGCAAGGGCGGCGGTTTATGGGAAGGTGGCGGAAGGTTGTTCTAAATGTTCTACATGAATCTCGTCGTCGGAACCCGTGCCAAACAAATAAAGCACAGAACCCAACAGCTCGAAGTTTCCGGCGGCGCGTGAGGGCGGCGGATGGCACGGCGCGGGTCGGCCGCGCGTGTTATGAAGACGCGGAACTGGAGGAATGGCCTGCCTGTCCCACGGCCATGGCCCAAGGAAGCCATGCTTGGCTCTGGCGGCAGAGTCCAAGGGGACGCAGGGTGGGTAGTGGGTGGCAGTGGGAGGACGACACACGGTATATTCTCTTCTCGTGCGAGAGAGACTAGCATTTGGGCATTAGGAGTAGAAAAGGAATGGAACTGACTTATGATCAACGCCTGGATGACGTCGAGCAGTGACATGCTGGGTCTTTCCCATGTCGAGTCCCATGTGCAGCCACACGAGCGGACGTCCATGATGTATAGGCATCGCACTGTGGTACGGCACGGGCATATATACCTCGTAGGTATTTCCTACCCATGTGATAGCCCTGTCAACAACTACAAGCACCCGGACCGTCAATTATTTCGTGATGCACCAATTCTTTGTTTTCTTCTCTCATCATATGCCGTGGAGTTGTGGGCGTAGTCGGTGGGCATGGACGTGGGGGACCCCACAGTCATGTGCTGATAAGATAGGGGATCGGTCCAACGTGTTCTTTATTGGCGCCAGCCTGGGGGGTCCTTTCGAGACAGGACAGCTTCACTCGATAGACCGCCGCCTCCAGCGCACGTTTCGCTCCTTACCGCGCACCCTACCAGCCGGCCAATTTTGTCCCACGAACAATAGCCATACAGCGCCCTAATCGCCTGATTCCTTGTATCCATCCTAGTGGCGCACTTCTTCGCCCCCTCAAGTTGGTCCCCTAGACCGCATACCACAGCCATGGCGGACCTCGAGCATTTCGACCTCCTCCCCCTGCACATGGACCCCCAGTCCAAAGCCATCTCCTCGGCGCGGCCGTCGCGCACACTGGACGCGGAGCTCGAGCAGCTCAACACGCTGCATCGGGCGATCCTTTCGCTCGACCACCCGGCGACCGTGCCGCCGCCGCCCATCCCTGTCAACCCCAAGCGCAGCGGCAACATCAGCAAGCTGCGGGACAACGGCAACACCGAGTACCGCAAGCAGAAATACCCCGAGGCGGTGCGCCTGTACACGCTCGGCATCCAGATGGCGCTGACGCGGCCCATGTGGGAGCCCGCGGCGCTGGTGCGCGAGGAGGTGTCAGGCCTCCTCGCCAACCGCGCGCAGGCGCATATGGCGATGCAGAACTGGCCCGAGGGCGCCGTCGACGCCGAGGCTAGCGTCGAGGCGCGGCGCGTGGGCAACGCCAAGGGCTGGTGGAGGAGGGGCCGCTGCCTCGTCGAGATGGGCAGGCTGGACGAGGCGAGGGAGTGGGTTAAGAGCGGCCTTGAGGTCGAGGGCGAGGAGGCCGAGCTCGTGGGCCTGCTCAAGGAGATTGACGGGTTGATTGAGAAGAAGAAGCGGTCGCTGTAAAGAAACCGGTTTTCGTTGGCGGATGAAGTGGCGCGTGGGAAGAGTGGCCACGACGATGCTGGGCAAGCGATGTACCACCACACTATGACATGATATCACACTCGCGAGGAGGAAGAGGGCTCTTCATTGATTGGCGCATGGGCAATACACACGGCTTTGTGTTTGAATCTCCGCTTCATGGATGGCTATCTTGGCAGCTGTACCGACAACGGCCCACCGGCGTGTCTCCGGCAGCGCGAGGCAAATCCTCACACCGCGAGCCGTTGGGCCTGAACGTGAAGCGTAGTTTACGTGCCATTGGATATCCTAAGAACGGGGGTACAAAGCAAACAAAACAAGCCGGATCGTCCCGTAACCGTAAACATCAACCCCCTCATGCATACATAAACACTTGTGTTGCAGTGCTCAGGAACGTAACAAACGGCCGCCCATTCCTCTCGCCTCGCCTGACGAGCAACCTCGACGCGGTCCTCGCGACGAGCCCTCTAAAACAAAGTGGACGTGTAATAAACCATCGGTGTCTGAAAGGTCGTGGCGCCTGTCTGTCGTATGCTGTTGATGATGAACAAGACGCAGGAAAGTACGCTGGCGCAGCGCTGAAGTGCATGGCAACTGAGCGGCGACCGCCTCAGTGCCGGGTCGGAGGCCCTAGTCGTTTGGGCGGGCCGTCCAAAGCCATTTCGTGACCAGATGTAGTCGGTACCGAGCCAGCTGATCCTCTGATGGAGATGCGCGGCAGGGCTCGCATGCCGGGTCCGCAGGACAGGCGGCACTACGCCTTCTCGGAGATTGGCGTCTTTTCGCTGATGCTGACCTTGATGCTCTTCTGGCGAGGGCGCATGACGGCGTCTTGGCTGCTCATCCGCCGGTCGAGGGCGCGCTCGAGTTTGGCGCCGAGGGCCAGCTTGCTCATGTTGTCCGTCTTCTCGTCGCTGAGGACGACGCGCTGGGACGAGAGGGCCTTGTTCTCCATGCGGTCCAGGCCGAGGGCGATGTCGCGGATCTCGGCCTGCGCAGAGTCGGTCGTCTGGAAGGTGGGCGTCAACGACGGGGCCACCATGCTGTACGTGCTGAAGCGGACCGACGTTCGGTTCTGTTGGCGAGCCATGGTGTCAGCAGGGACGACGGCCAGGGGCAAGGGGGAGCGCGAAGACTCGAGGCGTGACGGGAGAGCTTGAGAGAGGAAGTACGTCGGGGTAAGAAGCGCACGAAGCGAAGCGAAGTGAGAGGAGGATCGGAGAGGTTTATTGCGGTGGAAGCAAAAGGCGAGGAGGACGAGGGCTCAAGGGAGGGTAAGACAGGCGCAGGCGCCGATTGTTTGCTCTGAGCCTCTGAGGCAAGGAAAGGCCAAGACAACAACACAATGAGGTTGGGGAGAGGACAGAAGGCCAGCGTCATGCCATGGGACGACGTACCGACGCCGCCATTATGGGGCGGGAGGAGTCGAGCGAGGCGGGCATCGTGATTCGTGACGAGCGCCTCGGGGGGGGGACGGGGAGGCGGCGATGCGGTGGGTACTCGTAGCCTTTCGCGGGAGACTGGGACGATGCTGCTGGGCTAGGGGAGCCGGAGGACGGGGGCGCGCGGTCTTTCGTCACGGCGCTGAGGCGATGGCACGGTACTTTGCTCGTGGCGGGAGGAGAGAAAGGGTTGTTTGGAGTTGATGGTTGGGCGAGGGAGCGGAGTTGAGCCCCTGACGACTATTGTTACCACCAGGAACGAGGGACGGGGGGGCGGATCAATGGGTTCAAGGTGCAATGCGACGGGGTTGGTGGTTGAAAGTCTGGTTCAGTGGGAGGGCAGCGCGGTGAGACTGGGCAGCAGCCGCAGGTTTGGCGCCCATGGCGCCGTCGGCCACGGCGATAGCGGGGGGAAGTGGCACCTTCAGTGAGTGCCTTCCACTGAGATGGGCAGATTTCTGGTGATGACCCCATTGAATGGCACTGCGGGTGAGAGCCAGTGGGCCCCTCCCACCCCCTTGTGTGACACAACCTGCAACCGCAATGCCACCTGGGCTGGGGGGGACCCGTCAATTGCCACGAGGGACGGCGGGCGCCGTCGTCTTCAAGCCACGCGTGCTTGCACATGCCAAAGAGGGCTGGTGGCTGCAGCGTCTCAACGAAACTTATGTATTGTTGCGGCGCGCCGTGAATCGAATCCAGACGCCTCGCCTGCGACTCGACAAAAAAACAAACAGAAGCTGCCCTCGTCCAAGCCCGGCCACCCCCTTTCTCGTGTCCCAAATGTCAGCGTCAATTACGCCGGCATGTCCTGCTTGCCCGCGCCCCGTTCCCGTTGGTCGTATCCGTGGCCCAGGGCCCTGCGCTGTCTCCTCCGGCCGACTGAGCTTTCAGCCGCGGCGGTGCAGCGGCGGGAAAGACGAGGCCGGGCCACCACGCCCCAACCTGGGCGGAGAGGACGAATGAGGGCCGGTTTGCGAGCGGTGATCTCTCACCCCCCCTGGTGCCAGTGACCAAGCTGCGCCCACACCGACCCGCGGTTGGTGAAGACTGTTGACTGCAAGCCTGCAGACCTGCAGACTGGCCGGCATTTGGGCTTCACACGTGGCCTGCCGGGGTCGCCGGGCCGCGGCGTGCGTGCAAATCGGCGCAAGCATTGTTGATCATGCGGTGTCGTCCATCTCATGATGGATTCGAGGCACAGTCTCTTGTTGAGCATAGAAGTGCGTACGATCCCGGGGGCGAGACTTGCTTGGGTGGCAGACCACGTTTTATCTCGTGCGGCAAGTGTTTCGCAAAGAGGGACGGTCCATGGTGCCTTCCCAAGTGACCTGCCAGCGCCCCATCGCGCAGTTACCTCGATCGGTGTTGCCTAAATATACGTACTCTCAGTTTCCTCCGTCCTTGCTCCGCTGTCAACGACATCCCTCGTGTTTCAACCGAATCCCAGCACGAAACCTCATCCGGCCCTACCCTCCAAGTATTAATTGTCATGGTGTCCAGCATGCCGCGCAGGCTGGTTGCTGCCATGGAAAGTTAACCCGGAGACAGAGTGCATGAGCCGCCAGCCGACACCTGCAAGCACAATGCACACCTCATCTATCCCGTGGCAGCTGAAGGTAACAGACAGACAGCTTGTGGTACACAACTCGAATGAATCATGAAAGTCCACGCCTGGTCCTCCCATTCCCTACCGCCAGATGCGACGAAGTCGGCCGATCATGGGTCCTACGCAACAACGGGACTCGCCTCTTGCTAGTCGGCCACCGTCTTTCCTTGTACTAGGTAGGGAGATCCGTCAGCATCATGCCGGGGCGGCGCAAGACACGGTACTCACGGCTTTGGAAACATGTATCGCAGCACCCATGATCGCACGTCGCCGTCGTCTCCTCACGCGTGCCCGAGCGCTTGCCCGTCTCCATGCGCTGGACCGGCTGCAGGCACCAGCCGCCCGTATTCGGGCCTTGGCGACATTGGCAGCATACCCATCGCCCGCCCTTGCTTCTGAAGGCGCAGTTCTCCAGCGGGCACTCGGTCCTCCCCTGCCGCGTGTCACCAAACTCGGTGTCGTTGCAGGGCTCCGTACGTCGGGACGTGACGTCGAACGTTGAGTGTCTGCAGTACGACCACTTGATGGATGTGTGCCCGCATCCGTGCAAGCGAGGCTCCCCTTTGCACATGGCTGCGGCGGTATTGTACTGATTTGCTTCTTATACGAAGTACACGCCGCTGGATGCTCTCGGTGGCACAGTCACTGCCTTGCCGGCTCGACAAAACGACTGAATTGCGCGGGCAACATTTTATACTCTGGCTCCAACCGGCGATGTCGACGCTCTCCATCAGGCATGTAGTCGGCGTTCGCCAACATGACGAGGCGTTCACCGCCACGGCGAGCTTCTCGCCAGTTCGTAGCGAGCGCGCCGTTAGTATCCCGTTGCCTTTGCATTGCCTCGTGCCCGGCGCCAACAGTCTTAATCTTCACATTTCGGCCTGGTGGCTTTGGAATGTCTGATTCGGTGCGGTATATCGATGTCTCGGGAGATCGCGATGTGGCGTCGCCAGGATGAGTGCTCGGACCAGAACGCGATCTCGCCTGGCCTGATTCATCATGCAGGAGGCCACAGAAACGCCCGGGTCTCACCTGGAGACTGAACAAGCAGCTTTACTCGCTGTTTATTCTGCAGCTCGCCGATGGCAAACGTGTTTGCAGCAAACACTGTCAGCTGACAACTTGTTAGCCGGCCAGCCGAAGGACGTCACCGTCGATGACTACCACCGGCGATCACACTCGACAGATCCACCAGTCGTGTCATTTCGAGATACATATTATCGTCGTGTACGAGCGCCATGCTCACCAGTAGCGCACATACGGTGCCGCAACTACAAAAGCTCGGCAACAAGCTTCCGTACGAGCCGACCCGACCTGCTGGATTTGTGAGACCCGAGTTCGCTGGACAGGCTGTCCCGACAGTCTGGCACATGTCTCACGAATGCGGCACAATGTGGATGTATTGTCAAACAAACTCGAAGATGCAACCTTCAGCGGGCGGCGTCGCAACGCAAACCCGTACCGTTCCGGACCGCAAGCCTCCTACCAGTAGCCTTCATCCTCGACTTCTTCATCGTACATCTGAACTCTGCGTTCTTACTCAGAGCTGCCAGCTTCCCTTTGGACACGCATGGCAGCATACGTGCTGGCACTGCACCAGTGTCCCCCCTATCATCATCTCGCACTCACACCGCGCTGCCGTATTCATGACCTTTCCGCACTCACAACAATTCCAACGCCCTTCACGGAGCGAGTACGGGCAGTTGGGCAGTAGAGGACACGGCGGCGTCGGTACGATGCTGCTGCTCGGCTCGTCGACTGTCTCACGTGTGAAGTTGGCGCATGAGGTCGGCTTCCCGTTTGATGGCATATCGGGGCAGGGCAGGCACGTAGTTGCGTGGTGCTCGCACGCGAGGAAGATACGCTTCTCCGTGCACATGGTACCAGCTTGAATGCGCGTTTCAGAACGTAGAAGCCAGCCGAAAAATCCTTTCTGTGAGGATCGTTTGAAAAGGCGTGAGAGAAGACGAGCAAAGTGTTCAGATGTCGGTCGTATAGTTATAGATGTTGATTCTGCTACAGATTGACGATCGCAACAGATCCGACTCCCGTTTTATATGTTATCCGGCATATGAGAGCCCCGTTGAACCTCGTCGGTGACCTGACAACCGCTGACAATCACCGCGGACGAAAATCGACCCGGAACATGCTAGAACTCACAACTGGCAAGGCCCAAACAGCCACGACGACAATGACCCGGACGAGGGACGCAGCCTCGACTCCCACAAGCAAGCCATCCCCAATTTCACGACGCCCGCAAGGACAGCCGAAGAAGTCATCCTCGGCTCGCGTGCCCATGCATTGGCATCAGAAACGTTGCAAGCCTGGTTTGCCTCGCAGGGCATGTCTTCCCTTTTCGCGCGGCGTGACGACGACGACCGGGGGGCCTAGGGGCGCGCAGACGAAAGGGGGTGGATGGAGGAGGCGTAGAGGCCCACACGAGGAAAGAGAAAAGAGAAAACTAAGAAAAGCAGAAGATGAACAGGGAAAGACGGATAAGAAAAGAGGCCCCTCCCCGCGTGCGGTCTCGAGGTCGGCGACCAGTCGACAAACCGACGATGAGGCGGTTCTGGGCCCTTGTCCGGCGCGACGTAACCAGCAAACGCGGTGGCCGGTGCAGACGGCGTCTCGCCCCCGGGATAAGTTTCTGAGCCGTGGAATTTCGGAAGGATAGCCGAGCCGAGGCCTGTGTGACTGCAGACGAGGGCTTCTCACCAATGGATGCGACGAAGACTTGTTCTTTCTGGCTCTCCCGTCTGCTTCTAGATCGGAGTTCGGAAGGACGGGCGAAAGCCTCATGCCGATCTGGGGAGGCTGCGGGAAAGCCACACCGCGTTTCCGCTTGTTGTACGAAGGCCCTCCTCAAACGACGGAGGAACACCAAGCAGTCGTAAAGGGTCTCCTGGACCTGGCAACTCCAGCCACCAACGGGGTCGACAGGCAACTTGACTGCATTGTCGGAGCTCCAGGGATAAACATTCTCCCCCTTCATCCACTTGTCACCGGTCTGCCGTGCACGCCGCGCAGACGTTGTGGTAGCAGAAGGTGTCCGGGCTGCCGACCTTGAGGTTGGTGCACGTCGTGTACGCGTTGCCCCCCCTGCCGCACGCGCAGCACGCCCACCGCCCGCCCAGGTCCTCGAGGCGGCACGCCCCCGTGCTGCACTCGGCGCTGACGAGGCACTTGCCCAACGAGCAGCATACCGGGCTGCCGGCGGCGGAAGGGTTCTCGTGCCAGGTCCAGCCCCCCGCTGCCGCCGATGCCGCGGCAGCCGTCGTCTCGGCAGAGGTCGCCGGCGTGAAGACGACGTTGGAGCATGGCGCGGTGGGCTCGCCCGTGGACGGGTCGACGGCCGCGTCCGGGCAGTAGAGGTAGTGGCTGACCGAGATCAGGGGCCGCGGACACGGGGGGATATGGTGGTGGTGGAGGACGGACCACTGGCACATGATCGTACCCTTTCTCCCCTGACTGCTTGTTTGCTGGCTGGTGCTGCTGTTTGCCTCGTGGTTCGCCTACTCTGAACTGGGCTATGTTCTCCTCGAGAGTACGAAATACCGCTCCCTCCTTTTTCTCGCACCACACGCGCGCGCGTCCCCCTCTCGAGCACAAGCACCACCAGCGCCGAGCCCAAAGGGTAGTAGACTTGAGCCTTGGTGCGCGCACCCAGCGGACGGCCGCGCAGTCGGGAGCGACGAGAGGAGCAGGAGCAGGGAGGCCAGGTCGCACCAGAAGGCGAGGCAATCGCTATGTCTCGGCCCGTTGCCTCGATGACGTGAATATTGGCTCGACGGAAGGGAGGGGTCCCCAAGCAAAAAGGCAACAGGTGGGTGGACCTTGATGGCTTGACGGGGATGTTCGGACAAAGGAGAAAATGACTCGTTCTTTCGGCCGGTCTTTGTGCGACGAGGAGAACCCAAGCCGAGGATGGTGGTTTTGAGGAGCAGGTGATTCTCGTGTTCGGGAATCCTTGCGAGATTGCCCGCTCGCTGGCAGAGGAGGACCCGTCGAGGGCCGTCGAGGGCGAGTGTAAACTTGTTCCTTAAGTTTAAGGCGGGTGCCGTCAATGAGCAGCGTTGATGATCCGGGCTGAGATTCGTCACGATGGTTAAGAGTTAATCAGAGCCACACGATCTCGAGCACGACAAAGCCCCAAAGTTGTTCAGAAGAGCGAATGAAGGGCCAGGCTGGCACGTTCTTGTTGACTGTCTGACAAGCGGTTGCTGGTGTCCCATCACCGTCCCTTGGGGGCCTTCTTATACCATCCGAGGTTTGCCTCCAGCCCGAACGCCCTTGAGGGATTTTGCGCCCATTCTCCCAGCTCCTCATCTCAGATTCAGCTGGCAAAGGCTGGCAAAGCCAAAAGTCACGATAGCCACTCGCGGGTGAGAAAACAGGCCACCCGAATGACCCCGGTCGGGGCATAAGGTGTGTTCCCTAAGTACGTGGAACCCCAGTCCGCGGCGGCGATGAGAGGGCTGACGACATCACGCAACCACTGGTGCCAGGATCGCGGAATGTTTAAAGCCGCCGCTGGGCGCAGTCAAGCTACTCAACGCGCCGGTCCATCGACCGAGTGTTGTCAGATCCTGTCAGTAGCGTGAGTTGACGTTGCGCAATGTGAAAAGCGGCCGCGTCACGTCGGCGTTAGGACGACTTGGGACCGTTCTGAGGGTGAGCTGCTTGGGTTGCCAGCTTATTCGAGAAGGTTGCTCCAAACTTCGCGCCGCAGGAGGCGTTGCAACGGCCCGTAGACGGGCCTGTACGCGGTCTCGCCGTTGAAGTGCTGCCTCGGAACAGTGGCGGAACACACGTCGCACGTGCTTATATCAGGCGAGAAGCGATGTCCCAGCGTTAAGCCAATGGCGGAGGTCGGAGTCGCCGATGACATGCGCATCGCCGTGCACAAGAACGCGCGAGGCCATGGGAACAGTTGCCAAGCAGGGCCGGTCAACGAGTTTTGCACATTGGCGGTTGCAGCCACAGCGTTGTACAGAAACGTCGGCGCGTGCAAGCAAGGAGACGAGGGTCACGGCGCGATAAGCCTGCTGGCTTCGCAGTCCCAGAGTCGCTGACCGCGACAACCCAATGAGAGCGGCGTGAGACTAGAAAGGTTGAGATTCGCGAAGCACGGCCGCAGAAGGTGCCGGTCGCGTGTGTTGAAACGAAAGCCTTTGCAGATTCTGAGGGTATCCTTGCGCCGTTGCACACCATCATACATCGTCATTCGTCAAAACCTGAGTCAGTTAGCACAAACCCTGCGAACATGGTCGCGGGAGCCTACCTTATCTCGTACGAGCCTGCCCTTGTCATGTACCGCACCCACTTGACACTGGAGTAGTTGCTCTTCTCAAACACCTTGAGGTAGCGCACCAGCAACCCGGAGCTCGTGAACATGAGAAGGCTAAAGTTCATGCTCAGGGGCGGCCGGCTCCACGCTCGCTGGTTGGTCATGTGCGTCAGGATTGCCTCGGCACTCAGCACGTACTCGCTCTGGCCCGTGAAGCGGCCAATCTTCCACACGATGGTGTTGTCACTCGGCTCGTACTTGGCCTTGCCTTGCGTGCAACGCTCGATGATCTTGGCCGTGTTGAGAGGCGTGGGGATCTTGACGACGACATTCGTGGCAAAGAGCTTGGGGCCAAAGTTGGCCTTGACGCCGATGCTGTACTCGACCTTTGTGCGGCCAACCTCGTTGACGATGGCGTGCACCTTGAAGGGCAAGTTGACGTTCTCGGTGGAGCGGTACCGCATGAGTTCGAACTCGCCGTCAGGCGGGACGAAGCTGATGATGCGGTCCGTGTCAAACTTGCCCAACTTGACGCACTGGTGGAACTGGCAGTCCTCGAGGGTGACGCTGCCGGCGGCGGCCTTGGTCGCCTTGGTTCCCATCTTGTTGCCGCTCGGGTAGCTCTGAAGCCCGTCGTTGTCGAGCAGGAGGCGGTCGTTGAGGCCAAACTTGCACTCGGGAGTGCCGGAGAGGTATGCGCGCATGACGATCTGGCCGGTGACGTCGGCGCGCAGGACGGCGCCGGTGGCCGACATGAGGAGGTTGACATCCTCGATGACGTCGACAAAGGCTTCGTTCTTGCGGTATCGCACGTCGGCCTTGCGCCAGGACAGAGCACCGGTAGCCTGCATCGTGATTTTGGACGTGTCTTCGGGGCGCGTCTCGGACTTGACGCCCTCGGTGGTAATGTACATCTTGAGCGTGTCGGTCTCGGTGTTTTGGGGATATCCGAAGTCGATGATTTCTGCGCCGCCAGGCCATCAGCATTCGCACATCCCGTCGGGTCACGCGGAGTTGATGGGCTTACCGTCGAGCAGCTCGTAGACGAGGACAAAGTTGTTCTTGACAGCCTCCTCGTCAAACTTGCCAAAGTAGCCCTTGCCGAGCTGGATCAGGCGGTAGAGGAACTCAAAGACCAGGGCGGCATTCGCGTTGCTCTTGGTGATGGCGACGAGGTAAATGTTTTCGTGCTTGACATGGCTGAAGGTGGTGCTGCCCAGCGTCAGGATGGGCGAGCGGACCTGGGCGTTGGAGATGACCTGGATGCGGAAGACATCGGCGAGGCGCGGGCGGCAGTCGTTCCGGAAGGCGCGGAAGATGAGGTTCTCGCCCTTTTGATTGAAGATGAGGACGCCCGAAATCATGGCTGCGGTGATGGTGCTCGCGGGCGACGGCGGGCGAGAAAGGGGGCCACGGAGCGGACGGGTTGGTAGAGGTGGAGATGTGGTGAAGCTGCGCCGTGGACGTGCCTGGAGCTGGAGGGGCAACGCCTGGCGACACGGGGGTTCTGCCAGGAGCTGGAGCCAGGGCGGTGAGTTTGCTGGTCCCTGAGGTGGGCCGGTGCCGTGGCATCCACTGCGGCGTCGGCTACTTTTGGGCCCTGTATGTCAGAGCTTGGAGGCGACGAATGGCTGCCGCCTGCTACTGGTTGCATCTCCCATCACTGCGGCCGGCCTGGAGATGGATCTGCAGCAGCACGAGATGCATGCAATTCGGGAGCCCGACCGCAACGCTGGAAGCTCTCCAAGCCGGCATCGGGTTACACGAGCGTGGAGGCTCTTGGACATTCCAGAGACAGCAAGCCGACGACATTGATGCGAAGCACGTCCACCTTGTCCCTTGGCGCCAACGCGCACAATGCCGGCTCTGAGACGAGACAACCTGGAAGGCTGGAGTCGCCATCACCTGGGGTGGCGTGTTGTTCTAGTACACCAGCTGTACGTCCGTACCTACGGGGCGATGAAGGCGGCCCAGGGCAAGACATGGCACCGTGGTGGCCCTGGTAATTAGGTACGGCGCCTCCCGCAAAGTCACGTCAACGGCGCCAAGCGCCCACTAAGGTCGGTAGGTACCGGGGCTGATGAGATGGGCTACGCGTTTGCCCTTTGGCAGCCCTCGCGCTATTCTCATTCACCTTTCACCACGGGCTCACCAGTGACCTCAATCCATTCTCCGGCGGCCATGGCATCCTGGCCGACCGAGTTCCCGGCCTCATTCGTCAGGCCGTGGAAGGGCCTGCTCGAGTCCCGCCATGCGGAGCAACAGGGCGACTTCCCCAACCACCACGTCAACGACGTCGACTCACTCATCACCACCAGCCTGCCGCGATCACTGTACGTCGGCACCGGCTACTCCATCTTCACGCGCGCCATCCTCCCGGCCATCCTGACGGCCAAGCACTCGGTCCACTTCGTCACCTGCTACTGGGCCCCGTCGCCTTCCCTCGACGCCCTCCGCGACACGCTGCACCAGCTTGCGTCGTCTCGGGCCGCGGCGCAGTCGGCGGCGCCTCCGCTGCGCATCACCATTGGCTTCTCATCCCGGAGTCTCTTCCAGAAGCTGTTCCATACGTCCTCCCGTGACGGTTACACGTACCCTTCTTCGCGATGGACCGAACTCGGCCTGCCAGACGAGGCGACGCTGAGCACAGGCGGGATACAGATGACGGTCAAGAGCATCTTCTTTACCCCACTGAGTGTCATGCACCCCAAGTACATCTTGATCGACGGAGTCCGCGCCTTTGTCCCGAGCTGCAACGTCAGCTGGGAGAGGTGGTTTGAGGGGTGCATCGAGCTGGAGGGAGACGTCGTCTCGCGCCTGACAACGTTCCATGAGCGGGTTTGGGGAGCTCCCCGGGCAGATGCCGACGACGGCGCCCGGCAGATCACGCGCGGAGTCGACGATGATGAAGACGACGATGGGAGGCATTCCACGACCAGCAGCACGGCAATCGTCACACAGGACGGCTCGGCGACACAGTCCACAAAGCTCCAACCACAATCGCCCGTGCCGACCCTGTTTCTCCCGTCCTCGCACCACCGGAACCCGCGCTTCAGCTTCTTTCCCTTCCTCTCCCACTCCAACCCCCCGATGACACCACTCAATGCGGCGCTCCTCACCCTCTTTGCCAACGCGCGGCGCAAAATCACCATCCTGACCCCAAATGTCACCTCGTGGCCGGCCCTGGAGGCGCTCCTAGCGGCACTGGCACGCGGGGTAGACGTGCAGATTCGCACCAGCAAGGGTATGATGTTGATCGAGCAGCTCGTGACCGCTGGAACCACGACATCGTGGTGCCTCAGCAGCTTCATCAAGAGATACCAGCGCTTACACGCGCCCAAGGGGCCTTCGGACGTTGAGGCTCAGCCTGTGGCGCCGGGAAAGCTCGAGATCCTCTACTACAAGCCGCTGGCCAGTCGCAAGGGCTACGACGACGAGCCGGTCGTGAGCCACTTCAAGATGACCATGGTGGACGATGAGTACGTAGTCCTCGGGTCAGGCAACATGGACCGAGCCAGCTGGTGGACCAGCCAGGAGATTGGTGTCCTCTTCTACGCGCCATCCTTCGGCTTCGACCTGTGGAACGCTGTGTTGAGCAGGCGCTCAGAAGTCCTCTTCCGGAGCCAGTAATGCGACTTTCGCTTGGCTAGAGACGTTGGCGCCGCATGTGCCGACTGCTTTCGCATTTGATTGGCATGCATACGGACCATCCAAAGCCGAGCCAGGTACCGAGATTATCACAAGTGGCGTGTTGGGCCATCGCAAGAGGTAAGTTGGATACTGGGAAGGGATGGATCGACGTCCTGGCCTAGAGAGACGTAGAAATATACTAGAGTGATACCCGTTTCCCAAAGAGACTGCAGTCGCAAACGTTACATCAGAGGCACTGGGAGCACTCTTTGAGACGCTCCTGATGAACCCGGTGCAGATTGACGGGCTCCCGGGCTCGTCGCTGCCTACTCAAGTCCGCCTTTCGGCAGCCCGTCGCACGACGACGCCAAAGGAGCAACTTACTCATGACCAGGAGTCCAGGAGCTAGTTACCGCTGGCCAAGGCATCCAGAGTCCAGACTAAGCCGGCGACTTATGAGATGGGGTGCAGCGGCCCACTAAGCCATTCATGACAACGGCCCGAATCCGTGGAAATCTCCAGCAATCACATCTGGGGCCGACGATCCGAAGGGGAAAGGTTCAGGGACAGACAAGCTGCCAAGCGACGCCAAATCCTGGGCCACAGAGTCTCCCCAGGCTCCAGGGCCTCTGGGCGCGCTTCCGCGACTTGCAGTGCGTTCGCAGGAATGGGGCTTGTGCCTTTTGAAGCCTCAGCGTTGGGCGTTCTCCACAAGACTGAGTGCGTTCGTGCCGTCGCGCGGCGGAGACTGCACAAGTAAACGGCGAGTCCGGGGCAGGGGGGATTTTAGATGCGAGATCCATCTGCGAGACGACTCTGCCGGGGTGGCGCTTGCAACTATGCTGCTTGCCCCCACGAGTTGTCGATGGACATGATTGTCAGTCCGTGCTGCCGGCAGCAGCCGGATTGTCAACCCCGCGATCAGCCCCCCACCGACTTACACCAGACACGTTTACACTCAGGGGCTCGCCTTTAGCTCCCGGCCTCTAGCAAGTGCTTGTTCTGTGGGCAAAGGGGGCGAGCGACGTTGTCGATGTGTCGGTACACACGTCACTTGGCTGAACAGGACACCAGATCCGCGGGGAGGTGTCGCGCTGGGCCACATGGACAGGGACGCCCGCACGTGTGGTTCGCGTCAAGGTGGCATCAACGTGGGCGGCAGTGGGCTGATGGAACGTTCACCTGCCGTTCGTGCCTCGAGCAGCCCCTGCATGTGGCCGGGCGTCTGAAAGCTTGCAAATTTCCTTTCTGGGCAAGGTCAACAACCACCCCCCGATGGGCTTGCTATCGCTGCACGGATTTGGGGTTTCAGGATCTAGCGCGAGCAGTCGAGGGCGCATAGCTGGGCCAGCTGGGAAGCCGGCCGATCGGAGGGAAGCACCAAAGCAGCTAGCCGGCGAACGACTTCATCGCGGCCGCCTGGATTTATCCGGTGTAAGATGGGCTAGGAGCGACGCGTCGGCGTCAAGTGGTCCGGAGGCGCGTAGAGTGCTCCGGTCACCTCCCTCATTCATACAGGCTTGGGATTCAAAGGTATCATCTGAAGGAATAATGCCACCTCATCGGGAGACATGGGTTGTTGTTCGGGCAGGGTGCAAAGAGCGAATTGGGCCGCCTAGTCTGTCCGGCGATACCGACAGGTAAGTTGCGGGTTGCCGAAGACTGAATCGATCCGTGGCGGCTTCACGACCAGACTCAGGGGAAACAAGTATATAAAGGGGAGAGGTCTTCTCGGGCTGTAAGAAAGCTCTTTCCACACAGCAGCTCACGATTCAGCAATCCCTTTCACTTCTTTTTTGAGTATATACCTTATTCTACATACATTCCTTCACAGTTATTCACTCCCTCAACTATCAAGATGCTTGGAAACATTGCCCTCGCAGCCGTGACCCTGGCGGCCACTGCCACGGCTCTGCCCACGCATCAACTCACCTCTCGGGCCGTGGCGGATCGCTACGTGTTCTACCGCGGCGACGGCTCTACCGGCGCCGGATGGCCCGCGCAGTCCGCCTGGGGCAGCTTCGACGAGCTCTGGGGGGCCAACGAGCCCCTGATGCGCCAGTCGTGCGGCTGGAACGGCTGGGGCGCGGACAACTCGGCGACGGAGATTAGCAACATCAAGAGCGCGATCCAGCAGGTGTCTGGGTCGACGGGCGTGGACTCGCGCTTCATCCTCGCCGTCATGATGCAGGAGAGCAAGGGCTGCGTGCGCGCGCCGACGACCAACAACGGCGTGCGCAACCCGGGCCTCATGCAGTCGCACAACGGGCAGGGCACCTGCGCGGGCGTGAACCCGTGCCCGGCGTCGCAGATCACGCAGATGATCAAGGACGGCGTGGCGGGCACATCGTCGGGCGACGGGCTGCAGCAGACGCTGGCGCAGGCCCGCGGCGCGACCGGCGACAGCGGCAGCCGCTCCTTTTACGCGGGCGCGCGCATTTACAACAGCGGTTCCGCCGACTACAGCAACCTCAACAACGGGCTCGGCAGCACGGCCTGCTATGCCACGGACGTGGCGAACCGCCTGACCGGGTGGACGCTTGCCGCCAGCAACTGCCAGGCATGAGCGTCTGGTCTGGTCTCGGGGCCGGCATGAGGTGGCGCTCCGCCCCACGCGCGATGCGAGAATTCTCGACTGCATATTGGGAACAGTGCTTCCAATGTTGCTGGATACATGGCCCATCGCGGGTATATTTTGCTGTGCTGTTTATTCCTGTACTGTTTGCTCCTGTATATACTTGATGTGCGTCGGGTCGCCTCCATGTATATATCTGCTAGGCTCGTCATGAACATAACCTCGTAACGCTTTGCGCCTTTTGCTGCCAATGGCCCACACAGGCACGGTTCAAATTGACGCAACTAACCCTCGAGCGCCTTGACCTTTTCGAAAACCTGGACAAAGGCCTCCGCGGGCTGGCCGCCGTTGATCTGGAAGCGGTCCTGGATCTTGTAGTCGGGGACGCCAGAGACGCCCTCGAGGCGCGCCCTCATGACGGCCTCGTCGACGGCAGCGCCGCCCTCGTCGCCGTCCACAATGGCCTTTTGGAACTCGGCCTCGGGGATGCCGGCGGCGGTGGCCACGCCCTTGAGGGTGTCGTACTGGGTGATGTCGGCCTCGTTCTCAAAGTAGGCGGCGAAGAGGCCGTCGACGACGCGCAGCTCGGCGTCGTTGCCGTAGCGCTTGGCCAGGTGGACGAGGCGGTGCGAGTCGCGCGTGTTGCCGGTGCTGCCGCCGTACTTGAAGTCGATGCCGACGTCGCGGCCGACGGCGGACAGGCGCTGCTGCATCATCTGGGTGCGCTCGGGGCCGAACTTGTCGTGGTAGAACTGGCGCTTGTCGTGGCTGGACGCGGGGCCCTTGGGCTGGGCCGGGTTCAGCTGGAAGGGGTGGTAGGTGACGGCGAAGGTGTCGGCCGGGTGGCGCTGCGCCCACATCTGCTGCGCGCGCTGGAGCTGCTTGCGCCCGACGTAGCACCACGGGCAGACGGTGTCGGAGGTGACGGCGATGCGGAAGTGCGTCATTGTGCCGTGGGGGGTTCCAAGTGTCGGTTGTGAACTTGTCGTGGTGCTGTAGGGGACCGGTGGTAAGGAGGGGGAACAAGAGGGGGATGCTTGTGTGAAACCAGAGTTGGTCGCGCGAGGGCCGACGACTGCCTGGAGTCTTCTGCGGTCTTCTCTGATGAGGGGCGCGGTGTTGGTCGCACGGATGCGCATTGCTAGAATGCTGCTTGCATTATTAATTCACCGGCGTCTCCCACGCGCCGGAGTCCGGCAGGCGCTGTCGGCAGGCGAAAAAAGGGTGGAGCCCCGGCGACCCGGAGGACTCTGGCCGAGACCGAACGCCGAGCGGTCCATCATTGGCGAAGGACCGGCCACTGGGCCCTGCGCCGCGGGAGAGTCAGACGCCTATCTGACGTGCGGCCCGGCCCAGTCGCACCTTGCCTGAAAAAGCTGCGCGTCAGCCTTCGAAATCGCAACGCGGCAGTCTACTGCATGCAGTACAAATTCCAGTCTCTTTTCTCGCATGCTTCGTCCTTCATATAGGTGACAGAAAGCGCTGTTGTGGCCACCGGATCGGGTGGCAGGTGCCGCCGCTTTTGGTGGCCTCGACAGCGAGGGGCCCTCCAGAGGAGAGTGGCCCCCAAGAGTACACACGTAGAGTGTGCCCAGCTGCTGTCACGCTGCGTGGCTGGTACCGTAGCTGCGGCACAACCTGGCGCAGGGGACAGCCCACATTGCAAGCCCATCCCGCTCTATTGTCCGACCCAACGCTCGGTGCTCGCCCGTTTCCTTCATCGTCCCTCTCGCAACAGGGAAGCTCGTCAGCCGAGGCGCACTGTATGGGGGTGTGTGAGAGCCCGCGAGGGGGGCGCCGCTCCTACGCCCCGCCGCGACTGCCTTTGCCGTACCCTGTCCCTTGGCTGCCTCTCATCCAGTGGCTGCAACACTCCTATTTGCGTGTTGTTTTTTCTGGCTCGTTTTGTCATCATTTGCGGCTGCTGGGCTGCAGCACGGCGACCAAGCTCCGCACGCATAGTATGTGACCCGCAGCAGGCACTTGGGGGTGCGGCGGCCCCCTATTACAGGTGCGGGGGAACAGTCACGGGCTGGGCCTGCGGCCCACTAACGTCGGGTTACTTCCAGTGGAGGTTTCTACCAAGCCCTGACAGGGCAGCAGCGGGGAGCGGAATCCCTGCTCAACAATCGCATTCATACATTCCACTCTTCGCTCACGCTCTGGCTTCAGAACAACTACCAGCCTCAGCCGAGTCCCCTCCCTGGGGACAAGATGGGCGCCATTGACAGTCTGCTTCGCAAAGCCGACGAAGATGGAGTCAGAGTCTTTGGTGTCACCCCGACCACCCTCCCCGGACGGGGAATCGGGATGGTGGCTACTCGCGACCTGGAAGTACGTTGAGCCATCTCCCCCACGACTTCACGTCTGACGACCCGCCAGAAAGGGGATGTTATCGTGACTATACCTGCACAGGCTATTCGCAGCCTACACACAGTCCCGGAGGATGTTTCTCGCAGACTCTCGCGAGACATGTCCATTCATGGCCTTCTGGCTGCTGAGCTTGCATTGCGCCGCGGTGATGCGGCGGATTGGGCCGGTATTGTGCCACAATGGACTGATTTTGAAGCCACGGTGCCGATGCTGTGGCCCGTTGAGCTCCAGAGCATACTCCCTGCGGAAGCCAAGAGCCTTTTGGCCAAACAGTGCAGCCGATTCGAAACCGATTGGAAGATGTTCAGCGACGGCTTTCCGGACGAACTGCGGCGAGATTACTTGTATGCATGGCTTCTCGTCAACACAAGGACATTCTATTTCGAGACGCCGGCTATGGTCGCATTCCCGTGGCACGACCGGTTAGCATTGCTTCCGATCGCCGACCTATTCAATCACGCGGACACGGGCTGTTCTGTTTCGTTCTCGACAGAGGGTTACGACATTACTGCAGACCGTTCGTATTGCGCAGGCGATGAACTGCTCACGTCATACGGCGAGCATTCCAACGATTTCTTACTTGCCGAGTACGGATTCGTCTTGAGAGACAATCAACACGACAAACTGTGCCTCGATGAAGTTATTCTCCCGCGGCTGAGCCGAGGCCAGGAATCGGAATTGAAGGAACATGGCTACTTGGGGGACTTCATGCTTCACAATGGGTCCAAGAGGAGCGACAACATTTGGGTTGCGCTGCGGCTGCTGTCCTGTGTCAATGCTGACTGGCAGAGCTTCATAGACGGTGAGGAGGATGAAGAAGGTACGCTCGAAAAAGCGACTGGGCAGCTACCAGATTTGCTCGAGGAATACTTGTGCAAAATCGAGGAGAAACTGGGTTTGGTTCGTGTGTTGCAGGTTGGCAAGGCATGCCAGAGAGACCTGCTTGTCCAGCGATGGGAACAGATTCAGGCCTTCATTAGGCGGTGGCTGGAAGACCAATCTTCTGGCGAATGAATGGCAATACCCACAGTGGCGCAGGTGGCCAGCGAATGCTGCATTTCAAATGGGGGATGAACGACATAATCAACTATCGATTGTTTGCAAAGCATCCACAGCAGCATCATCCAGCCATCTGCGCTGATATCGCGCTTCGCAAGGAAGGACCACCGAGTCAACAAGCGCCCAATGCTTCACCTCCCTGCTTGCTCTACAGCTCGCTTAGGTAGCGGTCAGTAATACCAACGGAATCAGCTTCATTCGGTTCAATCTAACGGCCTTGCCTCCGGATAGCCACTCGAGGCTTCTCAGCTTGGTAGACACGTACGAATCCGGCCGACACGGCCCATCACGCAGACACGACCATGGCCAAACGGAAGCCGATATTACAAGATCTGGAGAGTGCTCTGGGATATCGAGTTGAACCAGCTGCCAGCGTCGGTCATCGTGTCTATTCTGATCTCACCCCGGTTCCTGATGGCATGTACGAGCGAACATGAACTGAAATGGAATATCGCGAAATGCGACGATTATTAAAAGACACGATATCGCGAAAACTCATCCGCAACGCCGCCCATGGAGGATGGGGAGTCACAGGCAATGTCAAACGCAGACGACACAGTTACAGTCACTCGATCCAGCCTCGCCGGGTTTTACAAGTTCTTCGTTGATATGCAGTATGGGCTTGGTCTTCATATGCCATTCCTACTTACGAAAGCGGAAGCAAACGTTCTTCGAACTGCGAAAAAGCTATGCCAGACCTCAAACATTCGCGCAACCCAGGCCAAATGCATCGCGCAATAACCGCATCCCGAACTAATACGATATGATAGCCTCTTTTTGGGTCTGCCCCCGGAAATACGCGAGAAGATTTTGCGTTTAAAGGGTCTGCCTAGCGCACTGAGGAACGACGATACGATGTTTGCCAAGCAATTGGTGACATCGACGGCTTCTTATTCCCTCTAGGTGACGACGACACGCTCCTGTGGGTCAACAAACAGATTCGCCACGAAGCACTACCGTTGCATTCCATCTGCTCCATATAGACGATGTGACGCGACTCCTCGTCACAGTCGGACGCGTAGGGCGGCAAAACATCGAGGCACTGGAGTTCGCATGGGAGAGTGCAATGGATCACGACCTCAACTAGCGCAGGCACCTAGAGTGCGAGACCAGTCACCTCATACTCCCAGCGCGGCATGTACCCGCCTGTGTCCAACTCCTCAAGCAGTGCGGGAGGCTGAGGTCGCTGCGCCTCAAATTTGAAAGTTATGTGATGGAAAATGTTCCTGGGGCGACATTTTTGTCTGACCCGGGCCTTTCATCGCTTCGTTCGATCCGAGTCGAGCGAGTCGAGATTATCGAATCCCGACGGCGAGCCAGTGAACGAACATAGCATCGCTCGATGGCTGAAGAGCGAAATGACGAGGTAAACTCTACACAACCGAAGACGCAGCTGAGGGGTGTTTCCCCGCTGCATCTGCTGGTATGAGTTTATATGAGCATCCAAAGATTCGGTCGTCAATTCGAGGGTGTCATGTCCGCTTCGCCTGCAAATGGAGGTCGTCACCCAACAAGGTGAGGGTGTGTATCCTAGATGTCGAGAGCTCCTCGTCACCATCGACGTGCTGATAGGGTGTGCAGAGCTTTGTGGACTGTTCGTTCGGCTCGTTGCGCTCGTTCGTCTCGCCCGCGTCTTGGTCCATATCGGGGTTCGGTTCGCTATGGACAAGGTCGTTGAGGCTCAGAGTCTTCGATGTTGCGGCAGTCGCCGCATCCGACAGTTTCGCTGTTTTAGGTCGCTTGCGAGGATCTCGGGCGCACACCTCACATCGCTTCAGGAGGAAAATAACATCTGCGCGCAAGATACCGTAGTAGCTGCTGCTGATGCCCTTCCATGTTGCATCCCAGCCGCCGTGGCCGTTGCTCATGTGTACCGCTCCTACCACATCCATTATCTTATCCTCCGTAACCACTCTCCGTATACTACCCTGTTCCCCCTTGGGTAGCGACATCAAGGCTTGTTTTCCGGTGTCCCACGTAAATGACTTTCTGACATAATGGCGGCGGCTAGACTCCCGCTGCGAGACAGGATATGTTGTGGTGTCGACTAGCCATTTGATCAGGTTGATCTGATCGGCTTCCGACACCCGGCGAGCATTAGGATTGCCTCGTAAGTGCTCGACGAACTCTTTTCGCGCACCGGGAGAAAACAGATAATCATGGTCCATGGCGCCTCACGAACGGGGAGAATCGCGATTCCAAGCCCCACTCCGCGCGACTCCAGGCGTACGTTTACCGCTCGACTGGAGGCGTACGCCCCCAGTCGATGGCGCCCCACTCCCGTCGCCTACGTACCTGAGTGGGTATAATACGAAGTTCAGGAACAGAGAGTCTAGAGGCTCCCCTCTCAAGTAATCAGTCCCACAAACTGTCACCGAATGCCATAATGGCAGCTACTGTGCGGCCGATTGCAGGCGCTCCATCTGAGCTGGGGCTCCTATGGCAAGCAGCCATCGATACGTATACTGACATCACGGAGAACAGGCATTTTTTGACGGCGAAACATGCGGCGAGTATTGGCCAGGTTCTAGCTGAGGTTGAGGGGATGGAGAGATCTTTTCAAGGACAGCGGCACGACGGCTCGAAATTGGCACGCTTCCGGAGTCTTATCAATGCGAGCCTGACGCCAATTCAAGCGTTGGGTGAGGTCGTGGCTCACGCGAGTAAAGCTGTATGAGGAGCTATCGAGCCAATCTCACGGGATTGCACTAACTAAGATCAGGCCTTCCCCCCAAGCGAGGCTATATTCGCTGCCGTCCGATGTTTGATTCAGGTACTTAATTAGCGTCTGCACCGTGTACTACACTAAATCGCTCCAGGTCGCAAGGAACGTGTCCAGCGACTACGACAGGCTCGTGGATTTCTTCCAAGATGTGGAATCATACCTCAAAGGGATAGAGATTTGGGAAACCCAAGTGCCGTCAATACCACAGCTGAGCGCTGCAATAGTAGCAGTGTTCAGCTCCGTCCTTGTGCTTTGTGGAATGTATACGAGGTATATCCGCAAGAAGCGCGTTGGTAGGTACCCAGCCATCATGCTGTGAGAGCGAAGAATCACTTGCCTTTTCGCTATATGTGCCTGAGCTTTGATTGGCGAGGGCAGCGCAGAGCCACACAGCTAATCGCCATCCAGTCAAGGCCTTCCGGAGCCTACTGTCTGGCGAGGACATTGAGCTCAAAGGTGCTTACCAGGCCTTCCAGAAAGCCGTCCAGGGCGGACGAGACATTGTGCAAAATGCAACGCTCTCCGCTGCTGAAAAGACGAAATTCAACCTGCAAGCAGTCCACGTCGACGTACGGAAGACCTTGTCTGAGGTGGAGCGCTTAGTAGAGAACATGAGCTCCGTCGCTATTAGCACAACACAGCCTTTGAACGGTCAGCGGCAGTTCCCGTCCATGAGTATGGCCGTATCTGACGACTAGTGTCTCAGCCCAGGAGCGAGACGATACTCTCAGGTGGCTCTCCAACCTTGACTTCCAACAGTATCAAAGAGAGACCGTCGCGAAACACCACAGAGGTACTGTTCAATGGCTATTGAACACAGGCGCATTTCAAGACTGGGTGCATGGTACACAGCACTCGACCCTGTGGTGCCCCGGGAATCGTATGTGTGCCGCTCAATCCTTGTGTGCCGCCCGCTAAGGACTACTTGTGTAGCTGGTACTGGGAAGACTGTGATGATGTAAGATGCGACCGGGACGTTCTTGTTCATGACGGCACAGCTAAAAGAAGTATAGGTCGGCGGCAATCTGCTATGTTGAAGCCAAGACACAAGGCTCAAATGCATCAATAGCTCACGTGTACTGCAACTACAAAGACCGTAGAACACACGACATCTTGACCATTTGGTCCAGCATCATACGACAATTTGCGGAGCAGTGCGATCCTTTTCCTGCCGAAGTGCAAGCCTTTCGCAATGAGTTTATACGAAAGAGATCGGACCCTGTCGAGGATGATCTTCTCTCGCTTCTTTGTGACCTATCGAAACGGTTCAGCAAAGCCTTTGTGTTCATTGATGCTTTGGTACGCCGGAAACATCGAATCACTGGATCTGTCATACTGACTAACATAATCGTCTAATACATAGGATGAATGTCCGGAGGAAAACCGCAACGCCTTCATCCTTTCTGCTGCAAAGGTTGAATCTCGTATTCGGTTGTTCATCACTTCTCGGCCTAGTGTGGAACTCGACGGGACCTTCTCGAACCTGAGACGCGTGGAGGTCGCAGCCCAAACAGCAGACATTCGCTCGTATCTAGAGCACAGACTGAGTACGAATGCGAATATTCGCGCGCTTTCGGTTCAGGATCCGAAGCTAAAAAGCGTGATACTCCAAAGGCTCCTGGAGCAGGCGAACGGAATGGAGGCACAACATAAAGACCGACGACGAGATGTATGGACTGCAGAACTAATTCGGCGACCCAGGTTTCTCCTGGCCCATCTTCAGATTGAGAATATCTGCCACAAACGACGACTTCTGGACGTTCGCAAAGCCCTCGATACCCTCGCCAAAGACGTGCATCAGTTTTATGATGACTCTTTGAGAAGGATAGAGGAATTGGAGGAGTATGACAAGGACTTTGCATTGCGCGTACTGTCCTTCGTTTTCTACGCTCGAAGACCACTATCGAGAGATGAGCTCATTCATGCCTTAAGCGTCGAGCCTGGGGCGACTGACCTGGATAGTGATGCCCTGTACCCGAAGGTCCTCCTCTTCTCCGCGTCTTCCGGCCTCATTCGCGTTGATGACAAAAGCAGTAGCGTGCACCTCGCTCATCATACACTGTACGAGCATCTTGACAGGTTCTGCCAGAGGCAGCTGATGGATCGCGAAGGAGAGCTTGCTACGGCTTGCCTCACCTACCTCTTGTTTGAACCATTCAGAGCCGGCCCCTGTGATACGGTGGCAGACATGGTTGGACGCTTAAGTCACTATTCTCTCCTCGAGTACGCCTGCCAGTACTGGCCGTCTCATTCGACCAAGTTCATGGACGGCGAGGTGAAGACATTAGCTCTTTCCCTCCTAAGCGAGAAGAGCAGGGTGGCTACATGCGCGCAACTATTGCATCTTCCACGTCATCGGGTTGGTGACTGGCATAAGAAGTACCCCTGCGACTTCACTTGCCTTCACGCTGCGGCCTATTGGGGCTTGGACAGAGCAGTGGTACTATCATTGAAAACAGGTGTGGACGTTGACTGTCAAGATAGCAACGGCGCAACACCGTTGCTTTTGGCTGCCGAGTACGGCCATACTGAGACAGCAACGCTGCTACTCGATGCAACTTCTGACGTGGATTTTTGCAACAATCTGGGCGAGACAGCATTGACATTGGCGGCAAGATATGGCCATGAAGCGATCGTACGATTGCTGCTGGAACGAGGGGCAAATTCCCTGGCTGAAGATGTTGAGGGTTGGACAGCGCTTCATTGGGCGATTATGAGACGCCACGACAACATCTCCAAGATACTCCTGAGCAGAATTGCTTCCAACCAGTCAGACAAGGTGCAACACAACAAGGCACTGGTTCTGGCGGCAGAAGCTGGCAATCCCGCAACAATACAAATGCTCTTGGACGAGGGAGCGGAAGTCGACTACACCGACGATCAAGACAGTACGCCACTGCACTGGGCTGTACCCTTGGGTCACATAGAGGCAGCTCGCGTCCTCCTAAGCCGAGGCGCAAACCCAGGCTCAAGGGACCGCTACGATCACACCCCAATGCATTGGGCTGTGCCCTACCACGCCATTGCGCGGTTGCTCGCAAACTACGGCGCTGACGTGCGAGCTACCAATCGGACGGGGCAAAGCGCTCTCCTTTGGGCCGCGCTTGCCGGAATGACCGAAACAGTGGAAACGCTGATACAGCTGGGGGCCGAAATCGATGGATGCGATCGTTACAACTTTACAGCGTTACACGCAGCAGCCCTGCAAGGACACATTGCCATTGTGCGTATCCTCTTGCGTGAGGGAGCAAGTGCCGATAAGCGCGACATGGATGGTTGGACAGCGCTGGACGCGGCGGTGTTGACGGGGAGAAGTGACGTGATTGACCTGCTTATCAGCCCTACAGACAACGGGCGTGACATTGCTACTCAAGCTGCGAATCGGCTGAACGACGTCGACATGCGGTCGCTGATGGAGGAAATGGCAGCTAGAAAATCGGTCGGGAGCACTGTTGTTAGTGGACTTCGTTCGGCCATCAACAGCGAACACGACCTGCGACTGCGGGAACTACTCGCCAGTGTCGCTCAAGCTGATATCGACGCCGAGGACGAACTGTGTGGTTCTACGGCTCTTACTTATGCAGCTTGGTTCGGCAAGGAGGAGATTGTTCGCTTGCTTCTGGATCACGGGGCAGATGTCGACCTACGCGAACGGAGCGGCCGCACCGCGCTCCACTGGGCAGCCTGGAGCGGGTACCCGGATATGGTGGTGGATCTGGTTGAGAGGGGCGCAACGATCGATATAAGGGTGTTTGGATGGACGGCAATGCTCCTCGCAGCAAGAACGTGGCAGCATCGAATTGTTCTCTACCTGGTTGAGCATGGAGCAAATGTCAGCGCCAAAGACTTTCATGGACGTACCGCGTTACACTGGAGCTGCATACATGGCGACATCTACCTTGCTGAGGAACTCATCCGCCTGGGTGCCATTGTCGACGATCGAGACCACTGTGGACAAACGGCGCTACAGTGGGCCGTGGCCGGCAGGCATTATTCCATCGCAAGTATGCTACTGCGCCGCAACGCAAAGGCCAGGTTGCAGGCGTCCGACGGATCCTCGGCACTCCATCTCGCAGCCTATACCGGCCAACCGGATGTCGCAACTCTCTTGCTAAATTGGGAACAAAGGCAAGAAGGTCGACGGGCGGGATGGGAGAATACATGTGTTGCGTGCGTGGACAGTCACAGCTTCACTGCTCTCGACATGGCGAAGCTCACAGGCAATCTGCATGTGGCGGAAATCCTCTCACGGCAGTACACGAATGGCCACACCCACAACGACTCTCACAGCCTTATCACCAACGGGCAATGGGCGGGTGGTTCACGAACTCAGGGTCAACTCAGAGCACCACCATTAGATATCGCAAAAGAGGAAGAAGACGACTACGTCAGCGCCGATAACTTCGCTGACGGCCTAGGAAGAAGACTCATCGGCCGTCAGGCACGCCAGTGGCTGCGAGAGAGACAAATGAGCGCCAGCCTCTCTTCGCCATCCACTGGATCTGCCTTTGGTATCTCGAACGTCCCTGGTCCTGTTCAACATACAGATTCGGGAAGCAGACCGTCCAGCTGACGTGGGTCCCTGCAACCCACGGTCGTTTGTTAAGCAACTCGTCGGCTTCCCCACAGAGATGAATGCTGGGCCACACGTCTCCCTTGCAAACGCTGAGCTTCTTCCAGGTGTATCTAGATGTCCTAGCTGAGCGCTCCCGTCTGACTTTTCGAATATTATTCTGGCCGCCGCGGTTTGAGGCATTTCAGGGTTTGAGCGCATACATCCTCACTGGGAGAAGCCTCCTTGGCGGGATTTCGGGGAATCCGCGCTGGATCTCCGTCTTCACCAGTTTCAGCCCTGCCGTTTCAAAGAGATGCCGAAACGTCTCATCTCGTCTGCTGAGCCGTTAGCGGGAACAGAGCACACGATGAGCTTGAGCCTCCTGATCGCGGCCGATGTAAGCGTGTGTACTGACCTTGTTACACTGCTATCCTCATTGTCGAACATATCGACGCTGCCGGTACTAAGGTTCTCTTTGATGACGATTACGCCCGTGTCTGGCTTGAGCACGGTCTTGCAAAGTTGAAGGTAGTCTACCAGTTGGCTGTCTGTGAGATGGCCTAGACACCACTGTGTCCAGATCAGGTCGTACTCGATCCCTTCTGGGGGCTGCCAGTCCTCTAGCCCGACATTGAATATTGTCCGCACTCCTGTCGTTGCCTTTAGGCGATCGGTAAACTTGGATACGGGCTCAACGATGTCGACATTCTCGGCTATGCGGAGCAACAAGCCCTCCGTGACTCTGCCGATACTGCGTCGTGTGTACATCTCCATAGTTAGCGGGAGCTGGTTCCATTACCCGCTGGGGATGTCGTGCAGCTTTCATATCCCCGAGATCAGTGATACGCACCCTGCACCGCCGTCGACGGCGTTGATGACAGGCTTCCGGCCACACTTCACACCAATGCCGAGCCTTGCTAAGAACGTGCGAGACCCTTGAAGATCAATTCTGGAAACTGAACTGAATCCTCCAATGGCCGGAACGCCTCCAAGCATTCCATTGATATCAGCATTGGCTTGTTCCCAGTAATTCCTGCCGCCATCAGGGTTCCTCAGATTGCCTCGCCCAGGTTGGTCGGCACGGGAATCCCCAGTACTCTGCTGACAATGCATGGGCAATGACTGGAGTGGCGTGGACAATCTGTGTGAAAGTGAGGGCCGCGGAGGAAAGCGGTGTCCAATGCCTTGAGGAACATCAGTTCCGAAAGGTCTTTCTGGGGGGCTGATTTTGGTGCAGGCAAATACGACTTCCTATTGGTTGCTTTCTAACAGCCCCTGCCGCAGCCAATCAGATTTTATGTTTTAGAGCTCGATGCCTATTGGCTACAGTTAAAACTGCTGCCAATGCCAAAGCATGTAGTGCCAGTGCTAAAGCCGCCCGGCGGGCCAGGAGTTTGACCTGCCCAAGAAGATTTTGGCTGGCGAGGTGGATGGCGCGTAGCAATACCTGCTCGACAACAAAAATGGCCTAATGTCGCGGCGGGGACGCTGTAAGTGGCTCTGACAGGGCCATGTTAAGAAGCATACATTAACATTCAGAGCCCCAGGATCCGCGCAGTCGGCAAGGACAAGCAGCCGCTTGACCTCACCGGACAAGATCACAAGAATATGTGTTGGAGTCGATGCAGAAGTCCGGACAAGTCATTGCGAGTAACAAGGACCTCTCCAAGTACGGCTTCGTCGACATTGAAGGGCTCAAGCCGCAGCCGTACGGGACGGCCTATGCCTAGACAAGCGAACTACTAGACGATATGATGCACAATATATGGCGTTGATTTATGTATTTATCTTGTGGCTTGCGACGCAGCCCCTGGTCCCAGCCTACAGGCACATTCCAAGGCAATCCGCACCGCCCTTCTTCGGGTCGCACCCGTCCTTGGGGATATCGTAGCAGGACAACCCGGCCGGGCACAAGAAGCCCGCAAATCCGCCGCACGAGACGGGCTTGTCGGGCACGCAGATGCCGGGCTTGTCACAGGCCATACCGCAACCGCCTGGCTCGCGCGGGTCGTCGATGCAGTGTGTTCCCGGGGCGCAGGGGCGCGGAGTGACGGTCCTGCCGCCGCAAGAAGGGTATTTGTTGCGTCGGACGCAGGTGCCGCGGCAGCGATCGAGGTCGGTGCACGAAGGTGAGTCGGGGCGGCAGTAGTAGTCTTCCGGGCAGGGAGCGATCTTGAGGCCGCAGGGACGGCCTTCCTCGCGGGCGAGTGCCAGGCCGGCGAAGGCGGCGAAGACGATGTGGCGGAGAAGCATGGTAGGCCGGCGTCTCCTTTTGTGTTTTTCTGTCTGTGTGTACTTGCGAACGAGAAGATGAAGGTGCCTTTTCCTGCAATGTGACTTGGCTTGAGTTGCGTGTGGTAGACAATGTTGACTCAGATGAGGACGAGACACGGCGCATATTTATACACGTTAGTGTCTGCGCTGGGTTCTGCCTCGACAAACTAAAAATAAGAAAAAAATTCCAACACCTCACGAACGCGGCGGGCGTTGCCAAGGCCAGTTTGTTTGCCTGATGGACCTGCCGCCGCACACGTGGACTAGACTTTGGGCAACGGTCCCGTGAGACGGACGAATATTCTCGACGCGCGTATGCGGCCCAGCTGTCCCGCTGTGGATGCCAGCGGCGGGCGGCGGGCGGCGGCACATATGCACTTACGTGGGCGAAAGTGACGAGAAGGACTTTTGTTTTAGAACAAACATGGACCTCGTGTTCCGCGTCCATTTTGGATGTCTCGCAACCGGGGCGCCACCGATGTAAGCTTATTCGAAAGCCGTCCCGTTAAGGTTTTTGCTTTGTTGGCGGGAGCCCGGGAGTTGCATGCACGGCCCGTCGATCATTCGAATCAGCCTCATGGGCAGCGGCATTACTGGACCGTGCGAAGTGGCTTCATTGGACGAGGGTCCGATACGAGGTTGGGATGTGCGCATTGAGTGACAGCCGCTCGGCTTGTCGGCTTGAGGGCGGCCGGGTTGCGATGGCACCTGGGGCGCATACTGGACTGTACTGCACTGTGCATGTGATGTATATTGGAGGTTCCTTGCATTACGCAACATCGCGTAGAATGCCTTGCCGTGGTGCAGCGCGGGTCGTACGACGTCTGCGTGGTGTGGGCTCTGTCGCATGCAGGCCGTTCAGCTTTTGACATCGTGGAACTGCCGAGCTGACGGCAGGACAGGGATCGTTTTTGCGCATGGACCAGTCGAGGCCTAGCCATGACCGGGTTGAGGAGAGGATGGACGAACTGGCGATTGCCATTAGGTTACAGTATTCGTTGCGGGTGACTATGTAGGCTCACCTGCAGCGGCCTGTCACTCGATCACTCGGGACAAGTAAAATGTACGGAGCATTGCGTTGTGCACATGGTTGGCTGGTCGGTCGGTCGGTCGGTCGGTGTGTTTGTGTTCTCCCAGTCCTTCACCGACGCTGACCGAGGTCTACAGCCACTCGGTTAGAGTACCCGGTGAGACCCCAGCGTTCCACGGACCCAGGTGCATCGAAGCAGGGGCGATGGAAAACGGGCTGATGCCGTTTTGTCTCCGGCAGAAACCTGGAAAAGCTTCCTGTGAAATGGTTCAGAGTTCAGACAAGGAGCTCACCCGGAGCTGTATGGGCCGGCCGGCCGGCCGGCGCTCCACCCATATTTCCGGAGATTCAACGTGGTAGAGGGGCCATCGTCAGCCGTGTCAAGACGACTACTTATGGAGGAAAGTATAGCGTTCAAATAACGAAAGACAACACGTCGCTGTCTAATAGCCGCGGGCCGTGGATGCCTGCCTTGAAGGATGCATGGTATTAATTAATCACTGCGGACGACGCCAGACTCGGCCGGCCCGGCGCCGTGCTCCGCGGGACCTTCCCGAAGAGGACATCCAGCCACCCCGGGGCCCCGCTCGGTGTGGAGAGCGGAACAGCTATCCATCGCGGGGGAGGCAGCGCAATGCATGAGAGTCTGACGTGGAATCTGACACTCAACTTTCCCGTTCCTGAAGACTCAATTGCCTGCTGTCCGGCCCCAGTCCGCCAATTGATCGTTACAGTTTACCACCAGTCCGCCACCATGACGAGACGCGTGGTCCCCGACTTCCCAGAGCGCACCAGGCGGGCGGACGAGCTACCCGCTCGCATCTTCTCGACCGGCCTTGGTATCGCGGTCCGCACCGGGAAGCGAGACGGCGATGAAGACGGCGACGACGTCTCCGCGTCCAAAAAGGTCTTCTACACCATCGTCACCGCCGACCTCCTCATCCCTGGCGACGGCGACCCGCTGCCGCATGCCGCCCTCGTGGCCCGCGACAAGCTCATCGTCTGGGTCGGCAAGCAGAGCGACCTGCCGAGCGAGTACACGCAGCAGCCGCACAAGACGCACGCGGTGCCGTACCTGATGCCCGGCCTGTGGGACTGCCACGTGCACTTTGGCGGCGAGAACGAACAGACCGCCATCGAAGAAGGCACTACGGGCATCGGCTTCATCGCCGACAACCCGGCCACGGCGGGCGCGCGCCTTGCTCGCGGCTGCTGGGAGGCCCTCCAGCGCGGCTACACGTCGCTGCGGGACGTGGCCGGCTTCGGCTGCGAGGTGGCCAAGGCCATCGAGGACGGCACCATTGTCGGCCCCAATGTCTATAGCGCCGGCGCCTGCCTCAGCCAGCTCGCTGGCCACGGCGACATCTTTGCCCTGCCCGCCGGCGACGCCCTACTCAACCTCGGCGTCACCAACATCACGGCGGGGCACTTCGGCTCCGGCATGAGCTGCCTGGTCGACGGCCCCGACGAGTGCCGCCGGGCCGTGCGCCTGCAGATCCGCCGCGGCGCAAAGTGCATCAAGGTGATGGCCTCGGGCGGCGTGCTCTCGCGTGACGACAACCCGCTCTACGCGCAGTTCAGCGCCGAGGAGCTCGACACCATCGTCTCCGAGGCCGGCCGCATGGGCCGCGCCGTTGCCGCCCACGTCCACGGCAAGCCAGGCATCCTGCAGGCCGTGCGGGCAGGCGTCGCCTCCGTCGAGCACGTCACCTTTGCGGACCAGGAGTGCGTAGACCTCATCCGCGAAAAGGGCACCATCTACGTGGCGACACGCACCATCGTCAAGCTGCTGCTCGAGACGGGCGGCAAGGGCATGCCGCGCATCATCTGGGACAAGGCCAAGCTGTGCGGCGCGAACCACCTCAAGGCGTACAAGCTGGCCATTGAAAACGGCGGCATCACGTTCGCGCTTGGCACCGACACGCCGCCCGGGTTCAACATGGCCATGGAGCTCGAGTTCGCCGTCGAGGCCGGCCTGAGCAACCTCGAGGCCATCCGCGCGGCCACGGCCAACGGGCCCCTGACGCTGCGCGAGCAGGCGCCCAAGACGGGCCAGCTCAAGGCCGGGTACGAGGCCGACATGATTGGCGTGTGCGAGAACCCCGTCGACGACGTCCGCGTGCTGCAGAAGAGGAGCAACATCGGCTGGGTGTGGAAGGGCGGCCGTCTGTACAAGGGCCCGGGCATCGGCCCGTGGGGAGAGGAGCTGGACGGCTGAACTGCTGCCCCCGCCGTGCGGCGCATGATTCCGTAGGGTCGTGTATCATACAGCTCATGGTTACGTACTTGAATATCCGATAGTGTCATGTCGGGGCTAGTGGCGACGCTTCTGCTGCTCCGTATCACGGGAGCCACGACTTACATGATTGACCGCCGCGGGCTGCGGGGGCGGCGTATTAGATCGAGACCGGACCGGGCACACACAGGCCACGAGACCCGTAGCTACCCGTCACCGTGAGGTGTGCGTCGTCGCAGGTCCGTGGCGTCCGGGACAGCCGTTCTATCGTTGTCTCACGTACCCCGCGCTGGACCCCGAGTGCCATTCTTGGTATCGTGGAGGGTCGGCAAGCCACCCGAGAGCTTGATGACCGGGGCCAAATCGGGCCAGATAGCCCAACCCAAAAGACTGGGAATGGCCGCTCGCTCCTCGGGATGATGAGCTCGAGTCGAGTCGAGTCGCCCTCCTCATCGTCAGTCTCGCCAGTGCAAGCAATCAAGCAAAGGGCCTCTCGCGACGTGAAATGTCGGGCCTTCGAAATGGCCGGATCGCCTCCACCGCCTATAAGGCGTTATCTACACAGTCTCCATTCGTCGCGTCGGTCTCGAGAGCAGGTGCCGTCTCTCACCGCGAGCCGGCCGCGCCGGAGGATGCGTCTCCCCTCTCGGTCCTTCCTGCTGGGGCGCTCTGCCGCTCGCTCTTTACAAACACCGTCTCATCCACGCCTTGGCTGCTCTCGCCAGCCATCTATTTCCTCTCACATCTCTGCCAGCCGCGCCGGCCACTACTCTTTGATGTCCAGCGCAACCGGCCCCTCGCCTGGCTCATGAAGCAGACTGTTTATAAGCAGTTTTGTGGCGGGGAGACGCCCGCCGAGACCAAGCAGACGATGCGCCGCATGCGGGACATGGGCTTCCGCGGGACCATTATCACGCTGGCCACGGAGACGGTGTTTGACTACAGGAAGAACCTCGTCCACGGGCTGGGAGTTGAGGCCGGGGCCGGAGAGGGCGCTGCGACGTGCCCGGCTATCGCATCATGGCGAAAGCGGACCCTCGGAGCCGTCGAGCTCCTCGAGGAAGGGGATCAGCTCGCCATCAAGTACGATTCCATCCCCCCCTATTTACCAGGCAAGATGCTGACAGAGCCTAGAATCACAGGAGCGGGACCGCTCGTCACAGACGCCTTAGCCGCTGGAGAGCCTCTCCCGCAACAGATGCTGGACGCCCTGGACGAAATCAGCGCGCGGTGCAAGGCGCAGCAGGCACGCATCCTCATCGACGCCGAGTCGCAGCTCTACCAGTTCGGCATCCTCGAGGTGGGCCTCGACCTGATGCGCAAGTACAACCGCGACGGGCACGCCGTCATCTACAACACCTACCAGGCGTACCTCAAGAGCACGCCCGCGTCCGTGGCCGGGCACCTGGCGGCAGCGCTAGAGGGGGACTTCACGCTGGGGCTCAAGCTCGTGCGCGGCGCGTACCTGGCGACGGACAAGCGCAGCCTCATCCACGACACCAAGCAGGACACGGACGCGGCGTACGACGCCATTGCGCTGGGGGCGCTGCGCCAGGACCTTTTTGGATTCGGCGGCGTCGAGAAGCACGAGGAGGCACGGCGGCCGTTCCCGTCGGTGAACCTATTCCTCGCGAGCCACAACAAGGAGAGCGTAGTCGCGGCGCATGAGCTGCACCGGCAGCGATCAGAGCAGGGCCTGCCGACGGTGCCGGTCGGGTTCGCGCAGCTGCAGGGCATGTCGGACGCACTGAGCTTCGGGCTGCTGCGGCTCGGCGGCGCGCCCGAGGTGTACAAGTGCACGACGTGGGGGAGCCTGGCCGAGTGCCTGGGCTACCTAGCGCGGCGCGCATCGGAGAACCGGGACGCAGCGTCGCGGACGAGCGACGAGTTTGCGGCGCTCAGGGCCGAGGCGCGGAGGCGGGTTGGGCGGCTGTTGAGGTTGCAGGGTTAAAGCGACTCACTGACCACCGGTGACACTCGGCGATGACTGCGCCGCTAATGATCTCGTTCTTTAATTGATGGGCCTATTGAATACACTGATTACTTTGAGCCCATATGTTGACAGTTTTTGTGCATCTTCTATAGAGCTGTTGTCCTGGTTCACAGTCGTGTCATGGCGTTGAAATGTCTCGGGATCGGCGCCGGCGCCCACCGGGAGCCCGCCCGACGCCTATCGGATCCACATCCGCCACCAACGCATGCAAGCTTCCGATCTTAAAAGTCCAGATCTTGATTCCTCTCAACTTGATCAATCAAACGTAACTCGGCAAACCCCAGTTTCGTCATGTCTGAGAAACGCTACGAGACGCTCTGCGTGCTGGGCTGCGGTATGGTAACTGACTCACTTATACTCAACTCTTGCACTTACTGACATGTCCTGCGCGCAGGCAACTTGGGCACAGCCATCATCAACAAGCTTGTCGGTGCAGATGCAGGTCTCCCGTTCACTAAGATCACCGCCTGCGTCCGCAGCGAGAGCTCGCAGGCGTCTCTCGAGAAGCGGTTCCCCGGCACGCTGACCGTCCGGCGCGGAGACAACGCCGGCGCCGTGCGGGACAGCGACGTGGTGATTCTCGGCGTCGACCCGACCGAGGTGGAAGAGGTCCTCCAGCAGCCGGGCGTCCGCGACGCGCTCGCCGGCAAGTTCCTCATCACGGTGGCCGCCGGGTGGTCACGGCAGCGGCTCGAGACGGCGCTGTACGGGGACGAGACGACGGCGGAGACGCAGCCGGAGAGGGCGTACGTGCTGCGGGCGCTGCCCAACATCGCCGCGCTCGTGGGCCACGGACTCACGGCCATCGAGACGCCGGCATCGAACCCGCTGCCGGAACACCTCGTCGCGCTCGCCGAGTCGGTGTTCCAGCGCGTGGGGCAGACAGTGCGCCTCCCGCCGCGGCTGATGGACGCGGCGACGGCGGTGGGGGGCTCGACGCCGGCCTTCTTCGCCGTCATCTGCGACGCGATGATCGACGCGTCGGTGGCGGTGGGCCTGCCGCGGCAGACGGCGAGGGAGATGGTCACGCAGGCGATGCGCGGGAGCGCGGCGCTGCTGCAGGAGGGCGGGCTGCAGACGGGGGAGCTGCGCGACCGGGGCACGTCGCCGGGCGGGTGCACCATCGGCGGGGTCATGGTGCTGGAGGAGGGGGGCGTGAGGGGCCAGGTCGGGCGGGCGCTGCGGGAGGCGGTGACGGTGGCGAGCCTGATGGGCAAGGTTGAGAATGTAAATCACACGAGGCATTGGGGGGGATAGTATCTTTGTGGGCGAGTTGTGTGATTGTACATATCGCACATCATTTCACGAAGTATACTGTAAACTGTATTATGCAGCTCTGGGCAATTAATGAGAGGCTCAATGGAGGCCCGGCCAGAGGAACACGCTCACCGTGCTTGTCGACCTGCGTGCCCCGAAATCGGTCATGGCGGCCAACAGACAAGTCCGACCACCGGGCGTTGCTCCGAATGAAGCACCGGAGATCGGCTTCGTCGCCCGGGCCCCCTACAATTGCCGTCGGAAGCCGGGGCCGGCCCCACTCCCGACACGACACCCACTCGAGTCCTTGTAACTTGAAGGCGCAACCAAGGGCCCGCAGGCCCGCACCAGACATCGTCAACGACGAAACTCGGCATGAAAGCTGGGGTGCACACACCCACCCTCGTCGTCCGCAGACCGGACGCACCTCCCGCCCGCCCGTGTCAGATTTTCGCTTCCCTCTCCAGGTTCGCGCGCGGCAGGCTCTCGCTCGCTCGGCGCATCGAACCGCCGCGCTTTCCCCCTCCTCCGTCTCTTGCGCTTGGCTTATAGCCTGCCGTTGCCCAACTCCGGAATTCTCTCCGCGTCCCGGCTGCCCAACGTCAGACTAGTCTGCAGCGTGACCAGACCACAGTCAGACCGCCAGCACTCACGTCCTCACCATCACCACCATCAGCGACACCACCATCACCACCACCGCCACCTCCACGATGGGCGACGCCGCAGCTCCCTTCCCCCACGTCCCGCCGGCGGGCGTCTGGTGCCCGGCCGTCACCTTCTTCACCCCCGACGACGAGCTCGATCTCGACGCGCAGAAGCGCTACTTTGCGCACCTGTCGCGCTCCGGGCTCGCGGGCCTCGTCGTCATGGGCACCAACTCGGAGGCCTTCCTGCTCACCCGCGAGGAGCGCGCCCAGCTCATCGCCGCCGCCCGCGCCGCCGCCGGCCCGTCGTTCCCCATCATGGCCGGCGTGGGCGCCCACTCTACCCGCCAGACCCTCGAGCTCGCCCACGACGCCGCCCGTGCCGGCGCAAACTACCTGCTCATCCTGCCGCCCGCCTACTTTGGCAAGGCCACCACCATGGGCGTCGTGAAGCGCTTCTTCGCAGAGGTCGCCGCCCGCGCGCCCCTGCCCGTCGTCGTCTACAACTTCCCCGGCGTCTGCAACGGCGTGGACCTGGACTCGGAGACCATCTCCGCCATCGTCCGGCAGAGCGCCGAGGCGAGCCCCGGCGGCGTCTCCAACGTCGTCGGCGTCAAGCTGACGTGCGGGTCCGTCGGCAAAATCACCCGCCTGGCCGCCACGCACAGCCCGGACGAGTTTTCCACCTACGGCGGCCAGTCCGACTTTCTCATCGGCGGGCTCGCGGCCGGCAGCGCGGGGTGCATCGCCGCGTTTGCCAACGTCTTTCCGCGGCTCACGGCGGAGATCTACAGGCTTCACAAGGAGGGCAAGGCGGAGGAGGCCATGAAGCTGCAGCGCGTCGCGGCCCTGGCGGAGAGCCCGTGCAAGAGCGGCATCGCGACGACAAAGTTCGCCGTGGCGTGCTACTCGGCCAAGCTGGCGGGCATCGACAACGCGGAGGCGAAGCTGCGGCCGCGGCACCCGTACGAGGAGGCGCCCGAGGCGGGCAAGAAGGCTGTGCGGGAGGGCATGGCCGCGGCGGCGTCGATTGAGGAGCGGCTGCAGCGGGAGGCGGCGGCGTCGTCGTCGTAGCAGCGTGAGGTCTCGGCGATGAATATGATCGACGGAGGCGTCATTATCTAGTGGAGAACCGCACTGGGTCCTTGTAAGTGTTGTTTGGGACCGGCGACTTCAGGTTGGTGAAGTAATCTCTCGACCCTAAAGGGAGGTCAATGAAGTCAGCCATGCCACCATTGAATACTCGTCACACGCACGCAGCGTTCTTGAATATTTGTAACTGCCCATCAACCTATCCTCGGGCCCAGGTCGGTCCCGCCAAGACCTTGGGTATATGTAGTGCTGGATATTGAGACGATCTTTGATCAGTTTCACTTGCTGCACTGTACTTCAACTACACAACCATGCACTCTGTACCTGACAGTGCATCGCAACGCGCATCCGGTAGCAAACAGACCAATTGTCAGAACACCGTCAGACTTCCATTGGCAGCAGCAGTGCATGATCCGGGATCGGAGATAACAGCGGCAGCAGCAATCTGTGGGGTTTGGGGTAAGTTAGAGCCGGCTGTGGCGGCGGGCGTCTGCTCTGGCTGCTGGTGCGGGGTCCAGCTCCGACGCCGACCCAGACTCTCCAAACGCCCGTCCGCCTTCTCATTGACACTCACTCGCAACACCCGACAATGTGAGAGGCAGGCTCAATCCGATCCCCGGTGCCGCGCGCCCATGATCGCCTCCGTGGCCCCCTCCTCCTCGTCCGCCGGATCGTCCGTCCTGCTTCGCCCGCTGCCGAGCCTCGCCCGCTGCCAAATGTCGCCCGGAGCCGCCGGGCCCGACCTACACGCCGTCACGTCCAGCAGGATCACCAAGAGATCTTCCAACGCGTTGGTCCCTCCCGTTTCCCTTTGCCTTTTTTTCTTCGCTGCTGTGGCACGTCGCCCTCGCTTACCGTGTCTATCTTCTTGTCTAGATGCGCCCGCTGTCGCCGGCAAAAGATCAAGTGCAGCGGCGCCCATCCCTGCGCCGCGTGCAGCAGGCGCAAGCTGTCATGTCACTTTGACGATCAGGACCAGAAGATTCTCGTCACTAGAGGGTATGTGAGCTGAGATGTGAAGGCGTCTGTGGCGCATGCTGATGTACGTCGCAGATATCTTACGTCTCTGCAGGAGAGGATCGCCAGCCTCGAGCAGAATGGCGGGCGCGTACATGCAGACGCCGAGGGTCCGGCCCCCTTTGCCCCCAGCCAAGAGGCTGACGCCGCAGTCGAACATGACGTCCCGCGCCCAGATCCCGCGGATGGCCTGGGCCAGGAGATGCAGGTGCCATCTGTCGGCGACACGTCACAGCAGGGCTCGCTTGAGTCCGACGTGAGCTCCCTCGTGAATCCCTTCTCGTCCGGGCCATCGGCCTTCATGACGTCCGAGAGTGGACGCATCTGTAAGCTATCAGTATCGGTTCGCTTTGAGTCTTCTTGCTGACGGATGTAGTCTATCTTGGCACGTCGTCCAACTGGTCCTTCACTCGCCGTCTCCTTAGCGTGACGTACGAGCACGTCCACAAACGGCCCATCCCTCCCACGGCGCTCCTCTTCGACGGCGAGACCTACGACCTCGGCTGGCAGAGCGACCGCGCCGCGACATCGGCCGCCGCGCTGCCCACCATCGACTACGCCACGCACCTCGTCAACACGGTGCGCTTCCACTGCGGCCAAGTCTTCCACCTGTTCGACGAGGACGTCTTCATGGGCCACCTCCGCGACCACTACGCCGACTCGATGCAGAGATGCCCGGCGCGCGACCTGTGGCTGGTCCACTTCCAGCTCATCCTCGCTTTTGGAAAGGCCTTTGCCACGAAGCCCAGGCATGGGAGCCGGCCGCCAGGGGTGGGCTTCTTCGTCAACGCCCTGCATTCATTGCCGAACATGACGGTCCTGTGGAGAGACCCCGTCCAGGCCATTGAGATTCTGTGCTGCGTTGCGCTTTATCTCCACTGCATCGACTATAGGAGCTCGGCATACAACTATGTAAGTCTCGTCTCACTGGGTCGCTCAGGGTACGTTGCTGACACCTTGGAGATTGGGCAGGCAGTGCGCATGGCCATGAGCCAAGGCTTGCATACCGATGTGCCCACAGAGCAGCTCGGTGAAGCCATAGTTCAGAGGTATCGCAAGGTCTGGTGGACCGTCTACGTCCTGGACCGCGAGATGACATCCCTGATGGGGCTTCCACAGTCCGTTCGCGACGAGGACGTCCACACCCAGCTGCCCACGTTTCAAGGCGACCCGTTTCGAACGGCGGCGTTTATTATGAGGACCAAGCTGTCCCATTTTATTGCGAGCATCGACCGAGGTGCGTCCCACCTGCCGATTGTCTTCTCGTATATCTAGCTGACCGGCTGTATGCAGCCGTCTACCGGCCAGACGGGCGGTTGGACAACAACTTCTTGATGCGCACCAAGGACGCGCTGGCGGGCCTGGCAGGGCTCACAGATGAGCTGCACCAGCGCTTCCCCCTCCTGCTGGACAATGACGAGAGCGGCATCTCCAGGCTCTCGGCCCATCTGCACCTTCTCTATCATCAGGTAAGTTTGAGTTTTTTGAATGCCCGCCCAAAAGTGAGTCTGGGGCTGATCGTGCAGTGCATCGTGCTGGCCACGCGGCCGCTCCTCTTTTGCTTCTTTCAGATCCGCCTTGAGTCGGTCGGCGCGTGTCTTGACCTCCTAAACACGTCGTCGACCGTCCGAAGCGTGCTGCAGATGTGCCTCGACTCGTCGCAGCACGTAGTCTCCATCCTGGAGTGCCTACAACACCAGGGTCTACTGGGTGAGTCTGCCGCGCCGTACTCGAGGGGATCATCTTCTGATAGTACACAGAGACTTTCTTGTCCTTTGACCTAGAGGCTTTCTTCATCTCCACCACAAACATTCTAGTAGCACCGACATTGTACCCAGACTCGGCAGCCAGCTGGGCCCAGTGGCGCCACAAGGCGCACTTGGTCTACGACGAGCTGTCTCGCAGCGGAAACCTCATTGCTCAGGCTGAGCAGTCGGAGCTGGAGCGGCTGGGCGGAATGCTCGACAACATCGATTCGGGCTCTGCGAGGGACACCAGTAACCCGCCGGTGAACTACACCGAGTCCTCATCGCTCGCGCATTCTGAGCCACCGCCCAGCGAGCTGCATCCGCCTCTGGCTATGCCTCCGACCCCCCTGCCAGGAGTGAGCGTCTTTGATGAGAATTTCTTTGGGACCGAGCTGTCGGCGGCGCAGATCATGGACATGGTGAACTCGATTGACAGCGGGCACACGCAGTGGATGTCGCAAGCGATGGTTGAACATGGCATTTGATTGAGCTGAAACTTCTTGTACATGATAATGTTAAGCGATATTGAAGACACAGGTTAGTCACGCACGCAATTACGCTACAGCTTCGCCCCGGGCGGCTTCACATCACGAAACTCTTTCGTCTCTCCAAGGCGCCAGCTCACATCGGCTCCCCAGTCCCCGCTGGCCCCATCACGAGGCGCACTCTTCCACCTCCATCGCGCAATAGGCTGCTCAGCCCCCGCCTCGAGCAGGTCCGTAACCCACGAGCCGGCAATCGGAAACATCTTGAACCCATGGCCAGAGTCTCCTGTCATGACAATGACGGACGAGCCCGTCTTCGGCACGTAGTCGATTGTGTAGTCCGAGCCGCTCGTGTCCGCGATCCAGCACAGCGCCGGGTTGACGAGCGGCCGGTCCCTGGCCCACGGCAGCGTGTGATCAAGCAGCGTGCGGACCTTGTCCTCGTCGTCGGCCGGCATGAACCCGCTCTCCTCCAATGACTGCGGCGGGAGCGACACGCCGCTCGTCTTGTCCGTGTTGACGTAGCCGGCGCCCATTGGGCAAAACTTGAGCAGCTTGGTCTTGGGGTCTGGCTCGAAGAAGAAGCCCAGGTCGCGCGCGTACGTGACGGGCATGCCGCGCAGCGCAGACGCCTCGTCGTCGGTGAGCTGGACGTGCGCGACGGACCACGCCTTGGCAACCACGCGTGACGCCAGCTCCGGGATGAGCTTCGCCACAGACGCACCGGCCGCGACGACAACGAGCCGCGCTTTATGAACGCGTCCGCTGCGGGTGCGCACCCCGACAGCGACCCTCCCCGCAGGGCCGCCGTCCTCGTAGATGATGCCCCCGACGTCACCTTCCTCGCCGAGGAGGAAGCGCACCCCGCGCGCCGAGGCCTCGCGATGCACCGCGACGAGCGCGTCAGCCGAGTGCGCGTACCCGTCGTAACGGTTCAGGTACCCGCGCCAGCCCTCCAGAGTGCCGCTCTGCAGCTGCCAGACGTGTTCCGTGATGGCTGCTTTGCCGTCGAGGCGGACGACGTGCGGGCGCATGGCAGGGTGCTGCTCGGCAGACGCCTGGAAGCGGTCGAGGGTGGCCCTGGCCTTGTCTGGCGCCGCCCCCGACACGCAATGCAGGAACCCAGTCTGGTGGAAGTGAGGGGCGAAGACGGAGGTCTTCCATGCCGCGATGGCTTTCTGTTGTGCACGCAGGCGATTGATGTGAGCAACGAGCACGACACATGCTACATGTCACTTGGAGCGGGGTAGCGTGGCCCAACGCACAATCGTCAGATCCGTGTAAAACGGATCCTCGTACTCGGCGCGCACAATCTTGTTGAGGTCGTTGGCGGCCGACGAGCGCGGCGGGATCTGCGTGTCCTTCTCGAGGACGGTGACGTTGTGGAACCCCGCCCGCGAGAGGTGCAGCGCGGTCGACAGGCCGAACGCGCCGCCGCCCACGATGACGACGGGGTCAGACTTGGAAATGTCCATCGTCGTTGAGTGCCGTGCCTAAGTGTCGATTGAGGGAGGAGAGCGCAGGCCGTGTCCGGCAGACAATCGTGGTGATGCCGTTGGCGGGCGTGCCCTGGCCTGATATTCAGGCTGCTCTCGGCGCGCAGCGACCGTCGTGCGGGCAACGTGACGTTGGCGACATCGGCGTTGGCCCGTTCGGCGAGCTGCAGATGCAGCTCTCGGTCTGCGGCTTGCGCCCCGAACACCCGACCAGGGATGCAGACAGCAGACCAGGGACCATCGGGGGCGTTCCCGATGATGGGTGGGGCGAATCGGGTCCGGAGCCGATGTGGGTCCCTGCTGCCCCGGGTTCGGCACCGCGCAGTGTGTAAGTGCCCCGGAGCTGCCATACGTATTTCTACCAGCACGATCAAGGTACAGGATGAGAGCTCCCTGATATTCTCTCGAAGCCATTTCCCGTCGGTCCAGCTGGGTAAAACGTCCAAATGGCAATCCCTAGGCTCGCCACTGCGCGAATCGCGCGAAGTGCCCGTGTCTCCGTCCCCGGCCTGCAGAACTCCCGAGCGTACCTGCAGCTGCGAACCAAGACGACGGCGCCGTTTCGTCTCCCCGACGAGCGCAATGAGCCCAATGTGAGTGCCCTTTTCTGGCGTACAATGTGTGTCGGCGCGCCCACTGACATGTTCGCAGCTAGACTACCGCCGCGGCTCCCTCGAGCGTCAAAAGGTCGAGGAGGCGCTCACCCGCATGCGCTCCTCCCTCCCGCTCAAGAGCCAAATCCACTACAGCGGGCGCGCCCAGGAAGCGCCGCGCTCCCTGGACCAGGTCCTCCCCGCGGAGCACGGCACCGTCTTCACAAACTATCCGCTTGCCTCGCGCGCGCAGGTCGCCGACGCCATCGCCGCCGCGCTCGCCGCCAAGCGCGACTGGGAGAACACGCCGTTCGTAGACCGCGCGGCCGTGTTCCTCCGCGCTGCGGAGCTCGTTGCCGGCAAGTACCGGTACGAGCTCGTGGCTGCGACTATGCTTGGCCAGGGCAAGAACGTGTGGCAGGCGGAGATTGATGCTGCGGCCGAGCTGGCCGACTTTTTCAGGCTGCACTGCAACTACGCCGCCGACATCCTGGGCAGGCAGCCGACGCGCGGATCAGACGGCATCTGGACGTGAGTGATGCCTTTCGCCGCCATATTGGGGGCAACGCTAATCTGCTCAGGCGCACCGAGTATCGCCCACTCGAAGGGTTCGTCTACGCCGTATCGCCATTCAATTTCACGGCTCTTGGTGGCAGCCTCGTTTCGGCACCCGCTCTCATGGGCAACGTCGTGTTGTGGAAACCGTCACAGTACAACATCTACGCCAGCGCGATCGTCTACAAGATCCTCCTCGAGGCAGGGCTGCCCCAGGACGTGATCCAGTTCGTCCCAGGCGACGCCGTCGAGGTCACGGACGAGGTCCTTGCGCACCGCGACTTTGCCGGGCTTAACTTCATCGGCTCTTCGGACGTGTTCCGGTCTATCTACGCCAGGATCGGCCAGGGCATCGGCAACAAGACATACCGCGAGTTCCCCCGCGTCGTGGGCGAGACGAGCGGCAAGAACTTCCACCTGCTCCATCCGTCAGCCGACATCCCCAGCGCCGTGAACCACACCATTCGCGGCGCCTTTGAATATCAAGGACAAAAGTGCTCTGCCACGTCGCGCGTCTACGTGCCGCAGTCGCGCGCTGCCGAGTTCATCTCCGGCCTCAAGGCAGGGGTTGAGAAGATCACCATCGGAAGCCCCGAGAAGGAGTTTGAGGCGTTCATGGGTCCCGTTATCCACAAGAACTCCTTCGACAAGATCAAGTCCATCATTGACGCTGGCAACAAGGACCCCTCGCTGAAGCTGCTGGCCGGTGGCACGTACGACGGTTCGGTCGGCTACTACGTGAACCCCACCGTGTACCAGGCGCAGTCTCCGGACCACAAGCTCTTCAACCAAGAGATTTTCGGTCCCGTGCTGGCGCTCTACGTGTACAAGGATGAGGACTGGAGCTCGATGCTGAAGAGCGTGGATGAGAACGGAGGTGGACTTGCGCTGACGGGCGCCGTCTTTGCTACGGATCGCAAGGCCATACGAGAGGCCGAAGACACTCTTCGCTACTCATCCGGAAACTTCTACATCAGTAAGTCTAGCCGAAGCGAATGCCAGTGGGCGCGGACTAACCTATTGGGACAGACTGCAAGACCACGGCGGCCCTGATCGGCCAGCAGACGTTTGGCGGTGCTCGGGCGAGCGGCACGAACGACAAGGCGGGTAGCCCGGATGTTTTGAGGCGGTTCACAAGCCCGCGGACCATCAAGGAGGAGTTTAGCCCGCTGGATCGGTTCACCTACCCTAGTAATGAGTAGCATGGTGCGGAGTGAAGGCAATAGTAGAAGTAGTGTGTTACAGCCATGTCAAGCAGGCATATGAGCAATCGATTGTAAATGAGTCCCTTTCCCGCTCTAAGGACTAATTAGACTGCATCGATTTGGCCTTTTGCCATCCAACAAGCTGCAACATCTCCCTCCAGAAGCCCGGGTTATCTTCCTCATTCTCCCGCTCGTATGCATCAATCGCCGGCTTCTCCCACACCAAGTCCGCCTCAGCCGGGCGCACGAGGCGCGTGCGGTGCACGAGCTTCCACCCCACGAAGAGCACGGGGCTGACCAGCACCATGGTGTAGTGCGTGAAAAAGTCCTTGACGTCCCAGTGGCCCGGGAGGAACACGGCGTAGCCGTTGACGAAGACGATCAGCGCCATGTACACCAGCGCGATCCACGCGCAGTATGGCTGGCCGTAGCCGTAGTACGGGAGCGTGGCGCGGTCGACGCCCTGCGCGCGGGTCGCGCGATAGAAGAAGATGTACGTCGTCGCGATGATGGTGTAGTTGAGGACGCCCGAAGTGGTAACGAGGTTGATGAACCAGGACAGGACCCGCGCGGTGCTTCCCGACACGTTCAGGAATGCGAGGCAGGGGAAGATCATGGTCACGGCCAGGCAGTAGATGGGCACGCCAGATGGAGTGCACCGTCGGAGGAACGCAGGAGCCTGCGACTCGAGCGCGAGGCCGTACAGGCTGCGCGTCGCGTAGAAAGTAAACGCGTTGCCGCAGGAGAAGATGCTCGTGATCAGCAGCGCCGTTATGATGTGCGGCAAAACGTCGATACCCATGTTTTGCATGGCGATGATGTACGGCGATGCGGTCGCCGACCCAGAGTTGCCATTGGGGTCGTTGAGAATGGACACAAACGTCGGGTCATTATACGGAATCACGATGCCGACGCACAGGGCGCTACCGACGAAGAAAAAGGTGAAGCGAAAGTACGTCGTCTTGAAAGCGTTCTTGAGGTATCGTCGCGGCAGCTTCGTCTCGCCGGCCAGCATGGACACGTACTCGGGTCCCACGATGGTGAATGAGGCGTTCCAGAGCGCCGAGAGGAAGCCCTCGAAGCGGCCGAGGTTTCCGCTAGCAATGTACTCGGCGAAAGCCCCCGGGTCCCTCCAGTACCGGAACCCGTAGGCGTCGTGCTGTGGGTTCCCGCCGACCATGGTGACAAATGTGAAGCTGAAGACGATGAGAATGAGGACGACCTTGCCGGTAGCCAGCCAGAACTCGCTTTCGCCGTACCACTTGACGGCAAAGACGTTGATGGCACTTGAAGAGGTCAGCACGTCTCACCACACAAGCAATCACGCCCTGCGACAAATGTAGACCTACAAGTACAGAGCCGTGCACACTGCCACTACTGCCGCAGCGGGAATGTCATCTCGCCAGAACGACAGCACAACATTGATGGCCGAGACCTCAAAGGGAATGTTGATGGCTTCATAGAGGAAAAAGTTCCAGCCTGCGAGGAAACCAAAGGCAGGGTCGACCCAATGGCCCGCCATGCGGATAAACGCGCCGCTGATGGGCATGAAGACGGCCATCTCGGCCATGCAGTTATTCACCATGGACACCATGGACGAGTGCAGCGCATACGCCAGCAGCAGGCCGCCCGGCCCTGCGTTGAGCAGTCCCGTGCCGATGCTGACGAAGGTGGCCGTGCCGATAGACCCGCCGATGGCGATGAGCTGGATCTGCCGGTTTCCCAAGCGGCGTTTGAGCTGGCCTGCAACCGGAGCGACATCCTCGTCGTCCGGCTTGACCGTGCCGTGCCCGAAGCTTTCGGCTTGGGATTCTTCCTTGCTGATGTCTGCGGCGACGGAGCCACCCATCTTCTCCTCGTGCGCCTTCATGGCTGCGTGACGAGTTGAGAGGGGTAAATGTGAGAGTGGGAGTGAACTGAGTCAAGGGAGTCTCTGGCTGAAGATCAAGACATGCGAGTGAGTGAAACAGTAGTCTACGCGGTGAGTACCATGATGATCGCTCGCTAGACTACAAGGCACGCAGCGTGGCACATATTATAGGCGACACCACATCCGTATTCCTCGGCTAGAGGCCGATCCTCCTCCATCCTGCTGTCAAGACGTTCCTTGATTTCCCCGCAAACCGCAAATTCATTCCCATGTTGACGTCGAAGCATTTGGCCGTCTTATCAGTCGGGAGAGCAGCCGGTGTCGCGTGGCTTGTACCCACGCGAGCGACGCTACGGGACCGGTCCCGCCGTCGCTCATCTACCCGATCCGGAAACCGTCGAGCCAAACCATCGATGGCAGGGCAGGGGATCCTGGAAGTGCCGGGTTCCACGCTCGATTGCGGGGTACAGATAATAGCGGCAACGGGCAGTTGGTGCACGGATGCGCGTGACTTGGGACCATGTTTCGAGACGAAGGCAACATTACTGTTCATTAAGAGTTTTAAGGTATACTATACAGGGTATACTTGGTGCCTTTTGGCAGAAATCTGTTCCATCTGTGGGGTCACAAGCCGCTTCTTCCTCGTACGATGAGGCTATGCCAACTCTAATCTGACCCGATCTGTAGTTGATCAATCCGAGGCGACAAGTGCGTGTCTGAGCTTTTCCGTCCATTCAGTCTCGAGCGCCACGTTGCCGTCGACGTTCTTCGATCTTGGTGCCAGAGGGCACAGCACGACGGCCGTTCCAACAAACAATCGGCATTGCCTAGACTTGGGCGGTCGAGCGCAGCTCGCCGTGCGTCGCGTGCGTGGGGCTCACGGGCGCGGCGGGGCTCATGGGCCCGTGGATGCCGTCGCCGAGGGCGGAGCTATCGCGTCCCGTGTTGGGGGGCGAGTGGTGGTTGTTGAGCGTGTACTGATCGCTCGAGGTGCCGACGTCACTGTTGATGGTGTGTCGCTTCTCCTCGGCCGCCGTCAGGCCGTGGTGGCCCTTCTCGACGTCGCCGGTGTCGTCCTGGCCCGGGTTGGCCGTCCGGTAGTCGAGCCACTTGAGCAGCGTGTAGAGGGCAAAGGCGAGGAACGAGCCCAGGAAGGGGCCCAGCCAGTAGATCCACTGGTAGCCGGTGAAGCTGGTGACGACGGCCGGGCCGAAGGAGCGGGCCGGGTTGATGCCGGTGCCGGTGAAGTTGGTGCCGCAGATGTGGGCGATGAAGATGGCGATGCCGATGCCGATTGGCGCCAGGTACGTGGAGCGGTGCTTCTCGACGGCGAGGAAGTAGACGGTAAGCACCAGCTGCGCCGTCAGGAACATCTCGATGAAGAGACCCCGCGAGATGCTCGTGTTGTTGCTGAGCTTGTTGGCGACGCCCAGCGGGCCCGGCAGCAGCGCATCAGTGACAGCCGCGGCGGCGATGCCGGCCACAATCTGCGTAGGGAAGATGAAGAGACCGCGCAGGGGCTTGACGGCGCCGACGAGGACGAGACCCAGGGTGACCTGAACATCAAGAGTCAGCTTACACCATAAGCGAATTATCGTCGAGTGTCAACTTACAGCAGGGTTGAACATGCCACCGGTGACACGGTAAAAGATCCAGACATTGACAGTGATGGCAGCGCCGAAAGAGGCGGCAATGTACATGAGACTGAAGGGCGCCAGCACAGCATCAGGGTTGCCCGGGTCGTTGTTGTCCACGGCCGCCTGAGTGCCGATAAAGGCAAGCAGGAGGAACATGAAGGTGCCGCAGAACTCGCCGATGATGACCACCGCCAGGTTGCGGTAGGCACTCGGCATCACATGGTCCCGTCCATCCTTGTTGAACCGGTTCTTGCGGTCCAGGATGGTCCTGGTCTTCTTTTCGCCCATCTTGATCGTCGGCTGCGGTGTTGAGTTGAGGAGCTCACGGGTGTGTCTGAACTTCGGATAGGGGGGAAGCGTTCAACACAACGTCATGAACGAAGGCCGGCGGGCAAACGGGCAAGGCAGGGGCAGCTGGTAGATATACTCGTCAACTCCTCCGAGAACCGAGTCGCCCGCCCACCATCTATTGCGTCCGTTGGGCCCCCTCCCCTCTCCAAGCTTGACCTCATCGAGGTGCGGGAAGGCAAAGGTGGCTAACTTTTCAGCTGTCCGGAACCGTTCAAGCTCTCGTCGAGGAGCATCGACCCCGAGGACGGGCGCGCCGCACCACCGGGTCGAATCCGGCCTGCCGCGATACGGGTCCCCAAAACCTTGACCACGGCAACGGACCCTTTTCGAAGAGACGTGCCAAGCGTAGGGTCCTGCCAACGGCAGCTGAGGAGGCAAACCACCTGCTGCACCAGTGGGACCTCCCTGTTCCATGTCCGGCACCCTCCCAAGCTGAACATGACCCCATGGCCGAGTTCCAGACCGTTCATTCTCTGGCCGGCTCTTTGCTTGGGACTCCCTGAAATCACAAGATCCTCCGTCATTCTTTTTCGTCGGCGTCCTGCTCCCAGCGGGGTACGAGCGGGCGGGCACGGGAGGCTCGGGAGAGAGCTCGCGCCACATACTCACCTAGAAGCTGACCAAAGGAAGACCAAGAGCACGTAGCAACGAAGCCGTCGACCGGCGGACAAACTCAATGATGCGCACCAGAGCCCAACGGGCGCAGCTCCCAAGGGCATCTCAGACCCCTCTCTGCGCGAAACCGTGCCGCCTCCCGTGCTTTGGGGCGAGGGCGCCGGCCGTTGCTGTTGGCGAGGAGCCGCATACCTCGGCGTTGAGTTCGACTAGCTTACACGAAACGGCGCTGGCGCGCGCAACGCTCGCTTGGGGCAGCTTGCCAAAGTCTAATTTTTTTTCTTCTCCTCGATGGTTCCTACAAACCGGCCCCCTCCAAGCTCTGAATTCTAATCCGCCCCGCGCAGCCAATGGCCGCCCGGCTAAGCCGCCGGGTTGGCGAGGTCCCCATCACGGGCGGCAGCAGCTGGTATGTTGAAGCGGCGCCTGGTTTCTGATTGCGGAACGAACACGACGAGCACTGGCGACGCGCGACCCAGCGACGGCCTGTGCACGCGACGCCTCCATGGCACGATGCCGACAGCGCGGGAGCCGCATGGCACGACGCTACGGCATGCCCGCCAGCGCCGCCGGTCGAACCACCGGTCCTCCGGCCGGTTCTCGTGCCCGCTCTGCGCAGCGTCGAGGGGACACGGCGGCTTGGCGGCAAGTCAGTGGCCACAGGAAGGGGGAGCCAAGTCGACCGGAGCACAATGGGCGAGGTTAAAGCCCGGTCTGCGTGTCGTAGCCCGCTGACACAGACACTCACATGCACATACTCGTACACACACTCACACGCACTTGGACGAGCCATGAGCGTTGCATTTGCAACGGCCCCATGTGGCGTTCGAGCACCCAGCGATGGAATCGTCATCCGCTGCAGACGCCAATCATGACGCCCCTTGCATGTCGACCCCTTTGGCTCCGCTTCGCCAGGGTCGGTCGTGGCCATGGCTCTTTCTACTTGCAACGCTGCTCTGCATGTCTGCGAGTCTAGTCTCCCTGGCGACAGACGATGGACTCCAAGTCTCCGACGAGTTGCGACGCCCGCGATGCATCATACGAAGTATGTCGTCAATGGCCATGGGTCCGGTAGCGTATCGTGCGGTTCGGTAATCGAGAACCCTGAAAGCTGGGCGGACAGGGCTATGCCTGCATCACACGTGGTCTGGAACCGCGCACAGACGGGGTTTGCGTGCGATGCTGCCCTAGGGCAGCTGAACATCCGGTCCGCGCCTTGGTTTTGAGTGAGCTTGGTACCTACGTAGCAGAGAGGCAGTGCTCGCGCTTGGGCTATGACTGATGCTACCAAAAAAAAAAACTACGTGCCGCTTCCGTGGAGAAACATGGCCCGTCGACCCACACGCGGTCCAAAGCCGGCTCTGGCTGTAATCATGCCCGTACGTAGAAGCAAGGGAGACTTGCGAATACGTAATTGCCACTATATGTTCCGAGGGTGCAACAAAAATTCTCGTGCTCGCGGGAACCTTTGCACCACCACATGTGTCGCGTGGGAACGGGTCTGGTGAAGGCATTGACGCTGGCCGGAACACACAAGCGATCGATGGGCCTCATGTGCATAGCTTCAAAACCTCCGTCTCGAGGCAATCTGACTGAGTGTGATCGGCTGCCTGGGGCATCTCATTTTAATTATAAACTGGCCTCATCCGACGATTTCCGAAAGACAACGCAAGCCCACGGACGACTCCGTCTCAGGTGCATCGCACACGGCTCAGCCGTCAAGAGACACTCTGCGACAAACCCCACGACCCGTTCTCAAGCCGTTCCAAGATTTCCAAGACGTATCCAGATGGAACTGCACCTTGATAAATGAGCTCAGGCCATTGTGCGCTTGGCGTTTCTCTCCATCGCACGTCCCATGGTCGGACCGTGCCTCGCAGGATCCAGAGGAAAACTCATGAAAGCAACGCACTGTCGGATGAGGTTTCACAAATGATATATCCCAGTGCATTTAATGTCCGGTAAATTGCATCGAGGCGCTCACGCCTTTTGTTTGCCGTGAAGTTGCGTCGCTGTGCATGAGCTCGGACGGTGGCGCCAGCACCAGGGAGACAGCCTCTTGAGCCACCGTCATCACACATTTCTTCCAAGGCATACGGAAATCGAATCCAAGCCTCTCTATCCCAGGCGCCTGGATTCTCCACGCACCTGTTGCCATTGAGCAGCGCTCAAAATACGTAAAGACTTCGAAATCGCTAGGGCCGCGGAGTTGGACAGCCAGCCCAGCCGCGATACCCTCGCCGCAACTGCCGCAACACGCCAAAACTCATCCTGACCCAGCCAACACCTCAAAGGGCTCCACGCGCCTCATACACTCTGCAGGTCCGTCCGTGCATGCGGCCCACGGTGGCACTCTCCAAGTTGTGCATGTAGTGCGCTTCAGGTTGCGCATGAGATACAGCACGCGCATACATACGGACGTAGTACTCACTCACTTGCTTCGCATAATCGCGATGGCGCCCTTTGACAGTCAATGCAAAAACGCTCACCACGCCGGTGCCATGGCCGGATTCATGCCTCAATCCTCATGCGCCACCCCCAGTCAGAGCCTATATGGTCGTCGGGGATATATACTGAGCCATGGCATCACAGAGGCAGTGCACCAGGTGCCGAAGCGGAGAAAGTCCACCGTGAAAGAAGCTTAAACGCTACAGCCAGAGCATCACATCCATCTTATAGGGGTTGCGCGTCCGTACCCTTCCCGTCTCCAGGGCGCTGTCAACGATGAACCCCGCCAACCGAGCCTCTGGTCTGGCGTCTCAAAGACCACGATGACGCGGCCCCCATCGCCCAGTGCGCAGCGTTGATTGAGGCCAAGCCTCAGCCCAGCTCCTCTTCCACAGTCTGCCACGCGACAAATTCTTCACTCGTCCCGCGCCCCGGTCGTGGCCTCGTATTGCCCTCGGCCAAGCCCCGGTTGGTTGTAGACTTGGCAATCTACAAACCTGCGCACTGGCTGATGCATCTGGCCATCAGACGGCAACTACCGCCTTGGCGGACAGGAACCAGTGGCATGTCCACTCTCTTATTTGCGAGTGCTTTCTCCCGAGGCCAACCTTTGACATCCCCGTCATGGGCTCACAGCACGAGGCATGACCTGGCAAAACCTAGGCAAAGTTGTCTAACTCATCATTCTTGGCTCTATATGCCAGTGGAGCAACGCACGATGTCCGTGTGCAGCAAGCGTGACAAATTCATCACATCCGTCCCTGGCCTTTTCCATGCCAGCACCGTTCGCCAGACCTAAATCGAAAACCAAATGGCAGCATGCCGCTAATGCACCGAGTCCCAGCCATGTACCGACTCAAAACGCCAAAAAATCCCATTGCACCCGAGGACCTCAGATGCAGAATTTGCGGTCCAGCATCCTCAATGCCCGCGCGTCCTCACTGACGCCGCCGTTTTCCACCTTGATGCTCTTCATTCGAGGGCTGCTGCTAGCGCTGCCATTGCTGGGCGGCTTGGCAGTGCCGGCCTCGCTGCTTGGCGGGGTAGGGTGCAGCAGCGCCGACAGGCTGGACCGGTGGCCGTTGGTTGCTGCATCCTGAGCGGTCCGAGGCGGGCTCACGCTCAAGTTTCGTGTCGGAGGCGTAGCCATGCCTGCGTGCGAGGCGGCGGGCGCCCCGTTCGTGACCGCGTTGAGCGCGGGCAGCGGCCCGTATCCTCTCGGAGGAGCGTTGTTCACGTGTTGGTCGTTGACAGCTGCCTGTGCTGCGGCCTGCAAGTCCTTCTGCCGCGGTGAGTCATACAGCCTGGGAGGTGACGGCCCATGTGACGGATGGTGGCCCTGATACGGCGGAGGGCCAGGCTTCGAGCCCTGCAACGGGGGCAGCGCACGCTCATACGGAGCAGCATGCGTGTAATGGCCGTTGGAATATGCGGATGGCGGCGGCGGCGGCACCTGCGACGGGTGAGGTGGCGGGAGATGGTGGACGTGTGGTGGATAAGGAGCAGGTGCGTAATGTCCATAAGGGGGGGTCGCGGCGGGCGACGGCGGCCATCCATAGCCCGGCTGTGCGTAATGCGGTGCATATGGTTGTTGGTGATGCGGGTGCGGGACGTGGTGTGGCGCAATCATGTACGGCTGCTGCATCGGCGCCCTCGTGAGGGCCGGCGTCTGGTTCGTCTCTCCCATGCTGGACTCTGGGTACATGCCCTTGGGGGGAACGATGCCGCGAAGAGAAGGGTCGGAGCTGGGTTGAGGAAGGTCGGGCTGGCCGGGCTGCGGTCGGGAGTAGTAAGAGATGAGGTGGAGGTGCTGGGCCGTCGATGTGGTGATGCTGAAAGACTGCTTCATGAGGCCGTCCGCCTTGTAGCGGTACCCCTCGGGCTCGCCATCGTCATGGTCCTCGTCGCTACCGCGGCCAGAGTCTGGGGTCTTGCCCGCGCCTCGCCTGCCGCTGCCAAAGCCGCCGCCACGCTTGCCCTCCATTTCCCTGTATGTCAGGAAGCTGCCCGACACGCGGCTGGCGCTCCACGACTTTCCGTCGGTCCACCTCCGCATCCCAGCCTCCCGCTCATCCCACACAAAGACGGAGCCCGAGCGGATTGACTGTCTTTCCTTCTCCGATAGACGTCTCTGCACTCGGGGCAGCAAACCGAGGCGGCACGCCTCAAAGAGCTTGATGGCGTCGCCCGGCGTCCGCACGTAACCGTGGTACGTCTCCATTTTGTCGGCGCTGATGGAATCCGTTGTGAAAGTTGGTGCCTGCTTTCGCAGGACAGCTACCAAACCTCCCCGGCGTGAGTGAGATCGAGCCGGATCACTCAGGCCCGGGCTCGGTGATAACTCGAGCTCAGATCAGGGGATTGAAGCCGCTTCCTCGTCCCGGTTGGAGCCGCCGGAAATTTCGCAGGGGGCCTAATAGGCGAGTCAGTCTCAAGGGTTCCGTCACGGTCCGACATGGTGTGACCAAAGGCATTGCATCGGGGTAAAGCCCATGGTCCACGAGTGCGTCGTGCGCTCAGGCGCGCAAGCTCAACCCGTGGCATGGGGCGGCAAGCCAAGCAACGTGACAACATGCCCATAAAGCAGACAGCGTCTCACTGCACATGTCCAGGTGCTGCCGCTTGGCTGTGTCGCAAAGCCACGGAATAGGCGCGGCAGTCGCATCACGAGTCCACGACACAGCCTGTTGCCCGGCCCCGTAAAGGGCGAACAGTCAAGCTGACAGTGAGAGAGAGTAGAGGATAGCGAGGTCATCATGATGCGCACTCGCGATCAGACGACCGCCCGAGCCTGAGCGGCTTCGCCTCTAGTACGCCCAGACTGACAACGGAGCGGGCAACGGCATGGCGATGGCCAATCCCCGTGCAGTGCGCGAGGACGCGGGAACACGAGGCTCAAGGACGCACGGATTTCTGTGCAAGCATCGCCGCACGATGTGGAGGGCTGGGAAACACGGAGCAGGAGAAGCTCGAGTCGCGCGACGAGACGTACCCAAATGGAAAGTGAGGCCGAGGGCTTCGCTCGCTCGCTCCACAGTGGCCGTTGAGGCGCTTCGCGAGGGCGTTGAGAACCGTTGCGTTGTTGCGTCTGCGGACTTGCCGTGACAATGGCTGTTCGTCGCTGGTGCTCCTGGTGCAAAAGGAAGCAAGATCGTACGTGCTGTAGACTGTCGAGAAACAAGGTTAATTGGGATCAGGAGCGGGAGGTTTCGAGAAGAGAAGGAGAGATCGTCGAGGTTGGGGACGGCCGAGAGCGTGACGAGCCAAGGGCACGGATGTGCAATGAGTGAATGGATAAGTCGGCGCCGCGAAGCCGAGAAGGGGGGTGCCATGGACCGGGGGGGGAGGGGTGTGTGGCGGCCAGGATGGGAGTTTGGCGCAGCGGGAGGAGGGTGTTGGTCAGGACAAGCTTTTGTCGTTTGCGGCCCACACGCAGGCAAACCCACGGACAGACGAGGCCAGCGCTCCATGGCCGGTGCTCGCGGCTTGACCGGCACGCCCAGAAGGGGCCCTAACTTGCCCAAGCAAGGGCTTCTTGTGCGCTGTTGTCGCGCGGCAGCGGGACGATGGGGGGGGGCACGGAAGGGCGGCCGACTTGCCTCGGGGGGGCTGCTTTGTTTGCTGCGCCGACTCGCACAGCGTCCGTACTTCATGAAACTGTACTTGGTTCTCGCACAAGAGCAGGTCTCTGCCGTCGGCCAGAGGCATCGTTCCCGCGGCGGCGAAGAGAAGCGAGCTCCAAGTCAAAACCCAGATTCACGGGCCCAGAATGCCGACTCGGATTCACACCTCAGTCAAAAGGGCAGGAACGGCGGGAGAGGCAGCCTGAGGCGGGGCGGATAGCGGGCGGATAGCGGGCGGATGGCGGGCAGAGGGAAGGCGAGACACCGCTGGGTTGTGTCATACACCCACTGTAAGGCCCCATGGGCGCCAAAATTGTCGAGGAGAGGGAAGGTGCGATGGGCCTCTGGCGTGTCAGCGGCCGATCGGGAATAAGGATGAGCGGTGGTCAAGCTTCAAGGCGTGCCGGCTGCCCGAGCCAAGACTCCAGAATTGGCAGGATCCTGGGCTGCCCACCGCCGCCTGCCCTCGGGGCCCATGGCACTGTTGCCTGCCTGGGCTGCCCGCGCGGCGATACTTGCAGTTCCTCCCTCACGACGAGGTACTGTACAGTTCCAGCCAGACCACGATGCAGCTTCATCCTCCACTCCGGTCAGTCAGTCAGTCAGTCAGTCAGTCAGTCAGCAAGCAAGCAAGCACAGAGCGCCAGCCAACGCAACGCCTGCGACGCGCAAACCGGCGTGGGCGGCGGCGGCGACCTGCTCCGTCCGCGTTGTATCCACGGCGTGGGTGCGCTGCGACGACGACGACCACCACCACCACCACCACCCTCACGCCGACCCCCCCGAACGACGTAATGCCAAATGGATGGCTGGCGGCTGAATGGCAGCGTCGTGCCAGGTGGCATAATAAGGTCATAAGAATTTCCCCTAAGCTTATTTTCACTGCTCCCTGATGAAGAGGCTTGGCCTGCCGCCTCAGACAGGCGTCCATGGATAGCTCGGCAAGTCTAGCCACTGGTCTAAGCTCCAAAGGGACGTTGCCGGGCTGGCATGGAGCAGCATGGAGCAGCCAGTCGGGGTCCGTGTCTTGGTTCGAGGACGGCAAGGACGGTACGGTGCGGTGCAGCAGGTCTCCACGGGCGATCCATCTCAGCATCGTCGCACCTGCTGTCTGCTGTCGGTTGTCTGCTCCTCATTGTCCTGCGCCGCGCCTTGCCGACGCAGATCGATCCACCGCGCAGACCAGACGGAGACGACATTGACGCGGCGAGGGCAATCGGAGAGACACCTCAGCCTGCAGGCACCAAACAACCTGCTGATGGCGGAAAGTGGTGTCTCGTGTGAGGCGGCCTGGGACACGCCTCTGGATAAGTCGGCACCGCCTGCGTCCACCCCACAGGGCCACCCGCACGCCCAAGGCCCAGCACCAGCGGTCGCCAGAGGTCTCGCTGTCCTTTGCCCTTGGGCTGGAGCACTCGAGGGCCTTTTGGTTCATTACCCAGCAGAGCTAACCCGCACATCAGGACAAAGGGGTGCTGCCGAGTCGGCCACGACCCAGCGCACGGCACGCTAGCGACGCCTTGTCGCAACACCAAGTGCCGTGGCTGCCGAGTCTCTGGGGACGCTCGTGGAGAGGCCACCTTCTGGCCGACCTGGCCAATTGGTGCCGGCCGCCCGCCATCGAACGCGAGTGCGGCGCCCAATTTTACCCAGCACCGGGATTGACGAAGAACCCGAGAGACTTTCCCATTGTTGCCGCAACGGCATGCTGGCCACTGTGGCCACTTCTCCTGGGCGAGTTCAGGCTGTGGTGCCGAAGCCGTGTGTGGGTGGCTCCCGAGGCCGTTCAGACAGGATCACCGAGATCAGCGTGTGCTCGCCCTCGTGTCCACACGAGCCTAACCTTGAGTTTCCAGTAGTCGGACAACCGTCACGCAAACACCGTTTCGTGCAACCGTCTCAGGCGCTGCTTCACCAGACTCCGTCGGGCTGCATGGAGATGCAGGTCGCGTCAATCTATGCTTCCACGCCATCTGGAGCTGCCATGCGCATTTGCCTTGGCCGGTGCCGCACTCCCGGCTTTGCCAATCTGCACGGTGTCAGGAGCACACGACCGCGAGCCAGCAAATTGACCCCTGACAGGAGATTGGTTTCCGATCCGAACTCGGCTGGCGAGGTTCGAAACGTCTTGCTCAGTCAATCAGTCAATCAGTCAATCCCGACCCGACGCACTACAGGGCTCAACGACGGACGACTCGCCCAAGGCAATTCACAGAGCCCCATGCAGTTGTGTCCGGGGGGCACCGTGTTCTCTGCGCGATGGAATACAGTGAGGTTGACCCGCAGACACCCGCCTAGTGGCCTTTAAGCATCTTCATGGCAGTGGAAGGTGTGATAAAGGTGAGACCAGAGTCTGCGGGCAAGCCCTTGTGGCGAAGGGAGCGACGTGCCGATGGGTTTCTCACAGAGTTGGAGCGTCGTCGGCGACGGCTGCCGACGTCTCCACGATTCCAGGACAGGTACCTGCTATGGTGACAAGCCGAGGTGACATTGATTTACGGGCAGGTAATAAGGGAACGAATGAGGGGCCGTCGCCCCATCCTGTGTCGCCAGTACGAAGAGTCGATGCGCCTCCGCAGGCCCCAGAAGAGGCGCCCCGTGCATGCCTTGATGACGTCTGGCTGCCTCGCCGAGCCGGCTCCGGCGGCTTCTGATTTTTGACCAGAGTTGCAGTCGCTCACACACACGCCCCTTTAGCGATGCCCCTGTTCGCAAGCGCCAAATGCCTCGAAGGACTGACCTGCCTGTCCGTCTGTCATGGTTCGGAAAGACGCCGTCCGTGGACACTGCTGCGCAATCGGACTCCGGGGCCTGCTGCTTGGACATGCTGCGCTCCCTGGACGGAGAAACGGCGAGGTACGCCCTGTGGCGCCTGTTGTGGGAGGTTGTCGCCGTTGGCTGTCTTCCCGGATAATCGGCTCTCTTCGCTGACGGGCGGTTCCCAGCGTTTCAGTAACGCCGCAGGCATGCACGGATCAGCACAGACCACGCCTTGAGATCTATCGCCTGCCGCTCCGCCAGTGCGAATCGCCTGGAACCACGAAGGAGTCGGCCGGGCTTCCAGGTTGGTACTCTGCGGATTCCAGCAGTGGTCAGTGTTTGGAGATGCCGATGCCAATGTTGCCAAGCCGCCGATCCAGGGGTCCCCGGCAGGGCGAAATGCTTGGCTTTTCCCCAGCTTGTTCTGGGCACGTCGAGTCTCGACGACGCACAGCGTGTTCCATGCTTCCTTCACGGCAGCGCCACTGGAAAGGTCGAGCAGAGGCTGTGCCAGCCGCAATGCAGGCGCCTTTGATTTCACAGCCAGGGCCGGCGATCTGCGCAGCGCGCGAGGATGGCTCTCCGCGTCGGCGGAGGGGTGAACTGAGCAAAGTCGGCGCTACGGCTAACTCGGCTGGCCAAGCTCCTATCACGGTCCACTGCGACTTGGGCTTTTAAGCATGAATTTAAGCGTTGCAAGCCACTAGGCTTGGCACGGAAGCTCATTCCGCCTGGCGCTGCGAGACGGAGGGGCGTGAGCGCAGTAACGGCGGCCCTGCGCTGCCCGCTCGGGCGGCCGCCGTGGGCGCTGACTGTGAGTCGCGAGGCGTGATGGGCGTCAGGAAGGGCTCCGGCCGGTGAACCAGGCCTGCACCGTCGGCGGTCACTCTGGGCGCTCCTTGGCCGTGCTTCGAGGCAAAAAAAATAAGGTGGACGAGCGAGGCAATCATGGCAGTGCTTGGCGCTGTCGAGATGCCGTCCCAGCCGACTTGGCCCACAGGGGCCCCCTGACGGTGGGTCGCTGGGACGAAGGGCGCGAGTCTCGTGGTCATCACACCTTGGTCCGTTGGATGGGTGGGTTATTCCCGGCGCGGCCTTTGTCTGATCTGACGCTGACAGCTTGGGCCCGTCGTCAGCGCGCGCTGTGGCTGCCCGCGGCTGAGAGCTATCGAGCCAACTGTGCCCTGGTGTGCCCCGGCGCAGCGCCTCACCCAGTGCTGACGGCAACCCGCCTGTGGCTTGGAATCCGCAGCCTGCGCCGCAGAGGAAAGGAGGAGGCGGAGGGAGACCGGGGAAGAGTGCGAAGTGCGGCGTATGTGAGGGCAGCGAGCGAGGAGTTTGCCGTGCCCTGCGCAGGTTCCCGATGTCGCTCTCCGTGTGCCGTTCTCCCTGTGTCGCTCACGGGCCGGGAGATGGTTCGTATCCTCCTCACAGGCAGCTGGGACTTGCCGTCCGATCCGCCCTGGGCCCGCACATTCCGTGTGTGCAAAGGCAAACCTATCAAGGACCGTCGAGGCAGAAGCCAGCTCACCAAAGGGGGCAAACCCATTTCACGAACAGCATGCCGATCTGGCCGAGCAGCCTCTTGTTGCGCGTGTGGGGTTGGGCGAGGGCGCAAAGAGTGCCGACCTCAGCAGCAATGACCTCTGCCAAGCGCCCCAGACGGAATCAATCTCTTCGTGAATGCACCGGCGCCAGCACCCCACGCCAGACCCTTGCAAGCCTCGCAACGCGCGGCGTGGCGAGCAACCGCCGCCACGGCCGAGTCCAGAACGCCGGCGAGCCCTCCAGAACGTCATTGGCGCACGCGATATGCTTATTGCGACCCTTAAACTCGATGGGCGGCGTGTGGCGGAGAAGCTTCAAACGAGGCTTACAGGGCATGGGGTGCGCTCAAGGGACTGACTGCCCAGGATGCCAGGCTTTCCCTGCAGGCCCTGGCCTCTCAAAGCGCCGTCGGTGACGACGACTGCACATGAGCAGCGGGCACGCGATTGAATGGTTGTTGCCGATCCTGTTCGTCTCATGAAGCAACGGGGCCCGTGACTGTGGCCGTCTTCGTCCGCACCACCCTCCGCGGAGACGGTACCGAGTCCATGGCCGGGACGGCACATCGGTTTGCTCATCGTCCGCTCGCGCCGTTTGTCCAAGCAGCGTCGCGGCTTTGCGCAGCACAGAGCACAAGACGAGAGCAAAGGTAGCATGAGCACCGTCTCGGGCGCACTCCCGTCGAAGTTGCAGGAGGCGAGGCCGGCGGCGGATGCCGTTCCCTCGTCGAGGAGCCATCGAGATATGCGACCGAGCAGCGCCGCCGGCCGGCCACTGAGGCCTGTGACGTCTATCGAACAAGCTTTCTGCGACAGAGACGAATTGAAGCCTCCCGGGCGCCACACCGCCGCTCGGCTCTCCTCGTAGTGCTTGCACATACGAGTACACGTACGTATCCGCGCGCGCGAGCTCGCGCAGGACAGGGCAGCCGCTGTCGCAGACAGACAGTCGGCAGTTGGCCGAGCCCTGTGCCCTGCACTTCGCACAGTAACAGGCGAGGAGCGGCACACGGCGTGTCACCAGCTCGCCATCGAAATCACTCGGGCGCTTGGGCTCCCGTGCTGGCACCCTGCAGGGCAACCGCGCAAAATACAGGCACAGGCCACGAAAATGTCGCTCAGTAGGCCTCACCACACACTGCTCACGGGAAAGGGATCCTCGGCGGACGTTACATCATGCGGCCGACGAGGACTCGGAACATTGCCGAGCAAATACCAAGACTATTCTCTGTATTTCAGCCGCTGCCCGGGCTTCACTGGGCGCGACGAACAAGCACTTGGCGTTGAGCATGGCGGCTTGGCTGTTTCTTGTCGCTGTCTCGTGGCCCCCTTTAGCGGCGCGGCGGCACCGCGAGGCAGCGTCCGGCAGCGACGTCAGGGGGTTCGCTTCCCCGGTGCAACGCCGTCTGCCTGCTTGGAAGTGAGGGAGAGGCAGACGTCGAGCCCGGTCATATCTCGCGCACAGTGCCCGCCGATCTGACTGGTCGGGCGCGCGCAACCCGGCACTCGGACGGGTGGCACCGCGACGTCGCGATGGGTTCGGCAGCAGCATCATCAGCATCAGCACGCCGGTCGGCAGCACCGCAGTAGGGCTGTGTCGTAGGACGTGCCGCCGACTGGCTGACTTGCAGGCCCGCTGCGACGGCAATTCGATCGTCTCTTGCCAAAAAGAATATCCCTCGACCCAGTCTCGCTCACCCGCAGGGGCTGCGCATGTCGAGGTGCACTGCAGGCGTGAGTCGCATCTACCGGCGCCGATCCACTCGCGTCATTGAAGCAAATGGCCCGGAGAGCATGCTGCGTCCGGTAAACCGGCACGCGGAGGCCGGTGCGTCTGGGACTGGTCGCCGTGTGCGTGTGTGTGTGTGTGTGTGCGTGCGTGCGCGCGAGCTTGAGCGCACGCACCGGCCGCGTTGTGTCCCGTCGCCGTCGGGGCACGATGCTCGCTACGTACCTGGAACGAGGCCGTGTACTTGAAATGTACAGCATAGCTGTGCCGTACTGTGCAGTGCTGTGGCCGAGGCAAGTCGACAGTGCGGAAGAAGGCTCGGTCACTCGCCGCTCGTCACGACTCAGCATCACAAGGGACACGACGGCTCCTCGGCACGGACCTGGACGAGCTGATCATGACGATTCCGTCATGATGTCGAAGATCTTGGCCTCGGCCATGCGGGTGTGGGAGGGGCGACGTCGCAGACGGCTCATGCGGGCAGAGTTTCATCTTTGACCTCGACGCTGAGACGGCGGCGGCGGAGGCGACAATGATGGCCGCCCTGAGCCCGCGTCTCTTTCTCCTGCGTCTTGGAACAAGGCCTAACATACCGAGTGGGAGGGAGACTGCTGCCAAGGCGTGCGTTGTTTAAGCTTAATCGCATACACGGCCCTGCGCTGCACTGCCCTGTCCTGCGCCCGGCTCGACCGTGAATGCGCGTAGCCCTCGCGGTCCCTGCGCTCGGTCTTGGTCTTGATGCGAGGCACCGGCACGCTCACGACGCGGGTTCTGGATGCAGGAGGCAGCGGGCTCGCCGGATATTCATGCCATCCAGGAGTCTCCTCCTCCCTTAGGGGGGCGTCAGCGACAGCGCGATCTGCCTGAACTCGCCGGCAAACTGTAGCTTGTCCTTCCATCGCGACGGCACGGCCTGATCGCCATCGCGCGCGCCCAGCAGCCCGCCTGCCACAGCCGCGTTGGTGTCCGTGTCCCTGCCCAGCCTGACCACGTCGACGAGCACGTCCTCGAGCCCGCGGCCCGTGTCCAGCACCGCCGCGACGCCCACCGCCAGCGTCTCGAGCACGTACCCCGCGCACCGGCCCGGCAGCACGTCCGCCGGTGGGCCCCCGCGCCGGTCCGCCATGTCGGCCACGGACAGCCGCCTGCCCAGCCGGAGCGCCGCGAGGACGGGGCCGCCGCCAGTGTCCCCGCCGTTGCCGCCCCCGTCTCCGTCGCCCTCGAGCCGTGCCGCAACCTCCTCCCCGGCCCGCACGGCGTCGTCGGCGGACGAGCCCCGGACCAGCGCCGCGACGATGGTGTTGTACGCGGCGCAGGCGACGGTGCAGCGCCGGTCGTCGTGCGTGATGCGGCTGATGCGCTGGCTCTCGTCGACGAGCCGCCCTGGGTCCGCCTGGAACAGGCCCGTCGGCAGGCAGCGCATCAGACTGCCGTTGCCCGCCGCGCCCCTGCCCGCCCCCGCCCGGTCCGGGTCCCGGGACTCCAGGTATCGGAGCAGGCCCGACATGGTCGCCGCCCCGATGTCCACGGGCCGCGACCCAGGCGCGCGGCCGGGCCAGTCGCCCTGCAGCCACCGCAGGAAGTAGTCCCCCGCGAGGCGGGCGACGTCCACGGCCCCGTCATCCTCTTTGTCGCCCTCGGCGGCGGCGGCCGCCACGTCCCGGTAGGCGAGAAGCACGCCGCGCGTCATGTCGGTGTCGTCGGTGGCGTGGCCGGCCGGCCAGGAGAAGGGCCCGCCGCCGACAATGTCGCGCAAGCCGCGCGGGTGGCGCGCCGCAATGGCCGCGTGCGTCTCGAACTCGAGCGTCGCGCCCAGGGCGTCGCCCGCGTGCAGCCCGAGCAGGGCGCCGACGACGCGGGACTGGCGCGGCGAGAGGGCTGGCGGCGATGCTGTTGCGCCTTGATCGCGCAGGTCCTTGGGCGCCATATTCGTTGTTGAACTCGGGGTCATGGCTCGCCTTGCCCTGGCCCTGACCCCGTCGCGTGCTCCTTGTTGAAGAACGCTGCAATCGCTGTGTACGCGCGCCTCGCGGAAGGGGTTGTGAATGGCAAGGAAGGTGATGAGAATGTGTTGCCTGTGTGAGTGTGAGATGTCGAGAATGGGTGTCCGTACGTACGGCTGAGCGAGGTTGACAAGGCAGCACTTGCAGATGAGGGGGCGTGATCCGCCTCGCCGAGATACACGCGTCGACGACCCTCGTGTGCCACGCACCCAAGGCTTTAGACCGCGGCGTGCACAACAGCCGTGCCCTGGGTCCCTCAAGGTCGCTTTTAATTGCATGATGCACACCGATATTCACGATTGCTACACTACATTTTGCAGGACCCTTTTGACTTCCTGAAGGCAGGCGGGCGGGCACTTGCTGGTTACCTCGTAAGCCGTTAGGGAGCGTGACAATGAATCGGATGCCCGTGAAAGACAGGCTCATCACCATCGCGACGAACCTCGCCCGCAGCCGCATCGGCCAGTCGCCGACTACCTAGTCAGTCGCATGGTTCAGCCAATTGTGCTTCGTCTCGCGGATATAACGAGCATTGTGATGGAGTGTCGTCATGTGGATTGCGCCTCGCTCTTCGTCTTTCCAGCCAGGCTCTTCGGCCTGTCTCCATCCACCTCTAAAAGTACAGGCCGCCGCTCCATGCAGCAGCCGCAATGTGATGTACACAATCATACAGTTCATCCAATATTAACATCCGTGTCCAATACGGCGCCGGCTGCCTGCTTCCAGCTTCCAAGAACCTTCTGGAGCCGCGCGATATCGGCCAGCCGCCCACGGCAGCCTTCCGTTCAATATCTCCTCCCGAAACACATAATCGGCTTGACGCCATCCGCAGCCGGTGGCGTGATTCCAGCCCTCGCCCGTCCGCCTCACCTGTGCGCGAGGCGGCCATTGTGCAACCCGCGACGAGATGACCAAGATGCCAGCTTGCCTGGCAGACAATGTGTGCGACCTGGCCCATGGCGAGGCGGCCGAGCCCGGTTGGCGCACTGGCGAGCACGGCATGAGGCGTCTGGGCCATCCGGAAAGCCGGGTCCATGTGCTGGCCGCGGGGAGGGGGGAGGGGGCGATGCAGCTGGCTGCCTCATGCTGTGCGACGCCGGCTAGCAGTCGCACCGCTCGTGGTGACGCGGAAAGGGGACCACGTCGCGAACGTTGGGCACGCCCGTCAGGTAGCTGAGCAGCCGGTCGAACCCCAGGCCGAATCCGCCATGCGGCGGGCAGCCCCAGCGCCTAAGGTCGAGGTACCAGGCCATGTCGTTGCCCGCCGCCTTGCGTCCCTGGGGGACCTGCAGCCCGTGGAGCCTCATGTTGTCCTCCAGCTCCCGCAGGCGGTGCTCGCGCATGGACCCGCCAGCGAGCTCGCCGAGACTCGGCACAAGCAGGTCGAAGCAATCGACCGTCTCTCCCTGCGGCGGCGGTGAGGCCGACCGGAGCATGTAAAAGGCCTTGATGTCGCGCGGGTACTCCGTGACGAAGATGGGAACGTAGGCGTCGAGCTCCCTGTCGTAGCCGACCTCCTCGGCAAGGTACTTTTCGTGCTCCGATTGCAGCCCGCTCCCCCAGACCGGCTCGTGCTCGAACCGGTCCGCCACCGGCCGCAGCATCTCGATCGCCTTCGTGTACGTGATCCGGGGCCACTTACCCGGCACGAGGAGGCCCCTCCACCGACGTCGGAGCTCGGCCTGGTCGACTAGGTCTGCAAACGCGAGGCGCTCGGCTGGGTCACGCGAGTCCAGTCTGTTGAGCTCGAGCTCTCTGGCGGCGTCGCGCTCCTTGAGGCCCTGCGCGAGCGCCTTCATCATCCGCTGCACCAAGTCCATGACCTCGTCCATGTCTCGCACGAAGCTCATCTCGGCCTCGAGCATGTAAAACTCGCTCAGGTGGCGCGACGTATCACTCTTCTCGGCTCGAAAGGTTGGCGAGAGGGTCCATACGTTGCCGAGGGCTTGCGCCAGGGCCTCGAGATGCAGCTGGGTTGAGACAGTCAGGTACTTGGCATCTCTGAAGAATTCTTCCTTGCCGGACTTGACGGCAAAGGCCTCGCCAGCGCCTTCGCAGTCGGACGAGGTGATGATGGGAGGGTGGGTCTGCTGGAACTTTTCCGCAAAGAAGAACTGCGTGAGGAGAGCGGTTGCGTCGGAGCGCAGCCGCAGCAGCGTCGAGTTGAGCGGCGTCCGAGGACGGAGATGGGAGATGGCACGCAGGCTCTCGGGCGTCTGGTACTTGTTCTGAATGGGGTAGGTCTGGGGCAAGCGAGTCAGAAAGCCGAGCGAGCGGGTGGCGATGGCGGTTTGGCAGCGCTCACCTGTGGATCTGATGCCCCCAGTATGTCAACCTCGCTGACTTGCAGCTCGTGCGTGGTGGACGACGCCGAGTCCTGGGCACGTGGCTGTCCAGCCGGGTCGCTTGCGGCCTCACCGTCTGTCGCTTGTGAGACACGTGCAGTCTTGACGTTGAACCAAGTCCCTTTTAAACGAACGGCGGCGCCGGGTCTCATGCTTGGCGGCGGTCAGTCTCGTTGAGGGCCCTGACGTGAGCGGGAGTGGGAGGAAGCGTCGTACTCGGCAGACAGCTTCTTGTCGACGACGGCCTGGACGGGCCGCATCGAGGAGCCGTCGGTTACGTCGACGAAGCGAACCCCCGAGCTCTTGCGCACGGAGCGCACCCAGCCACAAACTTGAACATCAGGGACGTTGGCGGTCGGATGCCATGCTCTCAGGTCCGCGACGGTTGTGATGGAGGAGGCGGAGGGCGAGTCGGCTGGTATGCGGACGGAATACTGCCGTCGGGGCGCAGGCACGCGCACGCGCACGCGAAGATGGCGCCGCGGCACGGCTCCGAGGGTGGGAGGTCGCATGGCCGGCCGAGATGAGCAGACGAGGAGCTCGGCAGTGAGCCTCATGTGCGGCGTCGGTAGTTCATGAGTGCCGGCGTGAGTAGGATGAGAATGAGATGAGAATGAGAAATGCGGCGGCGAAGAATGCTCGTGGCTGCCATGCCGTCGTCGTCAAATTGAGTGGAGCCCGCTCCCGAATCGGGGGGCAGCCCACTGACGGTGCCTGAGGCGGCGGGTCAGGACGTCGCTGGAACAAGGAAAACCCGGGTGACCGCCTAGGGACCTCCAGCACCACGAACCAACAGTGCGCTCGCGCTGGGCGATAGCCTGCCCGGAGAGCACCTTTCAGCGACGCCGGCCCGCTGGTCGCGTGTTGCTACAGTGGAGCTACCATTGACGGTAGCGTGCTTGCGTGCGCCCCCTGCCTTGGGTTGCCGGTGAGGCGAATGTGTTCCCTGCTTCCAGCTTCGAGCAGGCAGTAGACTTTGCAGTATTGGATTGCCGTTACGATGGCCATCCGTCGCTGGATTGCTGAGCCATCCTTGCCTTGGAGATACTACCTTGACTGCCTCAATGAAGCCCCATGCAGTGGATCGCCAGCGCCCCTCCAGTCTCCTGGCCTTGCTGGCCCCCTGGACGGCCATGGATGGATGGAGCCGGGCCGGGATCATGGATGGAGGCAACCGCGCCTCGAGGAAAGAGCCTCCGTCCCATGTTGCGTCAACGACGGCCAGAGGCCGCCCCGGCCGTCAGCCTCCTCCATCACCACCGTCGTCATCATCATCAACAGCATTCCTGCCAGGCCACCCGTTCAGACAGTGAGACCTCATTTTCGGCCCCCATCAGGGTCCTGTGGCCCCAGGGCCCGTCCCCATTCCCATCCACCGGGGGGCGCCGCCGCCGCTGCCGCCGCCACCACCACGTCCTCCCCTTGGGAACAAGCCCGTAGGTGCGCACATACGAGGACGTTGCACATCGATGGAGCACATGCGCACCGATCCAGCCCGTCGTCGTCGCCGTCCAAAAAGCACAAAACACACCACGCAACGGGCACGCACGCCACAGACACACGTCGCGGCCCACATGATTCGACCCAGAGGTGCCCAGGTGCCTTGGGCTGCCCCCCGTCCAACGCTTCCCTCGTGTCTCGCAGGGTCTCACATCATCTCTGGGAGCGGCCATGGCGCCCCGCGAGCGAGCTCCCTCCGTGCCAGCCTCGACACCATCGAATGCGCAGTCCTGCTCCGCCCTCCACCTCGGACCACCATCCGCGACGGGGCCGGCGGCAGTCGATGCCCTGCTCGGCCCAACCGCCGAGGGGGGAGAGAGCCCAACGCGCCCGCAGCTGCTACTAGTACAGTAAGAGCAACACGCGCACGCGCGCGCGGCGCACGAATGCTTCCTCGTAGGGCCAGGCCAAGCCGGGTCGTCCATCCAGCCAGCCAGCCAGCCAGCCATCCATCTCACGGCGGCAGGCAGGCACAGGCAAGCGCAGGGCAGACGCCCGGCATGCCTTGCACGTTGGACAAAGGCGAGATGAGGTGCCACAGATCTGTCGCGCACGACATCACGTCCCGTCGCAATCCTCCGGCGCCGGCATGCCCAAGCCCAAGGCCTGCCTGCCAGTCGAGGCGGCGGAGGAGCAGAGTGTTTCTCTCCTGCAGGTCATCTCTCCCTCCGCGGACCCTTATTTACCTCGTCCCGGTTGCTGGATTGGATTGCCGACGTGGCCTGGCCCGTCCCGGCGAGGCAGCGGTGCGTGTCTGAGATGTCAACACGCCGTTGGCGCACTGCCGCCGCCCTTGCCGTCCCGCCGACTTGGATAACGGAAGGTCTCGCGCTGCAGGGTGATTGTTTTTTCCTCGTCCCTGTCTCTCTCCCGCGCGCCGCCCGGCCCCGACGTGGGCACCCAAGCGACGCCGGCTCCGTTGCTCTTAAACCCTCTCGCCTCCCACGATCTGATGCGAGCGAGCGGTTGACTCAGATCCTGGACATATCAGGTGGTACAGTTCGCCGACATCCCTACATCTCGCTTCCGCGCCCTCGCCGGGACGAGCTGCTGCGAGTCCTGCGAGCAAGCACCTGCCTCGTCGTCACATCGCCGGCGTGCCCCTCCAACGACTGACAGACGGGCATCACATCACGCACACAAAACATAAAAAGGGCCCCCCTTCTTCTCCTGTCGACGACGGCCGCTCGTCCATGTATCAACTCGCCCCATCCCTCCGTTCCCACCCGGTTGGTACCACCACTGCGTCGTTTCAGCGACCCTCGACCGCCTCGCTCATCGTTGCCAGACCTCGACCCTCGCCATGGCGCCGGGGTCCAAGCCCGGCAGGGTGAAGCCGTCCGAGGTGGCGGCCGACACCAAGCGCAACTTCATACCCATGGTCAGCGCGAGCTACGCCGACGTCTTCCCCCCCTTTTCGGTGCTCTACCGACACCCGACGGCCCAGCTGGACATTCCCCGCCGGACCCTGAGCACCCGCCCTCCCGCCTTTCACTTCGTCGCCGAGGACCCCGTCATGGCGGCCATATCGTACGGCGCCGCCGACACCCAGGCCAGCGAGGCCGCCGGCGGCGGCAGGGTGCGGATCCCCGTCATCTGCGCCGCCAACGAGCGCCGCCCGGGAGGCGACTGGGAGACGGGCTCGTCGGGGTACGAAGAGAAGCTGTGTCGCCGGAGCAACCTCTCCGCGACGCTGAGCGCCCCTTGGCCGGGCAGCGGGGAGCCGTCCAACTACCCCATTCCCTCGACGGGCGGCATTCTGTCGGATTCCGTCGTCGTCTGCCGAGGGCCCCACGACCGCTACGAGAAGCTCGACCGGTGGTACGACCTGCCCGTCGTCTCGGTGCCGCCGACGCGGTGGCCGAAACTCAAGGACAACGGGTCCCGGTACTCGTTCGCCGAGGAGCGGGGCATGATGCGTGACAAGATGCGCGGCGCGCTGCGCATCTGCCTCTACAACAACTACGACCGCGTCGTCATCGGCGACTTTGGCCTGGGCAACAGCTGCCGCAACCCGCCGCAGGAGGTGGCCGAGATCTGGCGCGACGTCTTCTTGTTCGACCCAGAGCTGCGCGGCCAGTTCGCCTACGTCATCTTTGCCTTTGAGGACCCGACGCAGAGCACGACGCAGCTCATCCTTGACGAGATTGCCAAGAGGGACAAGAAGGGCGGCTCCAAGGGGCGGTCACGCGGCGAGTCGTCGGGATCCAACTCTTCGTCGTCGTCGCGGGGACGCGCGCCGACGGACCTTGGCATATTCCAGCGCGCCTTCGACCCGGCCGAGATCCAGCGAGTCCTGAGCGCCCCTGACCCGCGGTACGGCCTGGGCATGATTACGTCCTGACGGCGCCTTGTCCCGCGCCGTGGTTGGTTTTTTTGTTGTTTTACTTTTTGGGCTTTGCTGGCCTTTGCTCGGCGTTTTGGGGCTGGGACCGGGACCAGGGGGTTCTGGATAATACACACTATTCTCGCATGTTGCGATGGGCACCCCTTTGTGATTCTTCACCGGCATGCCTGGCCGTCCGTCCATGCTCCCGAGCCGGCCATGTGTTGCCCTGGCGTTGGCTGCATTCCGCCGGCCGGGTGCAGCCTTCGGACAAAAGCGTGCTGCATGTTTGCTTTTTGACAGCACTCACCTCGTTACCGGCCTGTGGCCGACGTGCTGCTCCGGCGCGCAGGCGGCGTACGGATGCGGCATTGGTCGGGCAGAGAGGGTTAGGGTTGCAATCCTGTGGATCAATCTCGGGGCTCAGGAATGCCATACGGCCGTGTATCGCATGCGCCCTTCTTTCTGCTCAGGGTGCGTACAGAATCCCCTCGCGCGCGCGCGATACGCGACGCCCTTGATTTCCTGTCTCTTATACACATCTAGATGTGTATAAGAGACAGCCATACGGCCGTGTATCGCATGCGCCCTTCTTTCTGCTCAGGGTGCGTACAGAATCCCCTCGCGCGCGCGCGATACGCGACGCCCTTGATTTCCGCGTCGGCCGGTCATGGGACGTCGTCTCGGGATGCATGTATGTTTTACCCGTTGGGGACTCGGGAGTGTTAAACCCCCCTTGTCGGCGCGGAGCGGGATAGGTAATCGGTCGAGCATCTAGGACCGCGCACTTACCCATGTCAAGCGTCGAGCATCGACGACTCCAGCATCCATGCCCGCCCACGCACGCGCCATGTTGGGTTCAAATCGCGTAGGTTAATTCGAGGCATCGGGCCCGGTACAGATTCGCCGCGGAGGGGAAACCGCCGCTCAGCTCTTCTCTTCTCTGCTCTGCTCTCCTCCCTCCCCGCCCATCCCATCCCATCCCATCCCATGCCGACCCATCATCCTCCCTCCCTCGCGGTGCGGTGCCCCCCAATGCGTCCCGCCCGTTCTCCCTCCCTGCGTTCCCAAGGCTGCTGCTGCACGTCCGCAGGCCCTGTCGTTGCCCCTCTTGCTCGCCCCGCCCCGCGGCCTTGCCTCATGTATCATGTACTACTCCGTAATCCGTACCAAACTTAAACTGCAGATGGGTGTTGCCGTTGCAGTTGGCGCTCCACGGGGTTGATTGACCAGCCCGGCACCACCACCACCAGACATCCAACTATCCATCCACCATCCAACTGTGTAATTGATCCATATATCCATTCATCCATCCATACCCGGCCCCCTCCTCAGCGGCGCCCGCCGTGAAGGTTTGGTTTTACATTCAGGAGGATACGAGCCCGCCTGCGTCTCTATTGTTTTGCGCAGTACCAATTGTTCTGTCGCCGCCGTTGCAGCGAAGCAAGGGGCAGGGAACGGCGGGCAAGCGAGCTGGAGCCCGGCCGCCCCCAGAATCCATCGCC